TAACACAAAAAACAACTGATATCCATATCATCAGGCCTGCCAGAATCAGGGGACTGGAGCCCCCCAATAATTGTCAAACTGTGGTATATTTCCTTTATAACAGTGTACTGCGTGAAAAGGCAGACCCCCCCCCAATACAATTTTTTTTCTGATGGCAAGGCAAATAATCCATTTTCATATGAACATTGCATCCCCTTGACTGCATTGTAAGTCTTTTTGAAAGAAGCTTTTTTCTGGTAATCCAAGGGCACAGGCTTTAGGTATTTCAAGTGTACAGGCCACCAGACTTTTCCAGCTTCTCATGGCATTTTCATGTGCAAGGGGAAAGGGTTAAGTGTGCAAGTGTGCACAGCAAGATATTCTGACCTGTTGGTGTAAACAAAAAAATTCACCTTTGTGTAGTTACTAACTGTGAACAAAAGTTTACTAAATGCAGAGGAACATTCTTCAAGCTTTTTACTTTCTTGTAATATGGTTGCTCCCATCCTCTGTACCTCTAGAGAGTGAGTCTGTCAGAAAAACTATAATTGGGCCTACAACCCTAGAGCTTCTTTCCTCTTTTGTCTGCCTCCCTCGAATAAACTGACAGTTGTGAAACTTGAATTAATGTTGACTATTAAAGAAAGGGTCTTCCAAAGTTTTAAAATTAGCATAACAGCGAATAATCAACTTTTTTACAAATGAATGAAACCAAAATAAGATGGAGAGAAAAAATAAATAAAACACAGTTTGGCAATAAAGCATTAGCCAGTGCCCTAGTCCACACATGCTGCCTCATACACATACTCTAATAAGCATGAACTTCATAACTAAAGATTAAGTCTGGCCTTGGGCCCTGGATCTCAGAAAGTTAAGGAAGGGGTAAGGTCATGGTGAGTCATGGTCAATAACCTATTGAATTCAATGAAAGCAGTAAAATAGTTTGCTAAAAACCTTTAAATAATTAAATAAAGCATTTTTTCCTATTTTTGGATTTCCTTTTCGGACCAATTACTGGTCAACAAGATGCACATTTTGATCCACTGCAAAGCAGTCCAAAAGCAAAACTTAATCAAATTCTAAATTTTCAAAGTGGAAGCCAGAAATATTTTTTTGAGATAAAGTGCTCAGTGGGCCTGATGAAAACTTGTTGCAGGCCTGAGTTTAAGAGTGGCTGATATAGAAGATTATGTATCATTACATAATTATGTCTTACTGAGCTAGCCATTATAGTAGGACTATGCCCACTCTACACCCCTTTGCCAGAGTAAGTAAAAACATCAGGGCCCCACATCCTGAAGAAATTGAGGAAGGTGGCCAAAAGTTCAGTAAACACATTAAAAGTTCAGTAAACACATTAAGGCAGTTGAAAAAAATTTGCCTTTTGGTTTCCAAAATGCAGTCAGACAAAAAACTTAATAAAATAAAGATAAAATGTATAAACCTCCTGCTTTTTCAATATGAATGTGTTCACTGAACTTCTTCGAACTGTAAAATTCTGGCATAAACTGTTTATAATCTATTTATTTAAATTATGACATGCTTTTGTTACTAATTGATCTGTCTAAAAAATATCTATAGTTGAGAACAAGTTGAAAAATTATTAAATTTTTTTGGAAAAACAGAGTTGCGAGGAGAGGAGGCAAGTTGAGTGCCCTCAATTTCCTGACCATGTCCGTTTTAAACCCATTAGAAAGAGAAAGATTTTATAGCAAGATTTTCTTGGCCACAGGAAGGTTGGCCATTTTTCTGGACTCTGCCCTTTGGCTTGCAACATCCAAGACCTAACTGGTTTACAGATGTTTAAGGACAAAAATATCTACTGTGTGCACATGTCATACTCTGCAGAAGACTGGCCAGCTACCATGGTTTTGGGAGTCTAAATGTTATCAGTCATCAATCACAACATACCATTTAGTCATGACACATAGGCATAGCCAATAATATCATAAGTGCAAGAGATCCATTTTTTGCAATTACTGTTTCCTTTCCTCCGTTGCTGTTTAAAACCTTACCCAATTTCAATGCTAGAGAACTTCTCCTTCTCCCGCACCTCTCAGTCAAAGCAAGAGAAAACGAGATTCATATTTACACAGATTCATGTCAAACAGGGGCATATGGCTAGATAGCTCTAATGAGTTTTTCTTCATGTCCTACAGCTTTCATTTTGTAATATTAACCGTTATTAAATCAACATGTTAATATCTATTTTCTGTTATCTTAAATTTAGCAGTAGGTTCTTATTTTTTGATGACATTTATCTTAATCTTTTACCTGAAACTTTGAATGTAATTAGGTAGACCTGTTCTTTTTACATCTGTATTCTTACTTTTATTGGATTCATTTTTAACTGTAAATATTTAGGGAATTAGCATTAAGGCATAGGACACAGGACACATATTAATAACAGCAGTTTTAAGTCATTGAAGTGTATATCCTGTATAAATATTTGTCTTATTATATTATTATTATTTTTTGATAGTTAAATTGTAGGTAACAAATTGCTGTGAAATCAAATATTTGAATTTGAACTTAAATATGAGTTTCACATGCCATGCATGCATGCAACCAGGGGCGTCGCCAAAGAGGGGGTGATGTACCCTCAACACAGCACCTCCGACGAATTTTTTTGCAAAACAATAAAACTTTTCACAAAATCTTTTGTTATGGGTGTTAAATTTTCCATTGCCCTCCCCCCACCCCACTTTCCAACCTGTGTCGGAGCCAATGCAACACTTTGTCCGTTGGCACATTAAGGATTTTTGCCGGGCAAAAGTAACAATTATTTGTACTCACCCTGTAACCTTTATGCAATAATTGTAACGTTTTAACATTTCTGTAGGATTTAAAACATTTAGTAGTTGAACTTTCAAAATAGAGCACCAAAGTATGAACTTTGAAACAGAAACGCATAAAAGAAGGAATAAATGAGTATTTATCTTTTGACCACACCCTTAAAGAATAAGACACGCCCTTTTTGTCGGTAAAATCACTTCTTTACCCCTCCAAAAATTTTTTTTGGCTTCGCCCCTGCATGCAACAATCAAATAACCATAGAACAATATCATCAATTTTTGCAAGGAGAAACAAAACACAGATCTTAATGTCTTACATTGTCCAAAACTCTCATCAAACCTCTTCATCGAATCAGATAACCTTTAAAGCAGCGGCACTCAACATTAGTTGGTGACCAACTGATCACTGCTGATGATCTCGATGCCCAATACCGCGCCACGCTTATGACATAGCCTCTTTACGACTCTCATAACAACAAAAGTTGAGCCTCCATTGAGAAAAAAGAAAGCGAATGCCTGGTAATGCCAGTGGCTTACGCCCGTTGCACTTTATTATATGAAAAAACTTGAAACGAGTACTGGACAATCAGAAAAAAAGTTGGAAACTTCAGGACTCAAAGCAAATATCTTGACAAGAAATGTCAAAAGCGTAGTAACATTGACGCGCCTCACTTTTACGGCCTGCGTGCAGACTCTATGGAGGAGGAAAAATCCAGAGGGTGACTTTCCTACACTTTTGCAGCTGCAAAAACTCTCTCCAACAAGTTTCTGTTGGAAAAATTTCTAGCATGAAAAATTATTAATAGGACCTCGAGTGTTGAATTAAAATTTAATAAAATTCTCCTAGGGAATATTGAGTACAATAATCTCCCAAAGTGTTACTAAACTGGAGCATTCAACATTTACCTTTGTTTTGTATGAAAACTAGTGCATTAAATTGATTTAATGATTCAATAAAAGCATTTTTAAATCAACGTCCGAAATGCAAAGACTCGATTTCTTAGATTGAATTATTGTGGAGAATCCGGGATCCAGGATATGACAACGACATTTATCATGTAGGGTACGTATACAATATTACCTTTACAAGAAAAATTTTGGAAGTTAATCTCGGTTTTCCACGGACGTCGAGCGCATTTCAGAGTCCCAGGGGCACCGATAGGAAGGGGCACTGTCTGTTAAAAAAGGGCATTTTCAACAATCATCATTAGAATCTGACAATTCTATGTACTAAAAAATAAATATCAGTTTAGTTTGGAATTGAGCAGTTTGGAATTTAGAATTCCCTATGAGAATCAAAGTTGAATTGGTTGCTCTATCATTTATGCTTCAAAAAACATGCTTTCAACATTGAATCGGTGCTCTTAACGTTCATTGTTTATATGAAATAGTAGTTCACTTTCAATAAAACAGACACTGATAAAACCATTATTTGTATTGTAGGTTTTGTTGCTTGTGAGTTCACTGGTAGAGGTTTGTTCCTATCATTTTACCAATTTGAGAGATTTCAAATTGGTGGAACCAATCGGCTCTTCATACGTCAGCTCCAGATCAATATAACAAATTATGACAGAAAGCTTAAAAACGAAAGCAGTGGGACAAGAACAAATCCTCAAAATCGAATACGTTGACCGGAGAAATAGAAAAGAAAAATTCCTGCAGAGTTTTATCTGTTTTCAGCGTGTTCTGTAAAGTTTCACGTGAACCTTACCATCAACTTATACAAATTATCATGGTGTTTCATTAGAACTCGTCATTAGAAAATCATGTATAACATATTACACAACAGTATACCTAAAATGGCGGTTCCTTGGGTGCGAACCTCGAGAAGGTCTATTGGAAATAAAGAATGCAAATTGCTACTGCCATCATAGCTTTAGCTATCGGAGCAGAGAACGAAATTTCTGGGCTTGTGTACAGTAACATGAACAGGCAATGGGATAATGTCGGCAATACTGACTGACAACTTGAAATGAAAACTACTTTGCTCGTCTCTGAAAAGAGGACAATTCACCTTTTTAGAAAGGGAGACATTCCGTGATTTCGAAAACTAACTGCCAGAAAGGATGAAAAAGCATCGTTTTAGGAAAATTTTAAAATGCTGCTTTCTAGCAATCACCTTGTGAAAGTGCAAGCAGCAGAGTGGTCGGTCCAATACTGTGCCCCAATAACCAATCGATCAGTCGCATTGGTGTCGAAGAAGATTCAAGAAACAATAGACTAATATGATTTACTGAATGTGATCTAATATAACACCATTCTACTCAAAAATTTATCCGATAGGATCAATTGACTCTCATTTCTTTTTACTGTAATAACAAATATAATCTATAAAAAAATCTATCTATAACTAACAAATCATGAATAACAACATAACTAAACTCGATAAAATTTCTATAACCGAAGATATTGTTTAGAAGCCTAAAAATCATTAAAAGAAATACTCCTCCGTTCTGATAAAGTTCTGTTCTGGTCTGACCTTTTGTAGAATTCTATAGCAACATCTTCAGCAAGGCAACTTATTGATTCAACCCTCTACAAACAAATGGATTATCATGAGTCAGAAGCACTTAACGTGTTATGATAGAATAAAACGTGAACAGTTTGCCGTACACTGTGTGCTTGTAGTGGATATAAAAAGATGTAATCTCAAAGCGTATTCTGGAAAATAATCATCAAGGGTGGGAAAAGCTTTCTATCTCCAGAAAATGGGCAAAGATGCTCTCACAAATAAACAAAGCCTGCCATATCCTTAGTACACTGTCCCAGATTTATGCCAATATCTATTATCCTTTCTTTTTTTAAAGCACCGATGTCAGTGGCTAAACCATTTTAGGAACTTTAATATATTCCAATAGAGTTCTTAAATGCAACGTCGTTAAAATGCATTATTTTAGAATTCTTAATTTTGATCGCATAGCTTGAAAGAACACTATGAAATGATTAGAATGTTAAATCGGTTAAAGACATTTAGAATTTCGAGAGATATGGCAAATGAAAGATTGTTTATCTGTCTTGATTCCTAAAATTCAGAATCGAGAACAAATTTGACTGGAAAAGAGATTGTATTTATGTGATCGTACCTCAGCTAAATTGTACCATATTCAACCAGTTTTGAAAATTCAGAGGTGTTTTAAGATGCTTTGTTAGGTTATGTCGTTCAAATTCAAAAATTATAAAAATATATGACATCATTACTTTAAATCTGATGTGTGACATTATTACTTTGAATCTCTTTTCATGGTGGTCATGTCCGGTGTCGATAATTTTTACCGAAAGTTGTGAAGTTTCGATAAAAAAGTTTTTCTATTAGATAAATTCAATCTCAAAGCAAATATTTCTCGAACGTGGTCGCTGATTCTCACTATCAAAGAAAAAAATCTACAAAAATGATAAATTCGACTTTCAGTGATAAACAATAATTATAATACAAACAAATTTCTTTCTACAATTAGCCAATAAACTAGCTGTAGTTAATTGTTAAGGAATTATGGTATTAAATGTAAATTTACAATATTCTGTTTAGATGATCACACACCTGCCCATCGTGGATTCTATTGACTTTTTCAAACCGTCTATAACTTTTGTTTTGTTTTCGGCATGATTTGGCCAAAGAATTAAAAATGTGATTTTTTGGCCGGTTGAAGGCAATCGACAGATATAAAAGCGGCCTAAGCCATCTTTCAATCAATATAAGCCAATCAGTGAGCGTGTGAGTGCAATCCCACTCAGTTGTTGGTCAACTTTTGATTGAGTGAAAGCTTAAAGACAATTTGTCTCGTTGTGGATTGGTTAACGAGAACAATAGCTGGAACAATAGCCTAAACACGATTCCAGCGCTCCGCCATATTTTTTACAATGCGATAAATTAAAGGGGGACTGGAAACAATAAAAAATATCTTTGTTCTTATAATCAATCAACGTCGTGACAGATTGCCTTTAAGCCCCTGGAATATCTCGATTGCCTTTAACGTTGAGAAAAAATGCACACATCAATGAAAGTAAAACATAGCTGAATTTAATTTGTAGTAGTCAGCTGATATTACCAAGCAAATGATAAAAGTAGACTTAAAAGCAAACAATTTTCAATTGACTACTCAAAGAAGTTCACCTTCCTTACCGTTCTCAGGGTCATTATCTTCATCGCTTCCTAAATCATCTTCATTGTCTTCATCTTTGCCCTGCAAACCAACAAATGCATCAGAAAAAAAATCTAGCTTATGTGTTATCTTCTTTAAATAAATAAAAAATATCTGATACTAAGAAATCAACAGCTCTATACATTACAACAGTACAGGAAGTATGAAACTGCACCATTTAGTTACTTAATGGTTTCATCATATAAAAAATGCTCAGAAAAATTCCATTGCCACAAAACTGCATTGAACTATGATTAAATGTCACTATCAAGTTAATATCAATTCAGGGCTTTTATCCAACATCAAACTGGTTTTTATCAATTTGTCAGTGAAGTTTTCTGTTTTTGATCGATTCATTATCAGATCAGATACGCTTACCAAACATGCAATTACATTATTACAAAAAGTATCGTTGATCAATCGTTGATCATCACTGAATTTTCTGATAGTTATCTGCTACGCAACGAAAGTCTGAATTGATTAACAATATACCTCATCCGCTTTTCCAGCCCATGCATTTATCGAGTCAAAGAGACTGCTGAAACTTGAAGGCTAAAAATGAATAAAGAGCTTGATAACTGGCTAAGCAATGGATCACAAAATTTTCATTGCCAAAAAAATGAAAGGGCGAGGACTGATCAAGATAAATCGTGAAGAACAATCAAACAATAGTTTAGTAGCTTATTATGGCGAGATGGAAACATCTCATCTATGTATGTGGAGTTACATGCTGAAAATTGACGCAGGCAAGATAATAGAAGAGGAATAAATATTTTCTGCAAGAAGCAACTATTAAATCACAGCTAGCCATATCTGCAGTCTACTAGGAAATGCCTGTCTGTATGTGGGAGGGGAGGTAGCGACCCTTTTTACTTTAAACATTGCTCTAAATGTATTCAACGGATAACTTGCTATTCCTATAGCAATGTAGTTAAAGTGTTACCAGAAATTTGTTATTACTCCGTCCCTACGAAAGTTTCAGTTTCCAACCGAAAGGACCACGTCTCTTGGCTTGTGTTAATGCGGATAGGTCTGTGTTGTGTGACAAACTTTGAGATGAAAGATGTCTGCTTCTTTCATATGACATTAGGTTGGTGTTCAGCTAATAATTTTCTAGCTGAAGAAAGTTGCTTTTTTTGGTTTTAAAAAAACAGCTTCAAGATAATGATTGGCAAACCAAGCACGGCTAATAATTTAACAGAACAGGATGGATGTGGATACACAAACGAGAGACTCTGTATGCGACAAACGAGAGACACTGTATGCGACAAACGAGAGGCACCGTATGCGACAAACGAGAGGCACCGTATGCGACAAAGCCTGCTTATAACGGAAAACCAGCCTTAACATTATGCGGAATTTAGCGGATTTACTGACTCTATAGGTATAGATCAACTATCTAATGGCGATGCATTAAATTCCAGCATAAACTATAAGACGCTGAGGTACAAAGGGGAATAAGCCGGTCAGTCAATGCCTTAAGGTAACTTTCATGGATCTTAAAAGTTCAATAAAAGTCGTGGACACACCTTGCCTGCTTGGGTTTGATTAGGGAATGACTGCTGTGGCCGGTCAGTAGACCCAGTCTCATCAATCACGTGTCTAATTTCATTCACCTACAGAGTTAAACACAACCCCACTTACAAAAGATCAAATTAAGATTGCCTAAGAAGCTTCAAAGCGCATTTTTTAATAAGTAGCTTGTACTTTTTAGCACCTAAAGTTTCTTTACAATTACATTTGCCTTAAAGATTTTCATACCGTATTGCGACCTCAGATCTATAAATAAGTGGCCGAATAAATGAGGGTGGGAACCTAATTTGCTGAAACAATAGCAGTGTAGTACTGGCTTCAGAGCCTTTTTACCAACTTAACCTATAACTTGTAAAATACTGCAGTGAATTCTAAAAGCAAATACTTCAATGATATCCAATAAAGGAGTAGCAAATCAAACCATCTTGTTGTGTAGACCATAGTATTTAAAGATCTATCTTTACAGTATCTAGCAATTTCTGTCAGGCCTGTTAATCTTTCTTACATAATAAACTTTCTTTATCTTCTTTTATTTAAAGACTTAATTCTGATTCTTATTTACCCTTAATGTATTCATGACTTCTTTTGTTTAAAGCAGGCTGTCCCTATTGCTCGCGATATTTTTTCAAGTTACGGCGCTATTTTGGCTTATTTCCGACGACACGACTGGGCTATTTACCTAGGCATTTAACAGAAAAGGGTGAATGCATACCTACAAAATAGTTGCAATCTCCTCAGAATGAGAGATTTTGCAAGACAATAAGCACCAAATCGTATTGCATGCAAGTTTGGATAGACCAATTGCCTTTAAGGCAACTAGCCAACAAGGGTTCACAAATGCAAATTCTTTAACTTACGCCCTTAGCAAGTTTATGCGGATTTATACGTTCACCCTTCCTAATTACACACCTTCCTACTTTCACCTGATGGAAACTGAACATCATGCATGAATTTATTCAATGATTAAGTTGTTAGCATTTTAGTAACAGGCTCCATAATAGCCGTATAAAAACTCCTCCTTAACTCTTGCAACAAGGTCAATTAAGCATCTCGTCGTGTGAAATTGCTAAAAAAGGTTCGTCAAGTTTTTGCTGCATAACAGGATACACTAACGGTAATAGTTACCATATAAACACGTTTTATCACAATAGCAATAGCATAACAAGATCACAAATTTTACCTGTGACTGCACATTGATGCCTACTGCACTACCACCATGAAAATCTGTACCATTGATTGGTGCACTAAAGCCCTCACCTTCAGTAGATACACCTCTTTGACCTGAAGTTGATAAATTTTAGGCTTCAAATCAGATAAACCATTTCAAATTGACGCATTTCTCTTGCTTATCTACAAGACACTGGATAAACTGAAGGAAGCAGTATCATATTGAGGATCTTAAAAAGAATTTTCAATCCACAGAACAATTTCCAGCGCATCTGCGTCATACAGCTGCAAAGCTGATTAACTTAATTTTTTCCGGCTGGTTTTTATGGATAAAAACTGATCTCAATGCTTTAATATGCGCTTCAATAATCAAACAGATCTTGAAGGTACTGATAAACTAAGACCTTTTCCCGCATACATTACATTAATATGCATCCCGAATGCATACATTAAGTTGAATTATTTTCTGAGTAGATTTGCTAGGCTTTTATCCGTTTGCAGTGACCGTCCCCAAGCTGGAATCACCAAAACTGAAGATCAAGTAAAATGAACAAATAAATGAACAAAATCCTCCTTCCACGCGGGACAGTCTGAATACCTGAATATCTTAATACAATTTGGAATTTTATTACCTTGAGCTGAAGTTGATCCTGATCCTGGTCCAGCCGAATTACCCACAGAAGTAGAAACTGATGCTGACGAGCTATGTTGAGCTTTCGCAGCATACAAACTGGCTTCTTCCTGGGCTTTGCCAATGTTTTTCTTATAACGGATTCGCTTATTTCCGAACCAATTTGAAACCTAAAATAATTTTCAATGAATAAAAGCTCAGGGCGAGAGTCATGTGTATCATTCAGGAAAAATATGCAAGAGATTATTTTCAAACTAACGTAGCCCACACAAAGATTTTGGAAAGCAAGGGGTAAATGGGTGATGGGGCTGTCTAAGTCCAAAAATTCATCCTTATGGCAAGGAAGGACAAACAAGATAACAGGGCACGATTGATGGAAGAATTTGATGGGGAAAACCTAAAAATATTACGTGAATCTAAATGTTTCTGAAATATCAACATTAATTGATGATCAGAGTATATATATTCACAAAATGCTGATTACAGAGATGTAAAATCCACATAATTATTTAATTATTTAGAACAGCAGAACCTTGGCAAAGAGGTAGCTATGTTCTTTAGGTTGCTGTTTACCAAGGAGACTCCCAAACGTTCTCGAACTCTTCCGCTCCACTAACGTGTTTTTGGCTTAATCGTGTTATTATCTTCTCGTAAAATGATTTTTAAACAATCTTTTGGTTGTACAAAACTTGTGAATGGCTTTGAAAAAAGCAAACATTTAGTAAACTAAAGCTTTTCGTCTGACACTCTTCAGAGTTTAAAACGTCAGAACATAGATCGAAAACTCGATAGTTTCGTTATGCTTGATTTTTTCAAAGCCATTTAAAATGATTTTTCTAAAATTTGCACAAAATTATCAAAGATCAGAAAACGTTTGCAAATAAGGCAAATTTGATCATGTTACACTCACTTGTGCGACTGTAATATTGCATTTTCTAGCCAAATCTTCTTTCGCCTCTTCACTTGGGTATGGGTTACTTAAATGTGAGTAGAAATACTCATTTAAAATCTCTGTTGCTTGTTTGCTGAAATTCCGCCTTTTACGCCTACAAAAAATTTGAAATTATTTTGAACCTAAATAAACTTTTTAAATTATACAAAATTAAATGAGGATTTTAATACTTAAAATTGAGCAGTTTTGCTTGTTTCTAATAGCAGGGGATGAAAGCTTACAATGAAACAGAAAGCATAGCATGCCGTTAATACAAGATTGTCTGACAGAGACTTTGCTCCAGGCCCAAACAACAGAAATCTAACATTGTTGCTACACTGGGAATAAAATCATTATGCTATATATACAAAATTCACGGCTATACATTTTGATGAACATGAAATCTGAGATTCTTAAAATGTAACAAGCTCTCCAATACTCTTAAAAAACAATTGTAACTATTCTGTGCAGTTAGTTGTAGAATAAATGCATAATATCCTGAAATGTCCAAACAGCATAATTGATTTAATTATTTCAAAATTCTCCTCTTTTAAATTTCCGAGTCTGCACGCAGGCTAGTACAAACCTGGCATCAAGGAATCTTGATCGCAGTATCATTACAGCTTCGCATGTACTTTGTTTAAGCTGCATTTGAATTGAACTGAATTTCTTGTGAATAATGCTGACCATTCTTTCAATTTCTTTAGCAGATATTGGCCTTGTTCTAGATTGCTCTCTCAGCAGATTCATCACGTGAGTTGTGAATTCAGTGCATGCCTACAAAGGGAAATTCGCTGAAAATGCCACAAACACATTTCTAAACATACAATTTCATCATTTTTTGAAAATACTTTTTGGGAGAATTCAGTAAATCAAAAACATTTCTCTACAAGATTATTGCCTTTTTTCATGATAATGAATTAATGAATAAACGATAGCAGCATTATGAAGAAATGTTATACGGACCTGCTCATATTTCTCCAGTTCTGTGTGATAAATTTGTCTTATCTGGGCCAGTTTTTGCTTATATTCTGTGTTTTCAATTTGTGAATCGTGTACAGCAGCAGCAGCCAACGCTGCGTTTCCAGACTTGTCTGGTCCAGCTACACCCTCAGCCAATAACATATTATCAAGTCGCATAAGCTGAGGATCTGTTTGGTCTTCATCTTGAGACCCTCTGATACTTAAAACTAGATTCATAAGAAAAAAAATAATTCTAGATACTGCAATAATTTATCATTAAGACAACCATAACACTTTACATCCACCATTTTACCTAACTTTCAAGTGTATAGGAGTTTAATCCTGACACAATCCTGTTTGTATTTTCTTGGGCAAAACAGATTTGTTAACCAAACATTGTTTCACTAGCTTTATGGATAACTTTATTTGGAAGTTTGGCAGCTTTTATTTGGATTCTTGCATTGTGCCAAGGTATATACAAATTACTTGCCTTAAATGTCTCAACAAGCTAATACTGTCAATCCTTGCACAAGCACTTATCATGCATATTAGGAATGTACTAAGGATTTTCCCATCTTCAGATGACCTAAACACTGGATTGGAAGAGAGAAGTTACATGTTAGCCTGAAATTTGGTGGGCAGTCTACTTGCTTGTTCTCTCTAATGATCTAAAGTGTTACCATACCATATCTAGACAGTGATCATAATCATAAACTATTTACAATGCAAGTTATCATATGAGAAATACTTCATAGGAACTGTGGCGGAATTCCATACAAGTGTACTCAAAAACCTCATTTGCACTGTGACCCTCATAGACTTTGCTGATAATTTGCATGGTTGTAGAGCTCTATATAAAAAGATCACACCCAAAATTTCAGGGATCTAGGTCCACTCATGAGCTGCTAAAGAACTTCTCAGATTCGCTTTTGTCAATTTATTTTTTCGCCCAGTGGTTGTTACTTGATTGAAAACTGTAAGCACATTTGAAAAGTCAATAGTTAAACTGTCTGGATGATTTGGGAAAGGGAACAAAAGATTAGGGTTGTGGTGGTGAAGGAAACTCACTTTCAATGTATTCTCGTCTGGAGCTACTTGGATAGCATAAATGACACACCACTTTTTGTCATATACCACTGTAGCATAGCCAATTGGTAAGCCCAGTATCCAGGGTCTTCTGACCAATCCAGAAATAATCACCAGAGGAACTTATGAATTGACAAAGAGTGAATCTGAAAGGGTTCTTTTGCAGCTCAATGAAATCAGGATTGAACTTAATATTTGTCCTGTTTGAACTTAATATTTGTCCACAAACTTTGACCTGTTTGTGGTAACCAAAGCATATTCGAAAAAAATTCATCAAAATCAAAATTGCCCATTGGATGTGGTCTACATTGGAAATCTTGGTGCATTGTTTTAGTAAATAAACTTGAGAGACAGATTTTTTGTGCTCTTTTAGTCAGATTCGGAATTACAAGAGCCTTCATTTGATACCAAAATCTTTGTTTTAGGTGAGATTTTAGCTACAGAACAGAAGCTAAGAGAGTCTGGGTGTGGTCCAAATGCCCCCGATTTTGGAAATTTTGCAATTTTTGACCTGTCATAACTCAGAAACAAGTTGACCTAGAACCCTGAAATTTTAGGTACGTGAGCTTTTCTTATAGAGCCTTGCACCCATGCAAATTATTAGGAAAATCCATTCAGGGTCACTTTACAAGTTGGGTACACTTGATATGGAATATCCCCATGACAAGTTATGAAGAATCATCACACAGATTAACTCGAAGTCCTGATATGAACTAATTTAATTTAAAATATTCATGCAGGACAATCAAATTAAAAGAACGAGGGAGCATTTCTGGGAAGTTAATTGTTTTTGGTGTTTGGTTTAGAGAAATGTTACACTACTCCTCTCAACATAACAGGACTCATCAGAGCTGTGACTTGCCTCAGATGACCAGGCTAGTTTCAATAGCTTTGTCTTTGGATTTATCATGAGAGGAAGCAGGCCTTGCTTAAGCAAAATGAAGGTGCTCCATAAAAGGAGCTCCTACAAAACTCAAGGAGATCTTTTTTAAGCCTCTAATAAAACTGTCTTTAATGCATCTTTAGGAGCAGTTAAAAAAGTAAAAATTGGCTCATATACGATATGGTGTTGGTAAGCTCAGTATTCTTAGTGAAAACAAATCAAAAGTTTTGGGTCCAAACGGAAACACAGCATTTTCAAACATTGTGTTTCAAAGGATTCAACTCTCAAATTTTTTATATGTAAGTATTTTCTATGCATGGAAATAAATGTTTTCCTTGAAAATGTAAGATGTGATAAAAAATGGTATAAACTCTTGTACAAATCTTATATGATAATATTATGGTCATTTGAGAGGATAGTTTAAGTTTGATCAAAATTACTTTAAAACAATATTTAGCTTCATAGCAATATCATTTTACATTTTCAGGTGCTCATTTAATCATTGTCCATGGTTGTTTTTAGGTGAACTTTAGGGACCCCTGCTCGATCGAGGCTCTTTCCGAGCAAGGCCTGGGAGGAAGTTTGCTGGTTTTAAGCTTTTCAAATATTAAGTTCATACTGGCATACCTTTCAGTCTGAAAAAGTCCAAAAAAGTAAAACAATAAAACCTATGTGAAAGGAGTATTTTTGCAGGAAATATCCAGATGTTCAACCAACAACATAATTAAATATTAATAATGAGTGAAACTTAGGTTGACATTCAGTTAACATTTACTAAAACATTATAAGGAAACTAAGAATGTGGTTTAAGTCAAACAAAAATTCAAAGTACAACTGATAATCTAAATAACATTAATTCAGAAAGAAAATATATGATTTATTCGTTACAATGTGAATCAAATTTACATAGGGAATAAAAGAGGTCTAATCAAAGCAAATAAATCACTTTTTTGTAGAAATGTTTAGCCCTAGGCTTGGAAATGAATTCAATAAACAGAAGCCATGTGGCTAAAGAGAACAGCTGCAAATTAATATAAACATGAAATAACATGCCGTTACCTGTTTTTTCTTTTATTTCGCATAGAACACTGAACAGTGCAGGCTTCATTCTGTGGCAGTTCAAAGCATGCTTCCTGAAAAGTCAGATTGACCCATTAAATAGTGCTTCTAGCAAAAGTGATATGGGTGGATTTGCTTTTAAAAATCAGTGTGCTCATTTTTTAACACTGAAGTTGATATTCAAGCAAGCATGGAAATGCATGCATGTTAGAATAAATGATGCAAAACTGAAAAATTAAAGGAAATAAAAAGGCAGCAAATAGTCTTAAAGCAACACAAACTTTGCATATCAATTATATACAATATGATTGAAACGTATTCTCAACAATTCCTTGCCTGGGCATACGCAAACTGAGCAAATATGAACAAACAAATTCAAAATCTGCTTAAAAACATCTGGAAGCTTTATTTAGCACATCTTGAACCATGATTTATCATGATATACAGCACCGGACAAGAAAGCAGTCAAATGAACTCCACACTTTCTGCAAGCATGTTGGTTGTTGCTTAAGGGAACTTTTAGTTCTTTTGACCATGTTTGAGGCAGATTCGTATCAAAGCTGCAGAAGGTTGCAGAAATTTATGTTGAAGATGGCACATCAAGCATTCTTTCATATCACAAAGTTTTGAATGCATTGAGTTTTGTACCTTACCAATAATGAGGATGCCAGAGTTTTCTTAAGCTTTCTTGCTCCCTCTATAAATTTTTATTGATTCACACTTTTTAAAAGTATAAATTTCATAACAATATTGAGGCTCAGATTAAGTAAAAACTATTCAGTGAAAATGTTACTAGCCAGTCTCCAATTTTATAAAAAAATTTCCTTTACTAATGAACATTTTTTAAAAACAAGACAGGCTTGTATTGTGCAAGTTTGGAAAACAACAGTAGTAACAATTTGACCTTTCTTCTTGAGGAAGATTTGAAAATAATTTTACGTTAGAAATTTGGAAGAACATCAAACTTCAGTAAAAATCAAGAAATTCAGAAAAAGGTGTAGGATATGCTTGGTTTGCACAATAGAATACTCGAAGTATTTGCGAATACCAATCATTTCTCCAATATATGCTATAGACCCATATTTCATACTAAAATTAAGATAAAAATAATTTTGCATGCCAAAATGCCACTAAAACTGTGAAAAGGAGTTTAAGCTATCAGTTGCTGTGAAGGATCAGTTTCTTCCTAATCCTTGTTATCCAAAGATGCAGTTGCTTTGAGGAAGACCAATGGACAAATTGACAAGGATATATATAAAATGAAAGCAATCTTCTGCATTAAGACAAATCTTTGATGATTTTATTCAAATTTCTTTCAAAGAAAATATTTCTCAAAACATACAAGGACAATTTTTAGGAAGGTAAATTGGGCAAACTTACATCCTGGGCAAGGTTGAAGCTTGGAACACTGGACACAAGATATTGAATTGTATATCACTTATCATCTTAATTTCTCCAAATTCAATTTGAACTGTTAATTTGCAAGTCATTTTGGTTTTTACAATCAAGCTCTCCTAACCCCTTACTGAATAAAAAACAGCAATGAAATGTATGTAAAGAAACTGATAGAAATATAAAAATGGGCAATAATTTAGTAAAGGGTAGACACAAGGTTTGTTAAGCACTTTGTACAAAAAACTGATAATTTACATATTAAACTAATTAAATTAGTTTTGATTAATAAAAATTGTATGCATTTTTGCGGTCAAAATGACTTTCAACAGTGAGATATTATTGTCAACTGCAATAATACACATGATAAAAAGAACATGGGACACAGCTCCCTGAGACGTTTTGCTGAATCTTGTGTTTCTGTAATTACCATTTAAAATACAATCTTTTTATAAAAACACGAGCCTCAAAATTAGTAAAAAATTAAAAACAAATATAACTTTAAACAATGTTTCATCTCAAGAAACTAAAAGTCTTCTGCCATGAAGGGGCGTTTTCAGGTGAACTTTCAAACTTGGACTGGCCAGAAGACTTCCATAGAGCGCAATAGCTGGCAATCATACTGCTTACACCCTAATAACATAGCAAATCAAGAACAATCCAGACTCAGATTTTTAAAAACAATTAAGAACAGTCAGCTAGAACTTCAGTTTACTGTTTTTTTATAAAAAGCAGAGGGATTTTACTTGATATATCTTGTTGGTTTTTGTTTTCCAACTCAAATCAAGTTTTAGCTTTCCTATACTTGCTTCATTTAATGATTTGTTTCCCTGATTTTGCATCAAGCTTTGACTTTAATGTTTGACAGGGACTCAATATGTAACAAAAGCCACAATGAAAACAAAGATAGCAGGGAGGGGTACAAAAATGAAGTACCTATAAATAAATATCAAAGTTTATAGTGGTTTTGCAAGAATACAAGGCTTTTATACACCATTACTTTCCTATCATCTTTGTCATCTTTACCTAAACATATCTCTCTCTCGTTAATTCTGATTTGTTGCTATTTTCATTCAACAGTCTTAAATTTGTTGACGAGTGTCGAATAAACCGATGAACATTATTTGATTTTCCCTCAGTTAGATCAATGAATGTTTGTTTCTAATCAATTCATTCTTCTTCGAACCTTTCCTCTAAATCTAATGAAACCCACACTTGTAGGAGAACAGGAAATTCAAATAGAGGATCAATATTGTAACCGGCAAAACAAAACTTATATTATCGCAAGAAAAATGTGAAATAGGGCGACTTAAAAGTGCGATTATAACCCATTCATATTAACTCGATATATAGAGCGATTATAAGATTGTCAGATGAATAAACCAAGAATATTAAAGCCAAGCTGAAGGCAAAGTCTCTCTGAAGCGGCAACAAGCGAACTTCCGATGGCGACACCAAGTTGCAGTACGCGTAATCTTAGGGTAATGTGACTACATAAAAACAGCCATTGGAAAAAAAACCTGAACTAAAAGAACTTTAAGCTAAGTTATCAATGTTATAATTGATGACGTAAAAAAAGATCTACAAAACATTAAATTTTACCTGGCTTGGGCCTCATCAAGTGACTGATCTGTTATGTTCATTATCTGCTGTAAGATATCTCCGATCTCTTGTTTTCTGTATTCTGGCAACTCTTCCTGTCCATTCCCTATGTTTTGGTGATCAATTGACGGTTGTTGAAGGATGCCGGCTACATTTTGGGGTAGGGTGTTCGACGATTGTTGTTGGGAGGCAGCCATGTTCCTCCTCGTGTCTCAAACTAGGCTTCAACAACATTCGGTATGTCTGCATCACATCACACTTGACAGATCAGAGGCCTTCTGTCAATCAAATGCGCCTTCCGTGCAGCCATCTAACGCGTGGCAATTCACAGGGTTCACAATAAGCGAGACACCCGCAGTTGTCAGAGTTGTCAGTGATCCCTGCATTTATTACACATTTCCTAACTGCAATAGGTTATCATCGGGAGAAATAAACAAAAAATAACCGTAATAAAAACAAGGAACCTAGGTTTTACTCATAATTTTAGTATTACAGTTGATTGAAATAATAGAAAATTTACAGCAATAGTAAAAGAGTGTCACTAGTAAAAGTTAAGTGAAAAGCTTGAGATAATAGTTATTTCAAGTTGTGTTTAAATCCGCCCCAGGGGCGAAACTTCACTATTTTCATTGAAGGGGGGGGAAGGAAGCTTCGATGCCCGACGAAAGGGCGTGTCATGCTTGATGGAAGGGCGTGTCATGCCTGAACATCATTTCTAGGGCACATCGCCTTAAGGGTTGAAATCACCGAGGACCACGAGAGAGGGTCACTAAGTATGTCAGGCCTTCAGACTCACGCTGCTTTTCAAAGGCAAAAAAATAATGTCTTTAGTTTTTCTGGTGTTGGCTACAAACATTTGTTTCCGAAAAGCAAGCATTTTTAAGACCTGTCTTTTCTATAAAAGAAAAATAATCTTCACTTTCTAAATCTCCGAGCTATAAGGAGAGTAATTTAAAAGAGATTGAAGTATGGTCTCAATTTTATCACAGTGCAACAACAAAACACAGCTTGGAAATTCCGGAATTTAGAAACAGCTACGCAGACTACAATGTTTCAACAAAAAAGAGCTTCAGTTGCATCTGTCTGAGTTTGATTTTCAACCTTTGGTTGCTCCGTAAGGAATTTAAACATTTTTAGACACCCAAGCACAAAGTAAGTATCTCTGAATTCACCAAAGCAAAATCCTTCAAGAAAAGCTTTTTTATCGGAAATATTTTACAGGTACACCTATCATCAAAGCTCATTTTGCCTAAAACAAAAGGGCTGATCAGTGGACGAAACGAGACGAAAGCGCTGATCAGTGGACGAAAAACAGAAATGTATATATGCTTGCCTCGTTTCCATTTTGTTTCCCAACTGGGCGGAAATTGAAAAAATGATTGGGGGAGAGGATCATAAATTCAAAAACCAAGCTAGGGCAAAAAGTTGCAATAAAAGTGCGACCTAAAGAAAATTTCCAAACTTTTGCTTGCTAGTTTGATTACCAGTTTTCTACCCACCTATCCCTTTGGTCCATTTAAAGTGTGTCCTTAAAGCTGCAAACTAAATCATGATAGGAAAGGCTGTAAAGAATTAAAAAAATAGGAAATGTTTTCACAATCTAATATGCATTTTAAAATTTCCATCACTTTATCACTATTTAACAATTGTAAAAATAACTGTGCATTTGATCATATTGTACGCCCTAAGTAAACTGTCCTGCTATATTTTTCACAAAGTTCTGGCCACTGAACAATTAATCGATCAACCACATAATACAAAATTTTGGCAGACAGGGACAATGATTTGACTCTGCAGATGCTTTCAATGTACACAACTTTTATATCTTTTACCATCAGCAACTGAAAGAAATAATTTATTTTATTACAAAAAACCTGTCAAATAGGATTTTATACAGAATAATTAACAGTTTGAAGATAATTTGTAAAAATTCTTTAAAGTAATTTACCTTTAATAAGAAGCCACAGATACAGACTGGTACACATGTTCCAGGACCATTACAAAGAATCTGAAATTATATTGACATGGATTTCAACCTTGCAATTAGTACCCTTAAAATAATGGGAAAAATACAGAGCTCGCTCACCAGTTAAAATTCCCAGCAAAGTTAACCAGTTTTAGAGACAAAATAAAATTGTAGGATTGGAAATGATTCATTTGAAAAGTAAAGCTATTAAAGCCTGGAAAAAAATTAGCATACAACAATTATGTTGCTCATCAAAGACTATGTTATAAAAGGGCATTTTGTTAGTAGAGCAGAAAAAGGTAAATTTTGTTTACCCAAGTAGACGATTTGTTTCATTTTGGAAAAACACCCAATCAGATGCTGCAATCTGACCATTGCTTCATAATTTGAACTTGCAATTGACCCAAGCTATGGGACTTTCAAGAAGGAAGAACACGACCAACATTTTCTTAGATGCAAAAATTTATACTCTGCATGCGTTTTTTGGAAAACTAACATAATGTTCTGGTATAGGTTCATATATGATCGTTTATGCAACAGAAATTTCCATATATCCATTTGAAATATACATGACTTAATCTTGATGAGGTCTGGTAAAAGAGCTGTTAATGACTATCACAGAAACAAATCTTTTTTTCATAACTTACCAAATCAGGCATCTCTTGGATCACCATAGAGAAAGAAAAAAATGATGATACGACTGTTGATATTACTGATGTTAAATATGACTGCCCAACCTCTCTACTTCTTGGTATTCTTCTTATGTTAAACTAGAAAGAATATAAAGGAAGTTAGTTCTAGCAGACTCAAAAGTTGGTTCATCTTGTCATAATAATAAGACTATTGAAATACTCATACTCAAATTTACTACATAATTGAACTCTTGACAAAATTCATGCTACCAGGTTTCCATATCGGGCTTTACTCAGTTCATCATAAAGTATTCAGCACATGGAATTATAATTGCGAATTAATAATTGACCATGTTACCAAAGGTGAGTGGAAATAAACTTTGTTAAAGGCATTGAGTCATGGTAAATAGGCTTTCTCTATAGGGGGTCATTTGGTTTCGGCGTGATCGCTGCTGTTTCATGTGATATTGGCATTCGTTGTTGACAACTTGCTATTGATGGAAACTGTTATGTTAATCAGTAGGAGGTGAGTTCATGTGACCAGTTCAAGGTCAACCAATAGCATCGCAGTCATGGAAATCATGACTCAGCCGATTTTGGCACTTAGGGTATACCCAGTATATTTATCATGACTAAATGCCTTTAATGATAATTACTTCCAGCTTATATCATAGCGCTTCAGTCTAATTCTTTAATCTAATCATACCTCTGACTTCCCATCAAATTCTGCAATTTTACTTTTTTCAAACTCCAACACTTTATGCTGACTTCTTTTATCTGTGTCAGCAATCACATACACCTTTGGCGTAAATTTCACAGAAAGCCCTCTTAAAAGTGCAAGGATTTCCATTGTGTGACCACCTGAGGATAAAAATACAGTTACAAGATCATCCTAAGAATTTCAGAAGCCAAAAGTACTAAAAGCAGGAGTGTATCCTCAGGTGTAAAATCAAGGAATGCATGTAACCTGCTCATTGCTATCCCTCAGAAAAGATATATTAACAAAAGGGTTTTGTAAGCAGTTTCTTATTCAATAAGGAGAATTTGGCATTAGATTACATTATTCAATATTGGGGGGTGCTGGGCTCGAAAATCGTTCTGGTTCCTCTCAGCTCTTTAGGCAACTATATATTGTTAAAATAATTTGTTATATGGACTGTAAATAACTATATAATAACCTCATTGATATCAATTTGCAACTAAGTTGCTGAATATAAAAAGAATTTGAATTTGCTGCTTTCGAAATTTTGAAATAAGGGATCGAAATTTGCCAAACATTCTTTTCTTCTTTGTGTTGCTAAATATAACTGAAAATGCGAAAAAGAAACACCAAAATATGCAAAGATAAATAGCTTGTTAAGTTTAAACAGTTGCTTGTTGATGTTTCGCACAAGCATGCTCTAGGGCTTCTTCAGGATAACAGACAGCAGATTTTGTTTTGTTTACCTGAACCAACCACCACCAAAGTCTTGATAGGTCCGTCTCTTTTCTCGCAAGCTTCATTTTTCCGAGAAAAAAGGAGCCATGCAGCTCTGGAAATCAAGGTAATGACTAAAAAGAGAACAAATCCTATAAATATTGTTACTGCAGAGTTCATGTCTTCCGAACAACAATGCATAATTTGTTAAATACCTCGTCAGAATACAACTGAACAAAAAGTAACCATATTGAAAATTTGCCTCGTTATGGGTTTCCGGGGAGGCGCGAATGGTGTTTAGTGGATCCGGCCAGTCAGCAAAATTTATTGCTCGTGAACCTAGAAAATTTTGCAGAAGGGAATTATGGAAAATTCAATGAATAGAATGCCCTATAGAAAGTCATAACTTGTTATTTCTATTTTATGTATAAAACATTAGAATGTCACCAAAATACTGATTGCCTTAAAAGAAGCTTAACATCAGTGTAAAATTATAATGCGAAAAAATGTTAGTGAAAAGCCAGGCAAAATATCGAAAAATAAGTAGCATAGGAAAGCTCATAATCAGCATGTTATACTTGAATATCAAAAGGTATGGAAAATTCATTCCGAGCTTCGATATCAATTATCTGAAAATATTGCAAATCACTTACAAAAATTACTTTGTGAAAGAAGAAAGATGATATTTTTCGCGTTTCTTCCAGTAGCTTTAAAACTATTTTTGCCAAGCACATGGACCGAAATACAGCTTTTCACTTTAGGGGGCTTTTTACTTTGAACATGTAATATGGAGGACATGCAAGTACCAATTTTTTTTTCATGGAATCGCAATCAAAACAATTACTATACCAGTAGCAGAGTGCCAATCTAAATAGAAGCACAATGTTCAAATATTTTTTCGTGAAGTTTTAGTTGTAAGTAGAAGTAAAAAGTGAATAAATTTTGTTCAAATAGGGAAACTTGGAGAAAATACCTTTGGCCCTCCCTACCCCTTCCCTACCAAGGTACAAAACATTGTAAATTTGGTTCCAGAGTAAACCTGTCATTAGCATAGATTTTTTCTAATTCTTGGCTTCTTCAGACGGCAATTTTACATTTTGCCCTGTGTAAATTTCTATGGTAAACCTTCCAACAGCAAAGCAAGAAAACCTGTACAACTTTTTGCAAAGATTTCGTGCATTTGCTATCTACACTAAGGTATCAAAAGGATTGCACCACTTTGTTTGATAATTTGAAACTGTCAAAAGACGTCTGTTACTGTAATTTTTTAAACAAATGCTCTAGATAAATTAAAATTTTGATTAGTGGCCGTTTCACTTCCGACCCATTTCTATTCGCGACTTAAAAACACAATTAATTCGCATAACAATAGCTTTCGGTCATTCATGCTCTCCGCCTTTGAGGTGGTGCAATACTTTTGATACCCTACACATGGCATAAGCATTGCAAAAGAGAACTATTAGCTTTAGGGATATTTTCGAAAACCATGCATCATATTTATCCCTAGAAAAAATGTTATAAACATTGTTATTTATGATAATAGAATGTTTTTGTTGGGCTCATTAACTTTCATGGTGCTTCCAAAACCTAGGCTTCAAAGTTTACATAACTGTTCAAGCACCTTTGAAATTGCGTTTAGCTCAGGTTTAAATGATATGCTCGAAATTTCACACTAACATATATATGGGCACGATCTGTGTTTGGTCCGAGAGAGAGCCCAAAAAACATTAGCTCAGCCCTGCGTTAAAAAATTTAAATATATGAACAGGATAGCCGTATTGAAGACGCAAAGGAGATTAAGTATGCAGATTGATCGAAAACAAATTTCTCAGCTAAAGAAATCTTTTGTAGGAAAGCTAACACAAATGAAGCGGATCAGGAACAATATCCAGTAGAAATTTCTTCTAGCGTTGTACATACTTGTGTTTTTCAAACGTAAATTATGATTGATTTGTCTACGACAATGACTACAAACTCTGGAAACAGGACTGAAAATAATCAATTAGCTTAGAGCTTTGCAGCAAAAGAAATTTCTGAGATGCAAAAGTTTGATCATGTTCTACCAGCTTTAAACATACTTCAGTGGAAGTAACTCAAGAAAAGACGAGATTCTCTGGCAGACAAATGTTTAAGCAGCCCGGCCCCTCGATGTCTTTTTGGAATGTTTCAACAAATGAAGGAAGCCATCATTACAACATGAGAAAACATCCTCACCTGCATGTGCCTATACACTCTTTTATAAGGAACCATTTCATTAGAAAACAACATGTAGAAGTTTGAAAAACTTTAAAAACTTAGTCTACTACTCACCAACTTGATTCAAATTTCTAAAGAGTGCTTTCCTTTCATCTTAGCCTTGTAATCTTTGCATTGTAACGGTGAAAACCAGAAGATTTGAGCAATCTAAAATAATAAGACCATCAACTTCATCGCTAACTTCTTACGGGGTTCACAATGTTGCGTTTGCAAAAGATTATATCATAAAAACTTCCAAAAGTTTTAATATAAGATATCATAAATCAATTCATAAATCAAAAATCTGAAACTATCATAAATTTTCCTTGATCAGTTGATGTTTTTATTTACAGGAATTCTTGCAAGTAAAAGTTTTCTTTCTGGGTCTTTGCCCATACATCATCTTATAGATAATTCAACATCGTCAAACAATAAAAAATCTAAATTATTTAGAAAGTTCTGTTTAAATATAAATCTATGTTTTAGATGCTGCATTATATTTTGCTGCTTGAAATCATCAAACAGAACATCAAGCTCATCGTGTTTACTTCATATCTTCTGGCATAATTGGTTTTAATTCTAAACTATTTGTATACATATATCTGAAACTGGTGTTTTGCAAAACTCATTTAATGTACAACTATCAATCTCAAGCTCATGCATTTCTTTTTGATAGAAAACATTAAAAAATGATTTAAGGTAGCAGTTTTTTGGCAGTACAGAACTTGAAAATGGCTTTGAAAAAAGAAAAAAATTTGCAACATATTGGCTAAAACTTTTTCGTCTGACACTCCTCAGAGCATAAAACATCAGAATAAGGGTCCGAAAAATGTTTTGAAAACAATACTTAAATGGAAGTCCTCCAAGACAAAAAGGCTAAAAACAAAACCTGAAAAGAAAAAAAACTTTTAAACTTAAAGGGATGTCAAATTGATAGGGTTTTTAAAAGATATTACATAAATAAAGTCATTACTGGCTTTAAGACCACCTTTAGGTACACAAAATATTCTTACTAGGACATCATAAAAAAACTTTTTTCTGACTTTCTTGAAAATGAAGCTGGACATAAATATTTATAAGTAAAATCCAAGAATATAAAAAAATTAAATGAATGTAAAATGTTTGATGTTTGCAAAGTGACCAAAACATACATACAAAAATAGGGGCTCAAATGATTATAAAAAGGAAAGGGGGAGAACTTCTTTTACCAAGGATCTATAAGAATTTAAAACAGGTTATTGAAGCAGAAAGGAGTACTAAATTTATATTCAATTTTCGACAAATATATCAGAAGACTTCTTAGCAACAAGAAAGCTGGGTGAATTGGTAAACATAGAAGGACTCGAAAAACATAAAGATAATCGAGAGAAAATATGAAAACCACAAAAGCATGCAAAAATAAAGAAAATATGTGCCTAGACAAGCTTGTCAAATTATTCCGAATTATCCAGCAATATGCAAATACAGTTTACTATAAGGGCAAACTTAAGGGTATGGCTCTTTTAGAAGCAAGGCTTTCATTGTGGAGATGAAAGTCATCAAAGCAAAGAACAAATAGAACTGGGGTCTGGTGAGCCAAAAAACGTAAAAAGTACGGAGCTTCCATTGACAGGGCATTGATAAATACAAGGGATGATCAAGGGATAAAAATAAATGATTGAAAATATTGGGTCATTCGCAAAAGAGTCCATGATTTGGTGCCAAATTTAGAATGAGAAAAAAATGCAAAACACGTTAAAATATAGAAAAGTAGAAAAAAGACTTTAAGTACATGTTTTGCCTTGTCTTTCCATGGGACAAAAGAAAAGTCATTCTTTTTTCGGCAATGCTGCATTATTATCAAGTGAAAACCTTTCGCCTGGTATCTAATTTGAGAGAGTGTGTGTTGTTCTTTGTTTTTTTCCTTTTGTTAATTCATATGTAAGTTGTCTTAGTTTTTAGTGATGCCACGAAGTAGGCATAGTATTACATAACTAGTAAATTTGTATTGTGAATTTTTATTAGAATGTAAAAAAAATTAAAAAGATACAGGCAGATTTGAAAGCTGATATTTTTGAATCACTGATGTGCACTCTTTGTTTCGATAGGTCAGAAAACTTATAAACCTCTGTAAAAACTGCAGGACATAGTTGTAGTCGCGCAAAATTTTTGCAGGCTATGCCCTCGATATTTATAAAAAACTGTTACCAGCAAAATTGAAATTAGCAACAAAAGGGTAATCTAAAACAATAAAAAAATTTTTTGTTACGAAAATATATAGTAAGTGAAGTCGGAGGCGTCAAGGCAGGAAATTGGGACCCGGACAAATTGAGGGGAATTTACAGGTTTAGGGTCCACTTCGGCTTGAAAACAAGGCCCATTATGCCAACACTAGGAGGGAATTTTTCTGGTGACCCTGAGTAAAGGGCGTGGATGGAATTTTCCCATTCTAATCCCTCTCTTCATAATTCAAAATGTTTTTGGGAGCAAAATTCTTCAGGCTCTCCAGACTTATCATAATTCCCTCGAAGGACTTTTGTAAAAAATTTGGGTTTTCATATTTATCATTTATTGTGTACAAAACATTATGATGGGCGGCGGTCCATGGACTTCGAGGAAGCCTCGTTCACAAGTCGGTATTCTGTGATTCGATCAAGAATCAAACAGGAAAACATTTGCCTCATCATGGCAGACACTGCAGGAGATAGCTTCTACTTAAAATTGTATGCATTGCAGAAAAGACTAAAAGGGGAACGATTATTTATTCGACAAGACAAAGATATCATACGATCGTTGAACGAAAGTGTTACTGATACGTGCAAGAGTGTATATCACTTAGCCTGGAGGACTCGGCAACATTGGAGGAACCTAGACCGGCTGGTTTCTGGGAAAAGAGTTTTCCCATCAGAATGTACCCAAACTTCCATCTTGATTGAAAGTGCAATGTTCGAAGATGCATCAAAGCACTTAGGATACCAAGATGCAAGATATGGCGAGTTTCTTGCCTCCCTGAGATCTAACCCAAAGCTTGTTGCTTTAGTTTTAAATTGCGCAACAAACCACGGTGTCGATGTTAGTGGAGTGACAAGCTTACTACTTTGTTGCTTGTATGGAAGCTGCATTTTGAAAGAAGATGAAAACTATGTCCTGTCAGTTCTTAAACATCTTATTGAGATCCAAGTTTCTATTGCTGATGACGTTTTTCAATATTTCTGCAACCCAAAGAGCTCCCAGAATGCTTTTAACCTTGTTCTCAGTCAATATTCAGAGTTGCTTTTCACATCAAAACTTTACCTTACTGCCTCACTGCATGGTGCAGTGATGCAAATAATTGTTGATGATTTGTTTTATTTAGATATTGAAATAAATCTTGTCTTGAACAGGCTTCCCCCAAAACTGATCAGACAAAAATTTGGAGATCCTGGAACACCAAAAGCAAATAAGAAAATGGCAGAATATATTGAGAGTTCACAAAATTGTCTTATTAATCTGTGTAAAAAGTTTTTAAAGGGGCTTAGAGACAAGATTTACTGCTTTCCAACAAGTCTGCGGTGGATTCTACGTGAACTAAAAGATGTCATCATTAACAAGATGAACTGTGATGAAAAAAAGGCAAAAGCTTTACTTGGTCATGTGCTAATGCACTTCTTCATTTGCCCTGCTATTATCAATCCAGAACCATTTGGAATTAATTCTGATGCATTTATAACTGAAGTTGCGAGGTACAACCTTTCTCAGGTTGCTTGGCTCCTCAGATCATTGGCATTAGCAGAGCTTGGGATGAAAGACTTGAAAATGCATAAACTTCTGGAAAAATTTGAACCTGTAAGTTCAGATTAAGTTTAAGTTGCCAAATGTTCTGCCTTATGGTCTTCAAAATCCAGTATGAATACTTTTGATAATTAAATTTATTTGCTATAAAGCCTCTGAAGCTGTTTGGATTTCTGAAAATTTGATTTCTCTCCTTTTAGGAAATTATAGTTGCATTCGTTGATTCTATTTTACAAAATTCAGAAAAGCTGAACCCTTTGAGTGAAAAAGAGACTGTGGCGGGTTTGCATGCTAATGCAGCACTTATGACTGAAAGGGAACTCAAAACATTGGTAAGAGCAAATTATTGCTATTTGTACACTCTATTCTTGACAGGATATTCTTATTTTGGGCTAGTGTGAAAAGAAAGGGACATGCTGTATAGACCAAGCAATTTTTGAATGTTTGACGATCAGAAGTATGTTTTCTCTTTGAATGAAAAATTTGCAGCTTTGCCTACAGGGCTTTGAGCACTTCATGACAGACCGTAAACAGTAATTCTTATTCAGTTAGTCTAAAATACAATCATGTAAAGTTCTTTTCCTTGTCTTCTTTATGTTTAATTTGTTATGTGTGATATTGTATATGTATTCAGGTGTTATCTTGTAGAATTGTATTTAGGATTGAATGATAAATAAATGAAACTGAAACTGAAATTTAAACTGAGTAATCTGTTCAGATAGATGTGTCATGGGCATTTAATTTTATGATGGAAATGTGACTATCAAAGGGGACAATATTTTGGATACTTAGGCTAATGGCTAATTGCAGTTATTTACCTGTCAACATCATATTTTTTAGAATAAGAAAGCCAAAGATGCTTTTCATGAGCAGGAGCTTGTCAGGGTCCCCCCCTCTAAGTATGGGACATTGGCAATTGTACCTAGCCTAAAGGCATTTAGTGTATTTAAGTGCACTAAAAAATTAAAAACAACCTTGCCATTGCATCCTCTTCCATACATTTAGATAGATAAATGAATTTGAGCTCTTTTCTTTAACATTGAATGAAATACATTTTTGTTACAATTCATCACTGACCAGGTCCAGTTTATGAAAAAGGCTTCAAGTGAAAATGATGATAATTTGAAGCATAATGGAATTGAAGAATTAATGGCCCTTCTTCCACCAATGCCAAGAAGATGGACTAAGCAGCAAGCTACATCCCAAAGAACTGCAACATCATTGCCCATAGCAATGCAGCTAAAGGCAAACCCAGAATTGATGAAACCAGTGCCAGCTCCAAAAACAAACAAAAGCAAGAAGAAGACAACTAGTATGTACTCCCCAAAAATCGATATTCAGTCACTGGGCACACTAAATGAGGACCAAGAGGAAGTAAGATCAAGCAACCTTACCCTTTTTTGGTATAATTTCTTTGTTTGTTAATTAGAGGTCATTATTCTGCTCTGTTGCATATTTACACTACCTACCATCACGAGTTTCAATCTATAATAACTTTTTCCTGAAAAGAAAATAGATTGTGAACTTGGGTCTACCTTGCAAACCTTGTTTCATAATTGTTCAATTTATAACCTCTTATAGGTATTGACTGTGCTATTATTGGTGGACCTAAGACTGATCACATGATATTACCTGATACTGGTTTTAAAAACATTTTGTGTCATTTGTTAACTATGGCTGCTGAGATAACATAGACAGAAGAACAGATTCTCAGTATAGGGAATCTAAAATTTCCTATCAGAACTTGTATAAAAGGTGTGAAGAAAGACCAATTTCAATGGACATCCTCAAAGGTAGATGGCAACTGTTTGGTTCATCTGATGAGACATCAGCAGTAAAGGCGATAAGATTCTACTTTGAAAGATCAGAAAAAAGATTTGTAATAACATTGAACAACGATATCACCAAAGCGAGATCAATGGAAAGGTCATTTCCAGTATCTATCAAGAACAAAGGTGTTTTTGAACAGATAAGATCAACAGCAAATCACTACTGAAAAGAATGGAGAATAATTCAGAAATAGTTTGCAGAGCAGTAGAAGCAGAAACAACATGAAACCTTTGTCTCGTCACTGCAATGTTATATCTATATATATGTATATTTATTATATATATATATATATATTTATTATATATGTATAATAGGGTTGATACAATAGAATTAGTACAATAGAGTTAATACAATTGGGTTGGTACATTGTATTAACTCTATTGTATTAATTTTGCATATGTTAGCTCCATTTTATTTTAAAAGTATTACTGATGAAGACTTCGGTCGAAACGTTTACATGAGATTGTTTTTCTTGAAGATCTATATATATATATATATATGTATGATTTACTCTTTTTTACTAACGTATTTCAGTTGATTAATTTTGTTTTAAATCTTGAAAAAATCATTGTATATCCTAATCCCCTTTTTGAATTATTTCATGTGATATCATTTGTGCGTTTTGTAGCAAAAACCACAGAGTAATAAAGAAGAATATGAAGGCATATTGATGGAGCTGCAAGATATGATTGAAGAAGGCGAGATTATTCTCGTGATATCTTTCAATCCTGATTATGAAATGCCTGGAATGCTACCTGAAGAAAAGGTATTATTACCCTTAATTGTTCTCAGTAATGGAACTCTTGTTGCATAAACATACAGACAGAATGAGTCATGTGTGTGTACTCAGCAGTGAAATTACCCCCAGCCTTGCAACTGCTACTGGCGCGAGAGCATTATCGTGGCAGCAAGTTTTTTGTATTGGAACAACAGTAACCATGAGTGGGACTTTTTGTACTGCAATACGAAATTATGTACTGAGTGAATGGAGGCATGGCGTGTGAAAGATGTTGTATCACATAACTTGTATCCTGAAGTGAATTTGGACAAATTGTTTGAGAGGAAAGCAGATCATGACTGCGTCAACCTACTATATCCCTAATTAAATTCGTTTTTTTCTTTTTTCAGGTATTGGGTATAAAAGATAACGTGATCCAAAGTACTGCAGTAGATAGTGATGATGTTGAAAAGGAACGACAGATAAGAGCTTCTAGCATGATAAAGGCAATGAAAGATCTAGAAGGGCTGAATTTTCATACACCTCTAAGCGAGGAAGAAGCTACGAATACGAATGATTTCGCCAGGAGTTGCTTAGATTCCGAAGATAGCACGCCTCAAGGAACGCCCCAAGGAACGCCCCAAGCAACGCCTCAAGGAACGCCCCAAGTAACCCCTCAAGGAACACCCCAAGCAACGCCTCAAGGAACGCCTAATTCAGTTTTAATTGATAACTATGCTAGTATTGGAAATGATGAAAGTGTTTTTAATGAGAGTCTTGGTAGAAGCAGGAACCTTGCACCAGAAGACGATGCACATTGGACTGCAAATGTGCCACTTGTATCTCCAGTGAGAATAAACAAAAATTCCGAACTGTTGATTGCACTTGAAGATACTGAAATGTCTCAACATTTGACTGGCTTTCCAACAACAGCGGCTTATACCCCGAAGCAAGAAAATAACTCGTTGCTGGATCTTTCGCCTACAAGCTACATCACAACATTTAACTTTTCATCGCAGTCTTCCGAGGCATTTTCAGAAAACAAATCGGCAACTTTAGGCCCAATGCGTAGTACCCCACAGCCGACGGTATCTCCATTCAACCAGTCGGCTAGCCTTGGAAGGAATGTTGCCCCAATACAAGCTGACAAACGAACTAGTCATATATCAACTGGAAGTTTATTAGGTGGCTTAAATACTATCCTTCAGCAGCCCTCGCGTACTCTGAGTAACTCTTTTGCTTTCAAAGGCGATGATCCTATTTCAGAGCAGGAAGGTGGCGAGGGCGCGTTAGAAAGTGGATTTGAGGCTATTGCTGAACCAAATAGTGATAGTTCCGATGGAGGTGAAGAAGCCAAGGGCGTATCACTGTCTGTAGCTTCGCGTAAGCAAGAGGAGACCGCTTCTAACTCCTCTTTAGTAGATTCCGACTTAGAGACAGCAGACAAAAACAAGGAAGGCAATGTGAAGAGGGAATATGATAGTCCGACAACGAAACGTGCTGCCAAAGGAATTATATCTTGTGTTTTGGATACGAAGAGCGAGACTCTCAAGCAAATGAAAAAGGAAATGGCAGAGCAGGAGAAAAGAGACAGAAAAAAATCATCGAGTGCATGGCTGAAGGGAAAACTCGCCACGGGCAAGGAGAAAATCAAATCTGTAAAAAGCAGGTCAAAAAGTGATGGCCAAGCTTTGAGAAAAGAGCAACAATTGAAAGCAGAACGTAATTTCACGGCGCCACAGTCACAACTCAAGACAACATCTGAACCCCATCAGCAGTTAGTCTCACCAACGCCATCAAACTCATCCAACGGTTTGTCTATATTTTTCTTATTTCGACTGCTAAAAAGCACTTCGTTTTTAGGAAACGTTCTGTTTCGTGTGAACTTACCCCATTCCTAGTTGTTTATGATTATATAGACGATTTTGGACAATGCCTAGGGTTTAAATTGTGATTATATTTAAAAATATCCCTGTGCTTCATTATAGTGACAGTGGTTCCATACTTTTTAAGAACTTTTTTAGCCGTCTTGATAATCCACATCAGGTATCAGCCTTGGTTTAAACATCAACTTGAATGTGTACGAGGTTGTTGCGATATAAGTTGAATTTTCCGCCCCATCTTAACTGTACGAGCCTGGGAGATAAATCTGTTTCCAAATTCACGGAAATTTTTGTTTTTTAAAGAGTTTATCAACTTTATTCACACTAATTATTAAATATTTCAGATATTGAAGACATTCTAAACAAGTATCGACGCATTTCTCCAAAAACGGCTGGCTGGATGGAAGATGATCAAAGCAGCGATGATGTTGTTGTAGCTCAAGATATTGAATTTGACGACGACTTTAAATTCGAGGATGCAAAACGAAAGCTTAGAATTGTTCTTTGCATGGCAGATAGAAGCAATTTTCCAGGGTTTGTTAAACCGCCTTTTAACATTGAGATCAAGTTTTCTGTCGGCCATTTAATTGCCATTATAAAACTACCCTGAATTGTCATCTTGGACCACCTTTGCAGATATTTTTTACAGGGAAACTTCATAAAGCTTCTGGGCATTCTATAGAACAATTAGAGGGTTAGTTTATTTCTTAATGAATCGAAATTTTCTAATGGATGATGCATTGAATATGTTTAAAATCAGTGGCGGAGAGCTGGGGGCGAGGGAGGCGGCAGCTGATGACAATGACAATGATCTTTTGTTCTAAAACAATGACACAATGTGACGTCATCTTATCAAAACAGTAGCCCCCCCCCCCCAATCTTTGACCAAGTGTCCGCCACTGTTTCAGTTGGTTAGAAACTGAGAGGTACAGATGCATAATCATGTTGTATGTTGTATCATGTTGTAGTGTCAGGAAATATAGATTATTATGGCTTGTGCTATTGATTGAGTATAAGGACTTTTATGTGTGTTCAAATTTCATGCCTTCCTGTATGATCCGTACCAGACTTGTTATGGCAAATATTTATAGACTTGTATGTTTGTTATGGTCAATACCAGACTTGTCAGTGAACATGTATAAACATTTTCATGCATCTTAGTTGAAAATATGGTAATGATTGTTAATCAAATCGTGTTTTGTTTCTTTAGAGAATCTTCGAGCTGCTTCAGTTTATTGATGACGTTTTTACAAGCACAATTAGCCGAGGCAATTAACTTACAGGACAGGTCTGTCGTAGCCCAGCTGCACGAGACATTGCGCAGCATAAGACAGTTACCGCGTGAAAGGTTGGCATGTGTTCCAGTTATTTGACCTAAGCAGTTGCATTGTTGCAAAGATCTCGTAGGAATGAAGTCAACAAATAAACAATATCTTGACATCAGTTAATATTTAGAATCAAGCCTATGGCACTGCTAGTAAGCCACAAGCTGCATGTAGCTTTAAATTTACCTTAATATGAAGATGTGATGCAAAAAAGAATGAATCACGAGTTCTCGGTCCCTTCGATGCAAGTCTCTTGAACTTTCAATAACAATTTACATCAGGCCCTACAATTTGAATTATCAAATTTTGGCGTTAAAATGGATGATTAAGAAAGGGAAAACACTTGTTTGAACTCGGAAATTATCAGACTATTAGGTAGTCAAAACCATTAGCTTTGAATTATAGTTAGACTTTTATATGACTTTACTGAAGAGAATAATGTTTAATTGTTTCAGTTGTGAAAAACTGCTAAACGCACTGGAGGAAGAGTACAAGCTACGGGCACCCTATATTTCATACCTTCTAAGAAGCAAACAAGGACTTCTAGCATCAATGTCGCATCTGGAGCAAATTCGGAAGAAAGTCGAACGGTAAATAAAATTTCATTATTTGCATTTAGGTTTAGGTAAACTCTGCAATCACGAGTGTAGGTAATCGTCATTTTTTAATTCAGTATTACTATTTTCTCACTAGCAGTTCGTCTGGTTCATCTCTAAATTCTAAACATTTTTTAGCTACAAATAAATAGGCCTTTGAAAATCTGTGAATAAAGAAAAGGTCTTAATAGCAGTCTGCACGATGGACTCCAAGGAGTTCTTGCGGCGAAAAATCGATTGAAATGTAGCAAATAAGAAACACGGCAAAACGACGAGAATGAACAACAATAAATACACGTAAATTTGTGAAGGCCAATATTTCGCCCACGGCATACAGGGCTTCATCAGAGCAAAACTTTAAAAATCTGTCAGCTCTCCTCCCATTTCCTAACATTTATTGTTTACAAATTGATTAAGCGTACCTGTACAGCGTACGTTTTCTGTTAGTACTTGTAACTGTTCTTTGTTTAACTGGCTGTCTGCACTACTGAGCTCCAGCGTTACAAGGAGCCTGAATTGGCAACTCGACATTTCTGTGCGTTTCATAGCCATTATCTCCTGCTATTTTTATCAGCGACAAAGCAATATGCAGCAAATACTTCACAACGGTTTGTGTGCGGCTGTTCTTGGATACGCCAGATAAGAAGCGGGAGATAGCTCAGTTTTCGCAGAATTTCGAAGAGACAGGGATGCCAGACGAGAAGGTATTTATGTATTTGCAAACGAATATAGCTTTTCAATGCATGTTGTTTCCAAGAGACATGTTATGACCCATTTTTAGGAGAGATTTTAAATGAGATTTCTGTTGATAAAAAATATGTGCATATGTCGTGTGCGCTTTTAAATACAACATTAACAGCTTATAACCACAAAGAATTCATTAAAATGTAATGAAGTCAGTATAAATGGTGACCTACCTTTCCTTTTTCGTAGTGTGCTTTGCTGGAAGAGTTTCTTGAAGACCTTTATAAAGAGATGAGTACTGATCCAACGTGGGTTTGTAAGTATATAAATGTCAAAATTCAAATCTTTCCTAAATTTTCAACAATACTTGTCTCTGCATCATAATTTTGTCAATTTAAATATGGATACTGTCCATATCTAAATCCTGGAAATGCTGCGGACCCAGGATAAATTTCTCTTTCCGAAGAAAATTTGTATTAAGCATCGTTTCGAAACCTCCTTTATAAAACTAGCTAGTCGCAAAATGGCCGAACGCCGAACGGCCTTTCTCTGCTTAAAGAAAATTCAGATATGTGGCTTCATGTCAATTATTTTTTGGATCTTATTTATTATTGATAATCTTATAAGATTATTGATAATAATAAACATAAATTTTTCTTGTAAAAGCAGTTCATTACGGCGAACTAAGAAATTTTATTGGAATATCCTGATAACATATTGCTTAGTTAACATATCCTGACAGTTTAGAAAAATATCATATAAGTTACAGAGAAAAACTTTCTTCCTTGTCCCTTTTTTAGTAAACCAACAGTGTTAAAAATGGGGGGGGGGGGTGGTTTAAACTAGCGCTTGAAAACTGTCGTTGGTATTCCAAGACTTTTGGCAGGGATTACGCCTATAGGAACCTATGTGTTTCCGTTTAGCTTAGATCGATTCTTATGCAATAAGCATTTTTAAGTTATTTACTGCTTATTTTTTATAAGATTTGTACTTTAAATAAAATGCTCTTTTCAGTTGTTTGCCATGTCATCATGTTGAGTATCAAGTCATTCTTTTTTTGTGTTAGCAAATTACATTGCACTACTGATATCTGCACTTGAGAAAAAGAAAAATCTTTTTTTTAATCGTTTAGGGAAACTTTTTAGGAAATTAGTGCAAATAAAGATCTAATTAAAGTGGCCTAATATGCAATTTTTTAACCTATCGGTTCTTAAAAAAGTGGGTTCTTATAAGTGGGTTTTCAATCTATTTAGTTTCCAAGTTGCAATCTTTGTATTTGTTTATGTCCCAAGACTTGGTCAGCGTAGGAGTTTGTTGGTTGGATAATAAAAAATTTTACTTTCTTAGCTGCGCTGGACGAACAATGGTTGGATGCGAAAATTGCAACAGAAAGGACTATTATGACAAGGATATATGAAGCTGCATTTTATCCCAATGGCAACCAAGATAAAGAAAATGACAAGTAAGCGAAGTACACTGACCGTTTTTAAATCTCCAATTTCTCACCAAATAGAAGCAGTGCATTACAGTGATTCACGAGAAAGAATCCAATCATTCCTTCCCTCTGTTAGCCTAAAAGTTTACTTAGAATTTGAATGAATAAAGCCATCTTTTTGTCTGAATGGTGTCAAGCCCGCGCTATAAGGATTTCTTGTCTCCGCTTAACCCCTACGGATCTCGCCTCTTTCCCACAAGATCGGGCCCATTTAAAGGAATCCCCTAGGGATCTGGTCCTTCGTGCAGTTAACCCTTTCGGATCTGGGAGATCCCCTGCACACCTGAAGGAACCTTTGCTAATCTGAACTTTCTCCTACGGATCTGAATTCCGGTTAATACTGAAAATATAAGTCCAAACAGTAAAGAGCAACATACGACTTAAAGTCAAATAGTCAATTGAGAAATGGTTATGGAAATGGGGTCCTTGATAACCGAAACTTTGTTTACAAATAGGATCTTTACTAGGATAAAGTTAGGTTTAATGAACTAGGAAAGGAATGATACAAAAATAAGACTAAATTTAGGCTAAATTTAGAATAGGTTTTAATTACACTGGTCTTAAAACCTGTAATGAAATTTCATTTCACATTCAGGGTTTATTTTAAGGATTTTCAATCACTGCAAAAACGATTTTCAAAACGTTTTTAGTTTAGTAAAATGTTGCATGTTAGTGTGTATGGTGATTGATGCTCATTGATTTAAACGATGTCTCATCACTAAGTTAGAGAGCCACTTGAGGTCGAAAAAGAGTTAAATAATAAAAATAAAAGTTTTGTGTAGCATTTTAAAGTAAAGCAACTTTTAATCTAAGCTTAGGATTGAAATCAGACGTCGTTATCTAGTTATTAATATAATTTAATATTTTGACAGGATATTTCACGACCATATCAACCGATTGTCCAAGACCATCACAGTTAACCACAAAGCCCTTCAGATCCCAAAGGTTTGTTGCATTATAAATGCATGTTTGAATTACAGAGTTCTTCAACAGTTTTGTTTGTAATACCTGTGTTGAAAAAATTCTTCCTGTATTAACATAGATATTGATGCATTTTATGCATAATCTGCAACTGTACTACACTATAGTAGAGTACCGAATAATCGTCCCCCTCAACTTATTAATTTTTTAATAACCTGCGTAGTTTGTCAACCCCTTTTGTTTATTCAGTATTATCTAAAATATAAGGGAACGATTGCCTGATGTTCACTAAAAGCGTGAAACTCAATCTTAGGACTGCCCCATGTTCTAAATACCATAAGCGTGTACAACTCTGCCTAATCGGTATCGAGCTCTTCAAGATAGACCCGTAAACTGGAATTTTCATTAGAATATAAGGGTACATTATTTCGATTTTTTCTCCCAAGTTATCTATTTTAAAACTCTTCTTTTGCATTTAAAACCATATAATTTTTTAATTTTCATCACTTGTAAGCTGATCAAGCCTGAACTGACGAAATGAGCAAATTATTTATCATAGATTAAGTTCCCGTCACCCAGAAACCAGTTATAAGCAGCGAATGAAAACACAATACGTTATCTAAAAGCGCAGTAAAAATTAGAGAAATAAATTTGTAGAAAAAGTTTCCCATATTTAAGAAGCGCGCTGAGTCATCAAAAGTTCTCTTGAAGACATCAAGCACTTGATAATTACCGACATATGGCTACGTGTTAATCTCAAATTCCGCTGATATTTGACCATTTAAGGTAGCGCACAATTGATTGAAGTTCTTGATCGACCAGCGCTTTGATTGTAGTTGAGTTAAAGCGCCCCTTACTTCTTTTACTAAACAGTGCCCTCGAGCTTTGGACACGATTTTTGTGACCCGATTAGAATTTTCCGTAATGTATTTCACATTGTTCCTGCATAATAATTTTGTCTTTCTTAAAGGTCTTGCAAAAGGAAGCCCCGTGGCCATCTGCCCAGACTGAACTGCTCATGATTAATGCGTATAAGGTTTGTTTGCTATTTTTCTGTTTTATGCGAAAAATAAAATGTGAATTTTAAGTAATTATAGGTCCGTAGCTAAGATGGTGGGATGTTCTCCAGATGTGTCATTCATTTGTAACAAACGTTAAATTAGAAAAAAATCTCAATGTCAACTCTGTTTGCCACCTTGAGACGCATCCTAGGAAACGCTAACCTTGAAAATATTATGATAGTTATTTCCACCTTTTCAGACAGGGAGAAGCTGGAGCATTTGTCTATGCTGGCAAAAACTCCTTTCAAATGCTTTTGTTGCTATCAAATAATTTAGAATAAAGTACTGAAGTGATGGCGTCACAAAAATATATTTTTAGAAGTTTTCAATTTTGATTTTATAACCCTATCTCGTGATTTCTTCAGTGGTGCGTCGTTTGATAACTGTTGCACGATCACATGCTGTCGTCAGTTTTTACAATCAAATCTATCTTGATTTAAGAGCTTTTTAGCGGTATGAATAGCCCTGTCGATTTGTGACGACAGCTTGCTTTGTTTCGTAGACACCTGCAGAAAAACTGCGATGCATCCATCGTTGTTGCATCTCTATAATGAACCTGCTGAGTATGGCAACGCCAAATCAAACGTCTGGGGCAGATGAATTCGTACCAGTTCTAGTTTACGTTGTCATTCGAGCCAATCCGCCCAAGCTCCTGTCGACTAAACAATACATAAATAATTTTTTCATTAATCGACTAACCGGTGAGGAGAGATACTGTTGGGCCCAGTTTTGTGGTGCCACTGAATTTGTTAAAAGCATCAGCTCTTAAGAATACTTGTCGACAATAAATGCTTTACTCAAATATTTGATTTACTTGAGTTATTTGAGCAAAAAGTAATTAAAATTAATTGATAGGAACACGATATTCAGAGGTTCCCTACAGTATTGACCCTAAGTTCCCTAGCTTGTATCAAAGCTACAAAAATTAGATATTAATGTTATACTATTAGTTGCTGTAAAGTGACAATGATGCTACACCTTTCACCAATGCAATAAGCACAAAATTACCTTTTACTAGTGTATTTAACTATTTCTTCAAACACTTCTTAAGGTTTCCAGTATTATTGTCTTCTTTCTATGTGACAATCCATGCAGGGCTTAGAGTTAAATATGGTTTTCCCCTATAATATCAAGTTTAGTTCTAAAAATATGTTCATATTTAGTTTTACAATTACAGTATTTTCTTAATGAATTGATGACAATTAGAATAGCTTAAACTACCTTAAAAGTTTTGGCAAATATTGAATTTTGTTATGTGTTGATGATTATCCTATACCTGTTAAAAGACTTTCTGTTGTGTATGTCAACAACGTGTACACTTTACAAAATGGTTTGGGTGCATAAATAGCATTGGTTCTTGGTTGCTTTGAGAAAACAAACAGCAATGTAAACAAAATGGATAACAGTGATGATACCCCCAATATTTTTGCTGAAAAAAATGCTGCAGAACAGTGTTCAATGCTGATCTCAAACCATGGAATATACAATTTCAGAAGCTTATGCAAAAGGTAGAAGGCTCCCATTTTTAGGAGCTGCCTCACCACCTGCTTTAGTTAAGACTTTCCAATGCCCCACTCTTTGCTTTGACAAAAAAGTACTGAAAAACCAAACCTCAAATCACAGTTGCACTGAGCAAAAGCATTGAGCAAAATCACAGAGCAAAGACAGTTGCACTTTGAAAAAGCATTTTCTGACCCCTGATTATCTACTTAAAATACACAAAACAACTTACAGCATAGGTAGACATGGCAACTTTTACAAACAGGTAATGCAGTTTATTTAAGCATATATATTTTATTAGTAATTCTTAAACTGACAAATCAAATTATATTTAATTCTAAAACTTTAGTTTGAGGCTACAACAAGTTTCATTAAGTTAACTCTATACAAATACATATTTATGTCTAAAAAGTCAACTTTAAAAATTGGATATTCTTCTCAGTGGTCAACGTCACCGTTTGCTTCTTTTGAATGTTGCAAAGATGCAATGTACCTGAGTTTAGGACAGACAACATTAGATTTTAAATTTTGTCAAATGCATGAAATCAGCATTAGTTCTGTTGTTGTCTTTGTTTGTTTTGTGGCAAATAAATACACGTATGGAAATTAACTGTGGGTACAGAAGTTTTCTATAGATTAGGGGTGTCCATAGATCATGAACTTATTTTTTTGGGTGGGCCATAGACAAAATCTTACTACACAGGCAGGCCAGATGAATAATTATGTAAATCAGCGTCAAATTGAGTATTGTTACATGAACAATTACATTAAATAGTAAAATGAAAAAATTATCAATGTGAAATGTTACATTCCTTGTTGGTAGAAAGGTAACAGATACCTCTGCTCACAATAATGATAAATTATACTTGATAATGAGAATGTATGCCTTATAATGAATCATAAAAAGTTTAGGGAGGGGATGGCACTCCATTATTAAAAAAAATATTGATTTAGCAGAATATGCCCTGTATATTGGACACCCCTGCCATAAATACTAAAGGCCAGTTTTCACTTGAGTGAAATTTTCAGTGAATTTGTCAGCGATTGGAATGTCTTTTGTTCTTTCCGAGAATAGGCGAATTCACTAGCAAATTTTGAAAGTTGAAAGAAGTTTAACTTCCTAGCGAAACACAACTTCCCTCTGAGCGGAATTGCTCTGCGACTGCGCTGATGAATTCACTCAAGTGGAGACCCGCTTTAAAAGGTGGTACAAAAGCAGGAAATATGACATTGTTTAATGAATATTAACCACTAATGAAAAGCTATTAGGCATCGAGAAAAAGCTAGAATTTAACAAAATTTCAAAACATTGGGAATACTTTCAAATTAGAAATTTAATTTTATGATATTGACAAATAGAATTGAGAATGAAAGACATGAACTTTTTTATTGGTGCCTCAAACATTGTTATTGAAGCCTCAAAATTTGATTAATAACTTCAAATACTCAGTTTTGTTAAAACAGGAAGTGATGAAGGTAAAAAACTATTTGCAAGGAAACTTCAAAGTTTTTAAAACCATAATCACTTATTGATCTTTTTGTAAAATGTGATGCATCATCAGTTTATACAAAGTTAAATAAATTTCAGTGTCATGGAAAACCTTGGTTTTTTCATTCCGTGAGAAACTGCAACTTTTGCTTTCTGAAATTATCAGCATCATTTGCTTATTAAGCAACATGTCAATGGATTGGTAAAAATCAATGAAAATTGTCAAGCATTTTTTAGCTGTACCTTCTTTTAAGTAGGGTTAATTTCGAAAAGCAAATAGAAGCTTGGCAATGTCATTCGATAATTTATCAAATAAAGCTTATCATACCCTTTGTTTCTGATGACCCCTCGGCACTTCACTACAACTGAATATCTCACAACCCAGCGGGTCTGCCATCCTTTAATGCTGTCCTCAGCAAATGAACCAACAATTCTGTCAACATTTTCTTCTGGCAGCAATGCTATTATCATGATAATTTTCAGCAATTACCAGTATGAAAGACATGACATGAAAATTTTGAAAAATACAGTTTGCAGTATTTGCTTCACAAATGAAGCAGAGTAATATAGCCCTATTGCTAACCAACAGTTTCAGAAACCCATCAAAATAGTGATTGATTTATAGTTCCTAGCTCTTCTTTGGCAGGTTTAATTATGCTGGGAATTGGATGCAGAAATGAATGCTCATGCATGTTTGATTGACAAGTAAAACGTTTTAATGATGAAAAAATTATTTGTTGATGAACTAAAACCAAGTATTGATCAGAATACTTACTAGGTGGATCACCATGTGTGTGAAGCAAAATCTCTTGCTGTTTGGCATACTCTACCAAATTCTATCAAACAAAAATGAATTCATATCTATCAAAGTACTGCATATGGTGTTTTCTGATGCATGAACAAAGATAAGGTAATAAATTTGCAGATTCAATTACATTACCACAGGGATATACTGGGTATCCTAATGGCCAGATAGTCCACCACTGAAATTTGTGTGAATTTTGAAAATGTTGCTTCTGGCTGCACTGTTTCTGATATCTAGTAAGCTACTAGATTTTTGAGAACTTGTTTTAAAAAGACTGAGGTGCGAAAAATGACAAACAACGTAAATATTTGTTTATAACAGAACACACCAATAACAATGCTTGTGAATGAGCATTGTTATATCTATAGGTTCTCTGTGAAAATTCATATAATGATGAATATTCCAGGGTCTTTGCATGTGATATACAGAGCAGTACCTTTCTTAATTCCAAAAAATCACCTTAAAGGTCCCCAAGATTACAAAACTGTGGAAATAAAATAACTTGAGATATATTATTTTACACACAAAAAAACAAAGGAAAGAATGTCAAGCTCCAAAGTAATCATATAATATCAACATAAAAAAGTATTCCCTTACTGATATGCTACCCTTACCTGTGGCATATGGCAACATGAGGTAAGATTCACTTGATTAACTTCAGGTTTAATCTGCAAAAAGGTAGGAAGGAGACCTTATAATATCTCACTTGTTAAAGCAGGATTGGATCTTTGATTTGTCATACTTTTTGTTAATCTTGTTAATCTAAGACCTTGATCAGTTTTGACTGACTAGACTTTGAAAAAGACAAGACTCATTGTATCGTTACTTCAAAGACAATTATATACTTCAGAGACAAAAGTATTGTTTCTTTCGATCTATGCTTGAAATTTGGTGTCTTCAGCAAAGAAAGTAAAGGGGTTCAAAAGAAGCTCCCCATATTCCTGAAGTGGGGCAAAGATGAAATTTTAGGCTATTCTGTTGAAGCCTGCGACAATAAGCAAAATTTAACAAAGATTTGGTGCAAGTTGTGTGTGAAATATTAAGACCGGTTCATCAGGCATCCATCATGCTGAGGAGTGAAAGCTATTCCTGTGAAAGCTTTTGTGGATTGCACTTGCTGGAAATTTTGCTTTTTGCACCCCACAGGTTCAACGCCAGTAATTTCAGAGTCCACTCTAAACAACCCTCCCCAGAAGGGGTCACATACCACAATTTTTCATAGAAAAAAAGGCATGCCCTTTTAATATTTCATTTGCAATGTTTTTGTGACTGGCACAAAATTAAAAATCTGAAAAACAGGATGTGATGCAGGCATGAAATGTTGAAAACATAACAATATTGCTCTGGATTCAAAGAGAGGGAAATTGGCAATCTACTTGTGTTATTTCAAGTGTTTGAACTGAAACGTTTCATGCCATTTTCTTTTTTTTTATATTGTTTTGTCAAAACATGATTCAAAGTGGGGGCCAAAAATATTAAGATTTTTTGGGGGTTTACTAAAGGCTGGTGGCAAGAGCAATTAAAACACCAATTAAAATATTTTCCATATCGATTTAGAATTCTTAGTTAAGTTCCCAGGCAATGTTCATATGCTTTCTGTTTTTATTGTTATGCCACCAGAGATATTCATTGTTTCAGTTGTGTGAGAACTGAAGGAATGACTTGAGAATTGGAGCATGTTTTGGCTCCATGTAGTATGTAACTAAACTTTTGTGCAAATAAGACAAAATACCAATAGCCCTCCATCACACTCCTATAACAGTCTAGAAGTTTAGTAATCTATGTTACCCATCATCCTTCCTAGAGTCACCCAACAATATTGAAAAGCTGAAGAAAAACTTACTTTTGCCCAAGACAGAAGCTCTTTTAACTTGCCAGCATCAAGGTCACAAGATGCCAAATGTGAAACAAGCTCATCCTCATAAAGCTTCTCCATTTCCTTGAAAATCAATACTAAGTAAGTTTAATAAAGATACAAATGGTATCATAAAAAATATGAAAACAGCAAACAATAAAAAATATTCAAGGTTGTCACTAAGTTTTGTGCTTAAGGGGTGTATTCAGGGCCCATTTGCCTACAAAGTGGATGACCCATCTGACAAGCCTGAAAATTTGTGGACAAAGCAGCCCTATATGGCAAAGCACTCCAACTGAAATTTAATCCAAGGGATTGTCACATCCATCCCTTAGAGATAGCTCTGAAAATATTATCCAATTGAGTAACAATCTTAATCTTTATATTTGTAATTTACCAGTAAAATGCTTTCAAATGTTCTCATATACCTTCAAAATCGTGCAAAATGGTTGTAGAAAAGTAATAAAGAGATGGAAATAAAGTTAAGGTAACTTATTTAGTTTGGTATTAAGTTTGCAAAAAGGAATGGCTCCTGAGCCATTATAAATTCCTATATCATATTCTTTGATATACATAAAAAATCTTCCTTTGAATCCCAACCCTAGTACAAAAATATATCTTTACCCGCCACAATGGCTTAGCAACTTCCGTAAAAGTCAAACGCGAGTCTTCAGGAATAGCAGGAAATGCCAGGAAAATCACATCAAACTGTGAAATGTTGAGTTCAGCGAGAGCTGGAATGTAATTCATTTTCACATTTGTTACCCTGCTTCTCAAAAAATAGACCCAAATGCAAATATGAAGAGGATACAATTTTCAACTTACAAAAGATATCTACAACCAAAAGAGGACCTTAAAAGCTATAAATTGTGTGATTGCTCTTAGTTAAAAAATAGTTATGCAAAACCTTTGTTTAGAAATACAATTTTTTTCTATAGTAATACAAAACAAATACCACATTGTTCAGTTGAGCAAATATCAAGTGACTGCAACATACAGAGCAACATTGCAATAAAAATACAACATTTCAATGTCTAAACTAAAAAGCAAGCACCGAGAATAAGGGGAAAATTGCAACAAAAAATGGTAGGAATCCAAACACTCTTTACAACCTACAGTTTTATAATATGCTACAAACATTGCAGTCAATATTTGTGGCCTTGTAAGGCATTAAATTCATTAACATATTTTGTTCAAAAAAGCCTCCAAAACATGTATAAAACAACAAATATTACTTACTGGTAGTATTTTTATAAAATATTTTCCATATTCTGAGCAACATCACATATCAATTAAATGATTCAAATATAACACTTACATTCATTGACAGCTTCTCTAAGCTGATCCTTATCAAAATCATGAGCAAACACTTTTGCTACAAGAAGAAAAGACAAGCCAACAATCAATTTAATACAAAAATTTATATTTAAAGCAATGATTAGTTGATGTCTTTCTTGGATTTCTGGCTACAGGGAAAGAATCTCTTTTGGAGCTGATGCTTTATGGCCTGTGAAAGATTGAGAAGAAAGCTTATTTTTAAAATCCAACTAAATAAACTTTTAAAACTTTAGAAGGCAATACTTTTGAAATTTTATGCTCTGATTCCCCAAAAAAGTTTGCACAATATGGCAATTATTGACAAATCTCATGGAGTCTCCTGAGGGGGGGGGGACACTTGACTATGAAAGTGATGGGGGTGTGCAGCAAACCTTTTTACACCCTGACCCTGTCCCATAAAAAATTGCTAAAAGCATACCCTGTCTAAGAAAAGTATGCAAAAAACTACAGCACAATAATGCCAAAATCAGAGCTTATGAAATTTACTTAGTAAATGTCACTTGAACAAGCTCTTGTCACTTGAACACTACAAATACCTGGAAAAACAGGGTAAGCTATACTCCCACATATCTTGTTTATAAATTTCCTTTATTATTATACCCTGTCACAGAAATTTGATGCAATTTGTCATTTCCTGTACCATAATTTTATTGTAAATAAAAGGATACTCTGTTTTGCGGCACATTCTTCAGGTCAAGCATTGGAGTGCCCCCCCCCTTGCTTGGTGCAGTCCATTCATTCAAGTTCTTTATATCAAACAATTTTTCGCTTCACCTATTGTGCAAGCACAATTTTCTCTTTAATAACACTTTTGTACATTTGGTGTGCATTTTCAAAATTTGGATGTTTGATGTTTAGATACTCTTATCTCATGCATACATCTGTCGCATGCAGAATGCCAGAAGTGTACCTATTTACCTGTCACTTTCATGAGTGGTCTGTCCGTCTCAGTTACAGGCTCAATACTGGCTGCATTCTTACAGAAAATCCTTTCTTTTCCCTACACAAAAATAAACTTAAATTTTTAGGAATTTATGGAAATATATAAGGATTTGCTAAGAACATCAGCAAGTTGGTGATTAATGGTTTGGAAAAATGAAAAATATGAGAAAGGTTCAAAACAGACATTGAATTGTAGATCAGCTATGAGATTTTTTACATTATTGTTTTCCATCTTTTTCATTCTCTTTCCAAATGGTGAAACAATTTTGTGCAGGGCAGTAAGCAACAATTGGATGCATTCACAATTTGACAAACTCTGTTCAAACCAGGTATAAAGTAATGAAAAGAAGATAATACTGATTGGCAACTTGCAATTTTCTGTGAGCAGTTTTCAAAGAAGGATTCAACAAGCACATATATAATATCCTTTTCTTTTACTTTTCTTAAGTTGTGGTTTTGTAAATTTGATATATTGTAGTGTACTAATTAATTTTGTATGTAGGTTGGATAAACAATTAAATGAAACTGACGAAACTGATGTTAATCAACAATTAAACCTATTTTGAAACTACTTGACATCACATATTTTGGGGTCCTTAAGAAAAAAGTTCCATGTCAACATATAAATTCCATTCTGAATTTCTAAATTTGCTATGCTTTAATATAATAGCCATGCCCTAGTTGGAAGGGGTTTTGTGCATGGTGCCCACTTTGGCCTGAAACACAATGCCATCTACCAACTCATTCATTCATTTTCATTTTTTCAATTAAATTCAATTTTAAAATTCCATTACATACAGAAACCATTCAATATGCAACAATTAACAAAGATTATATAACAAGATTGAAAAAGATGAAAAAAATTACTATGAATAATACAGAAAACTGACAAAAAGTTGTATGGGTATGGAGGGGAATTTCTCATAGAGGGGCTCTCTCAATAGATAAACAAATCAAGGAGAGATAAATAGATAAACTAAACAGGATTAATGTCTTTCTTGCTGACTTAATGGCTCCCCTTCTTATTGGAGATGAATGGACACGGGCCTGATGAGCCATAAGACATGTACTTGGACAGAACTTTGGTAAGTAAACTGTTAATCAATATTTAACGATGGCATTTGTTACTGGTACTGGTTACCTGCAATGCCACTCTTGTGCACGAATTCTGCGACTCTGCGAGTTTCAGGGCTTTGATCAAACTTTCTTGAAGCTAAGAAAAGGAAATATACTTGTAAAAGTGCAGAAAATAGCTCTTTATGCATTTTGTCTAACTACTGATCGATTCAAAAGCAAAAAAACGAACAGTGTTGTAAACATAAGTTGACCTTGGAATGGATATGAATTGCAGGTATTTTCTTTTCAAGCCGTTTCGCTTCTCGTTGCATAACAAACAATAGCATTGCAAAATGGACAGCTTGCGTTTATTATAACGTGCAAAATTTTTTGAAAAATGCAGCAAGAAAAACTCGTGGACAATGGGATCGATCGGAACAAGAACAGAACCTCGCAAGAAGTTTCACCAAAATCCAATGCAAAATGTAGAGTATAAGGAATATTGAACAATCATGCACAATAAAGCAGAGCAAAAGTACATCCAAACGAAACAAACGTTTGCCCATGATTCTGTTATTTGCAACACTCCATTAGGCCACAAAGTAGGTCTATATACTTCATTACCTCCGTTGCTGGGTTTTGCGTTGATTTGCGCTTCAAGCTGCTCCAGTGTGAAATATTGCCAGTATGTATCTGAATCCTATCGATTTGTTCCACCAAAAGATTTTCATTACAGCATCCATTGCCGTTGGTAGTGGCAGAGGTACGGGGTATCACCTCTTCGCCTCTTGCAATAACCTCCATTTTCGCCAGCATATAAACAATGAAATAGATCTGTTCCGGCTAATTACATGATTCTGAAGACATGCGTCTAAAAAATTAGCCAATCAGTTGCCCGCATTCTGAATTGTTGCGTAAACAAGCCAGCCGATCAATCATTCTCAGACTTGAAACGAGGTTGAAAAAAATTTTCTAGTTTACATTTGCTCACGATGAGTTTGCATTTTCAGGGTATCAGCAGGGCCTCCGACGAAGGGGGGCCGGAGGGGCCATGACCACCGCACATTTTTGTAAAACAATAGAGCTTTCTTTCTTAAAAATCTTTTGTTATGGGTGTTAAATTTTCCCTTGCCCCCTACTTTCCAACCGGTGTCGGAGCCCGTTATCAAAGTATATCTTTTAGAAAATAATAGAATAGGTGATACATTTTTACCGCTCTGACAACCTGATCTCTGGTTTTGGGACATGAAGGTTAATGAAGTCCAGTCGTTTATGCACAATGCACTCCCTCGCAATACTTCTCTTAGATTTGATTTGGTTTTAGGGTATTGCAGCCCTCCCTGTATTTAACACTGTTCCACTTTTAGAGCTTTTTAATGTCATACAGTGGCGGAAAATGCGTGGGTGGGGGGGTATTGGTGCTTCTTTTTGCCCCCCCCACCTAAAAATGTATTTCCGCCACTGGTGTCATATATTTCAAAGAATGGTCTATATTACTAGTTCTGCTGGCAATGATACGAAGCAAGAACCTTAAAGATGAGTACGCATTGGCGGCTGTCCTAAGTTATTTCTTGCGAATATCGTTGCGAAATACTGTTCGAAATTTCCCATAAAACATTAAGCAATAGCCAAATAATTACAGCATCTATAACAAGTTATCTGATCTAATCGATTTACAGTATAGCACCTGATTCTAAACGTTAACCTGTTCGTTTATAGCTTCTGCAGCATCTATTGTCTCAAACGCAAAATATTCTTCAATCGCAGTGCACCAGTCGACCAGATAATATAGAGTGAAATTACATCAAAGTGGAGGACTATGGATCAAACAGACCCTTTCCCTATTTTCAAATCTAAATCCAGCGCCAATTGAGTTGACCACTAACTTGAATCATTGGAAAGCATTCAGTTATCAAAGTGCCAACAAGAGAAACCGACCGAAGTAAGGGATACAGTCCTAGGGTCTAATAGGCAGTGCTAGGAACATACCCAAATGGAAACTTTAGTTCAGAACTCAACTAGTTTAGTCTAGATTAGAACTAAGAGACACGGGAAAACTAGTTATTACCAACAATAATTATTGTTAGTTGTAAGATCATTCCAATAAAGTTGAATAAACAGTGGCAATTTAGAACTTACTTTTTCATACGTACCAAGGTGCTTGAAGCAGTGGCGCCAAAAGCTGCCCAAGAGCGGGAAGAGCGAGCGATAGGTGTAGGCCGAAAAATACTCAAGACCACAGATTTGATAACAGACTTTGCATGATTCCACTCTTAATCAGAAAATATCACCTACCCAAAGTAATAAAACTTTATCCATTGTTAGAAGCATTAGTGAGCTATGAGCGATGGCAGCAATCACTCCCCCGAAACCCCTTGGTGCCGCAAGTGACATCGAGTACCCTCCCACAGGATTTCCTTGGTTCCGCCAGTGACAGCGAGTACCCTCCCACAGAAACCCCTTAGTGCCGCCAGTGACAGCGAGTACCCTCCCACAGAAACCCCTTAGTGCCGCCAATGACAGCGAGTACCCTCCCACAGAAACCCCTTAGTGCCGCCAGTGACAGCGAGTACCCTCCCACAGAGACCCCTTAGTGCCGCCAGTTACAGCGAGTACCCTCCCACAGAAACCCCTTAGTGCCGCCAGTGACAGCGAGTACCCTCCCACAGAAACCCCTTAGTGCCGCCAGTTACAGCGAGTACCCTCCCACAGAAACCCCTTAGTGCCGCCAGTGACAGCGAGTACCCTCCCACAGAAACCCCTTGGCGCCGCCAGTTACAGCGAGTACCCTCCCACAGAAACCCCTTAGTGCCGCCAGTTACAGCGAGTACCCTCATTTATAGACTGTCTTACACATGCTTTATGAGGCCTATGGTGATAATAACACAGATGGAGCTCTGAAACACATGAAACAAATTTCAAAGATTTAATTCAAACAAAGACACTACCATCAAATGTTTAAACGAAGCTGAATAGAAGCTGGAAAGATCCATTCACCCACCCTTGATACGCCGTATAACTATTTTAAAAGAAGAATTCGCATTCGTATTGGGATTATCAATATAAATATTCTATCATTTTAGCTTAGTACACAAAAATAACTTTTGAGATACGATCAGAAAGTCTAAACTATCTAGTCTAAATCTACATCATGATTTTGTCTCTAAATCTTTAATATGCTGAAAAATCTTTGAGCAATATAAAGTTAAGAACATCATTAAACAAAACAAGGAAAAGCTTGATGTTGGATCCTGAACACCAAAAGATTACACTGCGTAATGTTTAGGCCTAAACTTTCCTATAGGAGATAAAGCTATTAATTTTCAGCAACTTCTGAATAAATTCAGCACAAAAACCTTGTAACGCACAAATGATTTCTACCACACGAGAAACTGGCTTATCTATTACGTATCACCATCATATTAAATATTACTTTGCAGTCTCTAGGGCGAGGCTTGATGAAACAATTCTAAGTGGTATTATTCTTGTATCAGACGCACTTGGGAGCATCATTAAGAAGCACTGGACCAACTAAAAATACAGCATAGTAGCATATCTCTTTGTCAACAATAAATGTACCTTGCTAACTATGGTCCTCCCTACCCAACGGAGCATATTGTGATCCTCTTTTTATAAATGAATGCGTTCTGTCACAAATGGGGGTTGATGTTGCAAGAATTTTCCCGTGGTGATATTTTTTATCCTGGTAACTCTTGAACTTTAAATTATCTCTTAATTTCTGATTTTTCTCTCATCGCACTCTAAATAACCTGTATTGTCAGTGACCCCTTTTCAAAGCTGCCTTTTCTACCATTTGCCCGCCATCTTATTTTTTAGATTCCCTGGTGAATTAGTTTGGATGATATTTCCTCCATAACCCCATTGTACGGTGTTCAAGCGTACATGCTGAATATGAATTTCTTTCAAGCGATTCCTCAACAGCTTACCCCTTCCTAAATACAGATTTTCAATTTGATCGCGATTTCAATTCGGGTAAAAGCGACGATTTTTTACAGCAACTCATAATCCTGCTCTGATTCACTTCTGTTCTGTTCTGTCCGTTTTGATGACTTCTTTTTCTTTCCTTCCCTGTCCTTTGACTTCTTCTTTCTCTTTTCATGTTCATTATCGTCCTTACTTTCCCGATCTTTTGTAGACTTTTTCTTTTTCTTCTTTTCCCCTTCCCCCTACAAAAATAAAGATACATCAATACTTTGCTAAACTTATTTACAAGCGTCAAGCGGTCTTCGTTGTAGGATTTTTCACTTCTTATGTGCGAAATTGAAAACTGTTACAAAATAAAGAAAAAGTTTGAGCTATATATGGTAATAATTGACTAGCTCTTACTGATTGTTTCTCTTTCTTTCTCCGCGTCTTTTTCTTCTCAGTTTCTTCGTTTTCTAAGAAAAAAAAAATGAAAAAATTGCGTTTTGCTTAGCGTATGTTTATAAAAGACACAGCAAAGACCTGTAATGGGGTCTTCAAGACTGTAAATACAATTTTTCAACTCCAATCGATATGGCTTTTGAGCGTCGATAGATCATATCATATCTTCATGAAGCAAATAGGCTGGGCTCTTGGAACAGATTAACTTTCTAAGTTTGGTAACTTCGAAAGGAATAAATTGTGACATTTCTTGTTTCAAAAACATAAAAAATTGTATTGGGATGCATCTAAAAAGTTGCAGTTAGATAAAATATAACAACAATAAATTTCTTATTCAAAGTCTGAAATTACAATTATTTCGAACAGCCAGATGATGTTGGTGGATTACAATGTCACGTGTGCACATGTCACGTGTGAAACAATGAGCATTATGAACCAACACAGTATGCAACAAAAGAAGACCCGCGGACCACGCAGATTCCAACTAACCCTGTGAAATTGACGTTTTTCGCATCTGCTCATTCATAAACATATCCAGATCATCTGCGGTGATTGAAATTGTGGACTGGCCTGTTTCTGTGCCCCTTTCTTTGCCCATGTTTTCATCCCCTTTACTTGGATCTTTGCTAAAAAGATTGGCCCATAATAGAAACTTATAGTGCAGATACAGGACATTCTCTGTAGAATTCAGAAATAATTCTTTAATATTAAGAGCTGTGATAAACAATGATAACATCAAACCCAACTTGCAAATCTGCAGAATCTTTTTACTTGCTCAATAATTTTTTACACTGATGAGATAACGATAAACATTGTCTGCAGAAATTAAAAGATATAACAAAAGCATTAGAAATAACTTTATTTTGTTGCCAAGTTGTTGGTCATTCAAATGCTGAATAAGAATTTAAATATACAAACCTGGAAGAATCGGAAGAGCGAGTTTTCTACAAATGAAAAGAAAAATGAGATACTTTGAAAATATGTCTGTTTTGAATTGAACTGAGCAAAAATTATTAGAATGTTTAAGGGGAAGTAATATGAAGGAAAATTTTTAATCTTTACCAGAAAACCGACACAAAAGCTAAATAATACCTTAAACTTCCCAATTAAACGCTTAGTACCAGGAGAGTTTTCCATCATTGCTGAACCCTAAAAATCATTCTACAGCTAATATCCAACGCAGATAATCTTAAAAGGAAGCTTCACGTTCTCTTTGTGGACAACAGAATTAAGTATAACGATTATTATTCCACATAGAATTCTACAGCTTAAAAGGATCTCTCGCACGTTTCAAGCACAAACTAAGCCTTTAAAAAAACATTCAATGAAATAGTTTTTAAATACAGTTCTAACTTCTATGTAATCTTTGATTTTTTCAAAACCCTTTTACAGCTAACAGGTCTATGACTGATAACAGGATTTCTATTCTGGACAAAAACCTGTATAAATACTATTGATTAGTCTGAAAAAAGTCCGATCACCTTTCTATAATCATCAAAGAAGGCGATATATTTGATTGTATTTCTAACAACTACCATCTGTAGGAACATAAAAGCATTCCACGCCCTACAGAAACAAGCCCTATACAACCCACCTTTTTACTCGACTCTACAACTCTCGTTGCTTCCTTGTTATTCTTTTCACCATCATCACCTCCGAGCCAATTATTCAAACCTGCATCGTCATCAAGGTCAAAATCTGGGGTGACTTCGTATTTTGGGCCAGCATCGTCTTCATCACTACTTGAATTATCATCAGAACTAACCCTTTTTGGTTGATTCTTTGTACTCTTTCTTGTGCCAGGTCTTGTACCAGAATCAATCTCTTTTCCAACGTTGTTATGCTTGTCAATAATGTTTTGCTCTGGTGGGTCCAACTTTTCGCTTGTAATCTCGTCATCTGACGACTCTAAATCGACCGGGGCGCTAACAAGAGGGTTTTCTTTATCTGATTCCGTATCACTACCCTTCTGACTATGATCAATGGGGCGAGTGACGTCATGATCATCACTAACATTGTCAAGGTCATTATCACTGTCTGTTTCGATATTATTAGATGGAGCAGGATTTAATTCTTCGTTTGATTGTTTTTCGTCTTCCGAGTCTAAATCTTGATAGTCCATAACCAACGGGTTTCCACCTTCATCGTCACTGAAATTTTAAGGTTCTTGCAATTATGCACAGACAAATTCTGAAACAAAAAATGCTTAGGAGACTATGAATACAGTTTTGAGGTTTAAATGGAAAAGGATAGCTCAATAACTGCGCACAAGAAAATCTTGTACATGATTATGGCGATTAATGGTGATGATTGATCATAATGATTACGGCGATTAAGGATGACGATTGATGATTATGAAAATGGTGATGATTGAAAGCGAAGATGATGATGTTGCTAGACTAACCTTTCGTCTTCAGAAATCGCAGCTGGAGATGGAACTTCAGCTTCCTTTTTCTTGCTTTCTTTCTTATTCCACCAGCGCTTCTTTTTCTCGGTAACGTCTAAGAAATTTGGATCTAAGTCTGTATCTGGACTAAACTCGTGAATATTGTTCGCAGATGTTGGTGACAAAACATCATCATCTACAAAAGAGAGTGGACGATTTTGATAAATTATATCAAAAATGAAAAAAGCATTTAAGATCAAACTAGAAAATATACGACTAAACCCATTTAATGTAAAAATGACCCTATCATGGTACTCATTTGATGAAATTGTCTACGCAAGACACAATGTAGAGGCTACACTTTCACACTTTGCTGATTAAAACCAAATTCATCTTGTAGAAGATTCATTGAAAGCCTACAAAATATCCAATGTATTCATAGAAAACAGAAAAAAAATTCACAGGAAGTAAATCCTTTGTTTCTTTACTTGGGTATTACTGCACATATTTCGTTCATACTAATCAGCTAAAAAGATACCTAAACATGACTTCTCTTCCTGCTTTTCAACCCTGGCAGAGTAATTTCTGTCGTTAGTCACTTTATTTTCAGTCGTTAAAGCAGATTGTCTGATATTCTGCGGTGGTAATGACGTCACAGGGCGTTCAGCAGGGGACATTTCCGCTCCACTCTTTCTGCTCGATGAAATGCTAGGGGATGCCTCTGATGCTAAAACAATACATATTTGTGTCCGGTTAGCGCAAGAGATATGAATAAATACCAAATTTTTCAGAATGAAGAGTTGAGATCATAATATTCTGATCACACAGTACTGATAAAATTACTGATAGAAATATGCGAATTTGCACCTGTATCGTCTGTTTCGCTTGATGGGGTAACTGATCCTGCGGTTTTTGCCCTCCGGTTTGCCAAGGATTGTGTAAATCTAGAGAGGAACATGATCAATAACATGAAATAGCTTTCAATTTATTACTTTTAAAATAACAATCTTAATAGAGCTTTTACATACGGAATTGAATGTGGATACTAGATATGATATGATATATGATATGATATGATATATGATATGATATGATATGATATGATATGATATGATATGATATGATATGATATGATATGATATGATATGATATGATATGATATGATATGATATGATATGATATGATATGATTGATATGATATGATATGATATGATATGATATGATATGATATGATATGATATGATATGATATGATATGATATGATATGATATGATATGATATGATATGATATGATATGATATGATATATGATATGATATGATGAAACTGCAATTCCAACAAAAGTATGACTCAATTAAGCCTAAGAGAAAAGATTATCCGTGCAGTTCGTAGCAATGTTAAAAACTGAGCCGGAATGCGTCTTCCAATCACTTGTAGGTCAAAACCCTTGAAAAACAACCCGATTGCAATCTGCGATCATCTTACAAAAACAAAAATTGCGGGGGAGTATTGCGGGGGAGTACTTTTTTCTCTCTCGACACGACGACCCTGGGGGGAAACGGAATTGAAGAGAAAAGCAGAGAATAGAAAGCATGCCGTTTACTAAACATTCTGCAAATGAATATGATAACTGCCCTACCCTAAATCCATGATTCGCCTGCAATAGACTAGCGCATGCTAGCGCCTGCCAAATAAAATGGTGCCATGGTTCACCAAGTTTTTGTTTTATAAGCTTATTGTTAAAGTATTTGTTATGTGCCATTCATAGCCAGAACCAGATGACGTCATGTCTATTTCTGCTGTTGACAGCACAGAAAATTGAATATTTTTCTTGGTTTTAACAGTGATAAAATAATCTTACTTATTTTGACAATAATCTTACTTATCAAAATTCTGTTCTTCTTTCTCTTCATCTCGAAGGAGCATTTCCCTTGTTTCCTAATTTGAAAAGAACAAGAAAATTCTGTCTAAAAACTCAGTTTAGGTAAAATGAAATATTAATGAAATTGATAGAAGCAATAAATGTCCAAAAGCTACAAATACAATTTGACTCCAAGGACAACTTGCCAATTGTTCCCATATTTGAAACACCAGAAAAAGGGCAGCAGAGTCTAGCAGAGTATAAAGCACATCAAAAGTGAGCTTTTAGCTACAAAACCTAAATTATAAATTTAACACTAAGGTATTGACTTAATGAAAAAGCTAGCATTAATCAATTCTTTCAAAATAAAAGCAATCAACAAAAGTTTAAGACATTGTTTGCATTTCTGACCAAAGCCTAATCTAAGCGTTCTTGATTTTTCACTTAACAGATCCCCCACAACATCTAAAAACTATCATTTTTCTTAAAAATGCATTAAGTGAAGGTAATCTAAGTCATTGAAAAGACCAATAGCCCCTGATAGATGCTTTCAATTCTGCAATAATATAACATTCACTTGTCCAGAAACTGGCTAAAATTAAATATCCATGTTGGGGAATATTTAGTCTCAACTCATTACCACCAGAGCTCAACAGCACAAGAAAAGTAGAAATGCCAGTCATCCCCATTGATCAATTTTTACCCGTGCGTAGGTCGACACTAGAAGATGACAAAATACTCCCGAGATATGGGAGACGTAATTTCAAGCATCACAGAGTTAAAAAGTACCGATTTATGTCATGGCTGTGACAAACAAAGGCTAAAAATAAATACCTCAATTTCAAGGGCATTGGCTTCGAGTTGTCTCAAAAGTGTCTCTCTCTGAAACGGTAAATGAAGAATTGAACAAGGAATGAATACAGCTGCAGAAAACAAAGAAGAAAGTTGATAACAGCAATAGGTAAGATAAAAAGATTGAAAATGTATTAATAATATGTGATAAGGCAACAAAGTGCTGAAAAACTTTCTACAAAATGTATGCCAAGTTTGCGGAAAACAAAGTTGCTCTGGGGTCTAGAGCGGGTTCTTTCCTGGTTCTAAGGTTTGGCACAACCGAGTCATCTTTTTTCTATAAACAAGTTCAATTACCAAACAGGCATATTACATAACTATGCTCTGAAAAATTACTACTTTACAAGTCAGATACGATGAATGACTACACTTGGGATGAAGCAAGCGGAGCATTAATGAAAAATTTATAGAACTAAAAATTAACACCGCAAGCATAGGAGAGCTATTACAGAAATCTTTCCTTGCTTCATCACTGGGGCGGTCATTTCCAATTTAAAAATAACAAGAAAAAATATATTTTTAACATAATGTAAGGTATTGGGTCATCTTTAAGATACCTCAGTCCTTTAGGTTATTCAATTTTCTACATTAAACTGAAATAATTTCTTTGTAATTGCAAATAACAAGACAGATCTATCCTGTCCCATTGCTACTTGTTCTGAATCGACCGCTCTTGAAAATGCATCACAAATATAATTCAGCAACTTGGCATTAAGAGAAATACACGCATCTTTTATAAGAAATCCAACCTTTAGATGACCAAAAAGTTATAGAACTATGTGCTGTTCACTTTCAAACTTAAGAAAATGCTCGAAAATGTTTCTGTTAAAGATTAGGCACCTATTTCCTGCTCAATTAACATTATGTGATAGAAAGAATAACTCCTTGTCACTTATTAGATGTTACTGTAATCTCATGTGGCATCTTTGCATTTCTGAGTGCCCCACTTTGGTACACAAGGATCTTTTAAGAAGCTTTATGAAACTGGAATTAACAAAAAATCAAGGCACTGAACAGTAATATTCAGTTTAGTTCCCTTTAAAACATGCGTGTATATAGCTGAACCAACCAAAAACCAAAGACCAAGTTTTGTTCCTACAACAGAATATACAGTATGTGGTACGAATGGAGATGCTTGAAAATTTGGAGATGAGATAGCGTTTCTGTTGATGATCAATGGGCATAGAGTCACACATGTCGATGAAAGAAAGGCACGAGTTGCCAGAGATACTCAGTGAACTGATGTAAAAATTGAAACTGATTTAAACTGACGTTTTAAGTCAGATCTGAGGGTGGTAAATTTCTCCAAATTTCACTGAGAATTGCATAGATTTGTTTCGAAGCCTATGGTTAGCTCTAAAACGTACAGACAGTTTCCATATTTTTCAGAAATAATAATAATAAAAGCCTTCGATTTCTATTAAATTACACTACAGTTTCAAACCTCTCTACACCTCTTTACAGTTTCAAACCATAGGTAGTTTGCAACTGGCTAGTCTGGGTTTACAAGATAAGAGCATTACAGTCGTAAGTGCAAAAGGGAAAACTCAAAAAAACAACCAAAATTAAAAAGGATGTAATTCAGGGTTTGGATAAATCATACTTTCCACCCAAAAAAGTATGATATGACATTATCATCTCGCAGGCCACGAAAATTCTCTTCCCGGGCCGTAGGTTGCCCACCCCTAAGCAAGAGAATGTAGACTCACTTTGGCAAGATAATAAAAGCTTCAGCACCCGCGAAACGATACTTAAAAGCAGACAGCGTTATCATGATATGGGACACTCCAGACATAATACGATAAACAGATCTAAATTTGTAGCAACTAGAAACAAAAACTGGTATTTTCCTAAATGACCTGTCTTGTTGAACCCAAAAACTGGCATTTTTCTAAATGACCTTTCTTGTTGAATCGAATTCGTGAAGGTATTTTGTCTAACAGGATTCACTGATATGCTACAAGATACTTCCAACAGGAAGCATGAAGTGGATATCTAACGGGATAACGTAACATTAACGTACCTGCAGTATCAGGAATGGCATGTTCAAAAACTGGTAAAGATATCGTAGGCCAAATCCATTCTTCAACGACGATTCAACAAAATTCACTTCAGCAGATCCAACCGGTCTAAAAAGAAAACAAAATTCACTAAATTGATTGGCTTAATGCAGAGCAGACTGAATAATATTCTTAACCAGGAAACATAGGTTTTGATGAGATATTAATCGTGATCAGCTTGTAAGAAATCGAATTTTATTCAAATGTAGTTGCAAAACGGCTAGAATTATGGTAAGAAATTTTTTAAAAAATTGATAGCAAAGAAAATTTGAGGGAGTATTTGCAGCAACGAAACCTCCTTTACAAGGATACGATAGCAGCATAGTAAGAAGGCCTAGACCGATTCTGTAAACGTTGTGATTTTCAAACTATATATGCTTTTGAATGCATACAAAATTTGAATTTCTTAATATGATTCTAAGTTTAGACAAACATAAAGTTGTAGCTTAATTTTTTTCACCTCAAAGAACACCAAGCGATAGTTTCGATTCGGAAAACGATGCATTTAAAATTTAGGAAAAGCTCGTCACACATTCTTTATAATTCTCTTCACAGCTGCGTGTGTCTGTAACGTTGGTTATATGCAGTGCAAGCGTTCTCATTATAAGTTCGCCTCTGGACCAACAATCCTCGCCAAAACCACTGGGACAACTACAGGACCTGTACAGAATACATGAATACCTAACGTGATACTCGAAAGGTTTCTAAGAGAGAAAGACATTTTCTTAACTCAGAAAAGCACTGGAATGGTTATTCTTCTGCCATCAAAGAGTCTGTATCATTGGTTTGCTTTCGTTGCAAATCGAAGTCATATCTGCTTGCAAAAGACATTGACAACTAATCCTCGAAATTTATCACACTGTTTTTCATTTCCAGCTTACAGAAATCGTAGTTTCATTTTCGGTATTATTTATTTTGAAATCTTTGAAGAGCTGAAATATCTCTATGTAAAGAGGGGCCTCTCTCCTCGTTTAGCTTTGCTACTGAGAAAGTTCCTCCACAGATAATTTGTGTTCCACATCTTACTGTCATAAAGATTGTTTGTTATCTTAAATTGTATTTTTTATTTGTATTTTTGTATTTTTACTTAGTATTTTGTGGAATAGTATGTTGTGGAATTTACAATATAATGAACGTGAACGTGAACGTTCCCTGACTTTTTTTAGACAGATTAATTTGATAGATTCCTGATTTTCCCTAAATTTTTCCTCGAATCCGTCATTTTACAGGTTCTCTAGATTGTCCCTATTGTCTAGTTTTTTTCCGAACGACCAATACAAAACTCTGCACGACCAATATTAAATCCTCCCGTTTCTTAAAGTTGCCCCTCTCCTGCATGCATTACAATAATGCAAAATTCCAATATTTTTGAATGCACACCTTCAATAGAATAATAAACACCGTACTGGGGAAAGGGAGAAGAGATTAGCCACAGAATTGATAACTTGGTAATTAAGATGGTTAAATCCTGAGGTTGTCAACTTCTGAATTTGAAATTGTGAGGCTTCATCAAAATTTAGAGAGAATGGTAGCAGTCTGTCACAAATTCCCTACCTAGAAGCGAAAGTTTAGAAAATTATCACATGCCAAGTGAACCATTTGTTGTTCTGTTTGGTGAACATTAGAGCCATGTCTTACCTGTCCATATGTTCCACGTGAGCACACATCGTTTCGCTATCAACTAAACGGTGTTCACCCATATCTCTGAAATTAGCCTAGGCGAAGTATAATAAAGATTTAGAAATGGCTTGGAAAAAAGCAAACATTGTGAATCATATTAAGCTTCTCGTCTGACACTCTTCAGAGTATAAAAAGTCAGAACATAAATTTGAAACTCTACGCTAGAAAATATATACACCCAGTTGTGAATCGAAAATAGGCTAATCAGAAACGCGAGCACATGGCTGTTGAGGTTGCCCAATCAGTGCCACAAAAATATAGATTTACTGAAAATATTGGCATCAGGTATACATTTCCTACTGAATATCAAAGGATTGTCACTCAATCAGATTGCTAACCATCGGAAAAAATATCGGAGCATAACGATTATACACCTTCATTGCCAAAACTGTTGAAATATCTACACAAAATCTTTTCAGATTCACCATCCTCCCCCCCCCCCTCCCAATTGCACAGTGGGAGGGGGGAAATATAGCAAGGGCGTCAGCAAATAGGAGAGGTACCCTAGGACTGTCAACTTTTTAATATGAATATTGTGGTGTTTCAACTAATTTTGCAAGGATAGTGGCTATCAGATTTTAATACGTTACAAAAATGAGATTAACTCATGATTAGTAAACTTAAACTGATTTTGGGATGTTTTATAGACTAATGGAAGATATGTGCCTTTATGGCGACTGGTTAACGAAGTAATAGGTCCAAAGCGAAGATCAATAAAGCCAAAGAAACACTTTCGGACTCATATGGAACACATGCGAAAATAAATGGCAGGCATGAGACAAAAACGAAAAAGGTGTGTCTGCATTTACCATGACAAGCACGGGTATGTGATTTGGCACTTTTGGAAGCTCTCGTTCAACGTACTTCCAAGTCCTGTAAAGAAAAAGATGCTAAAAGCACAATCGTAAGCATAATTCAATGGGAATTTAGTTTAACGATAAATTTTTCATTTTAAGTCTAGAGAAATGAATATTCAGTAAGATTGACATTGAGGGTTTGAGAAAGTTGTGAAACAGAGAAAAAAAACAAAAATTTCACATAGTATTGTAACAATGTTTCACAAAAACTCAAATAACGTTTCAACAAGAAAATTAACTTCAAACCAGATTAAAACATAAAACCATTAAAACCTTTTAAAATATCCGCCAAAGTAAACCAACAAATGGAAAATGAAAAATGTCCATTACATTGGAAACAATTACATTTTTAAAAACACAACTTGCGTCGGGTAATTTAGTTTACTGCTTCTCTGGTTAAGGCTTTTGTTTCACGGTAAAAAGGGTGCTTTAAATTTTTTATGAAAATAACTTCTAACATGTGCAGATGGGATGGTAGTGGTCTTCTATGCTAGCTCCAGCCATTCGCCAACATATGCGAAATGAGAAAAAAGACTGTTGGGCACCGAGGCCGTTCGGAATCGAGGCCGTTCAGAATCGAGGCCGTTGGGCAGCGAAGCTTCGTTGGGCAACGAGACTGTTGGGCAGCGAAGCTTCGTTGGGCAACGAAGCCGTTGGGCAACAAAGCTGCTGGGCAACGAGGCAATTGAGCAACGAGGCTCATCGTTACTTTTTAACGACATAAAAGCTTTCAGCAAAACAAACAGAATTGCTCTATAAAGGAAAAGAGTAAAACGACAGCCTTCAAGACATAGTTATTTCGTAAGGTCCATGATTCATAATTATTACAATAATTTCGAAATGGCTTGAATACTTTCCATACATTAATGACAAATAGAATCAAGTTGCTTGTATAACCTTTATAATGCTATCAGGAAAGTACTATCGGCATTTGTTGAAAAATAAAAAATAAACGGTTCAAGAGTCAAAAATACCTGAAGACAACCAGATACACAAGCAAGTTTCATTTCGCTTATAAAAATTAAAACAAAGCCAATTCAAAGGTTTAGTCCGTGCCAGCTTGCTATTTCAGTATTACACGTGAAAAAGATTGCTATCCAAGCTGATTCAGTAGTTATATAAATTGCATCCAACTATAGTGTTATGAAGTTTTGCCAACCCAGCACCTTGCAAAAAACTTTCACATTTACCAGCTCAAGTCAAACTGTCTTAAGCGAAAAAGCTGGGGGGAAGAAAAAACTTCGTTTCAAAGAGCAGCGGCAAACATTCAAATTATGCTAAGAAAATATTCAGCATTATTTGTTATCTTAACAACATCGCAATTGGCTGGAAAAGATGGGCCTGACAAATTTTATTGACTGAGTTCTGTTTCAATTGATCACGAAGCGGCCGCTGAAATTAGGCCCCCGACAAAAACCTTTCGCATATTCTCCAACAACAGTGAGAAAAAGAAGCAGTTCTAAACATCCAAGAATAAAGTAAGTAATCCCGAGTTCATTTTTATAAGATATTATTTTCGTGTCTTTGCAATGTTGATATTGTTTAGAAAATGACAAAAATCAAGAATATTCTTGTATTTGCTGTTTTCAGTATTAAACCTTGATACTGTTGCCATCATTTTCCAAATAAAAAGGTCATCTTATGACTTTTATGAAACTTTCTGTAGCCATTTCAATTTTGATTAGCTAAAAATATTTGCTGCAGTGCCGCCATTTCTGTCTAAGCCAATGCAATACTTTTGCTGAAGAAGGCTGGTACGAGTGTCAGAATCAACTTATTAATCCGTTGTATATCATCTAGACTTGAAAGAGGTTTCCAATATGGATCTCATTTACATTAAGCAATGTGGTATAGGTAAGATAAAATACGAGATATTGGAAGGGAGTTCCATGTGTAGTGAGTGGTTACCCTGACGTGAGACATATGAACCAAAATCAGCATCAAAAGAAAAGAAGAAATCTACACCAATTATGAAAGTTTGCTTCTTAGTTGTAGTTTTTGTAACTTATTAATTCAATTAGTCTTAGCCAATTGTAATGTTCTGTACATCTTTATAGAACTTGTCACTTTGACACGCAAAACAGTTGGGAATTATGCCATCCTAGTGGAGAACATGACCAGGCAATGGAAATTTTAGTTGCCAGGGATGGGGTTGTCGTTTATAGTCAATATCATTTACGATAATACTTCCGCCATTTACTCCCGAGAAGAATGCGCTCCTACTATTTGAAGCTCTATAGATTTCGGCTCTGTTTGTTGGTCATTGTTGCAGTTTCTTTGTCCCTTCAGCCATATTTTGCATGATATAGACTGTAAAGCTTTTTTGACTCTGAATAAATCTTCTTTTGCCTTTTCCTGGAAATCCGACTTCATCAGAGTGTAGAGCACAGGGTTGAAGATAGACAAGGCAAATCGGCCAAGATTCATACCTAAATATTTCTCCTTATGGCGTTCTACCTCCCCAAGATAGGCCGTTACAGTGACCCAAACTAATACTCCAGCAAACATGAAGCTGAGCATCAATGCAGCTTTCGATTCCTCAACCATTCGTTTTTGACGCCTGGCATTGGCGCGTTGAGACATTTGCCGTCGACTTTTTCTTACAACAACACAAATACCAAGGAGCGCTACTCCTGATACGGTCGTAGCAAGAAAGCATAAAGAGATGAATACATCATCGTAATATTTGTATGTTTCAAGTTGCTTGAAAAGCTGGTTTAAGAAAATCAGCAGTTGAGTGGCATCATTGAGGTGGTCATTATCATACAACGGTTTGTACTCAGCAAAAGATATGGCGGCAAAAACAAGTGATAAGAGCCATATTGTTACTACCACAACAACAGCCTTGCGTGCTGTAAAATGCTGTCGGTGTTTGAGCGGAAAGCATATGGCAATCGCTCGATGAGAAATAACAGCAGCTAAGCTATAAATGCTAACAAGATTGTTGAAAATCAACAAAACCCTACTCTGATGATGAATTCGACGTGTGGAAATAAAATTCGTACTCTCTGTAATTGTTGTAGTCTCCTCACTGACGACAAATAGCGGAATCACGATTAGGCCCACAAGCACATCAGATACAGTCATGTTTGCCGGGAAAATGTTTTGTTTGTGTCTTAAAATCTTGAAGCGTACAAACAAACTAATGATGTACGAGTTAAGCAGGATTATAAGAGCCCCAGTGGCAATTGTTAGCTGTAAAAGATGCCCACTATCCCATTTCGGAAATGCATTCCGTTCAAAGTCCGTGTACTTGCTAATGTCTCGAGAACCTCGAGAATCATTTTTCGTAGAATCTACAGTAATATTCGTTGAATTCAAAATACTTTTGCCATTGATCTCTAATAGCTCTTCGGCAATATCACGCAATACAGCGGCATACATGTTGTTTTCGCCTCTAAACACGATTTCTAGAGGATATCAGCCGATTCAACCAAAAACTGAATCAAGAACCTGCTTACGAATACTATGGAATGGAAAATGCCGATCTTTTGCAACACGTAGGAATGTCTACTCTGACCATTAGTTTGTAGAAACCATCTTCATCCCCTTGAAAAACAGGTGTGACAGTACCCAAGAAAATTGCTAGCATTATTCTCGCACACGCTTTTCCGTTCATGCATACAAATGTTCCTTTGAAGTAAGTGCCATTCACATCATTGTTTACATCAGTGTCACTAAGGTGACATAGCACATGTATGGTCGGCTTTAAAATTGATTGCCAGTTTTTGATTTTGAAGTATATATAAATCCATATAAGGAGCATTAAAAATTTATGCGACACCATATATGCTTGATTAAACTAAAGAATTATTGATGAAAACGAACCAGCAGCAAATCAACGAAGACAAAGGCTCACTTTGTTTCGCAAGCAAACATCGCAGAAAGAAAACTGGTCCTGATATATAGCAAGTTCATAAACTAAATGATACTGGCCAATTCACATCCTTATAAATTACAGCCTTTTGTAGAGCTGTTATTTGATCTCGAGAAGATTCAATCTGTTATGTTAAGAGGATTGTGAATAATTCATGAAAAAACCACACTGATACAAAAGATGCAGTTCAATGGATGGAATGCAAGTTCAATCCATTTCGAACTGTTAGCTTTAAAGAGGGATTTCATATGATAGTAAAAGAATATAAAGAGAGCTGGATTCGAGAAAACTGTATCAAATTACATGAGGGATGCCTCAAAGAGATTCATGATTCCGTGTCATTTCACGCACTGCAGAACTTCCAATGGATCTAGAGTATTCTAGAGCATGTCATCTAGAGCATTGATATCACAACGATTATGAACATAAACTTGTCGCAGCACCGCCTTAATCTGGGGACAGAAAATGCTGATTTTGAAAACTTGTATAATGTGAACATTGCCCAATCCGTTTGCCAATGGGAGACATGTCACGAGGACAAACAATTTCTTAAGCAAATTCTTTAACCTAGACAAATATCAAAATTACAGTTTCTATTTAGGCAGGCCTTGAGTACGAAGAGCAAAAGTTTCAGAACGTGATGCAATCGTTTCTTTATATCTATAATAATTTGATGATCGAATTAAGAGTTAAACTTGGACTTGCAACCTAGACCCGACCTGTTCTATACACCAAATTGTGTACAGTTCCGCATATACGTCATTGAGCACTACATGACAGACCAGTAAAACAGCAACTTGCATGTTAAATTTTATACAAGCTCGCAAGGTGCAAATCCCTGAGAAAAAAATCGCACACTCTGTGCCGAAAAATCTGTAAAGATCTTCTCAAAATTGAAAAATCTCAAGAAATCCTCAAAAATCTAGACAATCTTAAAAAAATCGAAAAAATTTACAGGATCTTCAAAAAATCTAAAAAAAGAAAAAATCTTTGAGAACTTTTATTTGAAAAGAAGCGAATACAACTGGCGCGAAGATATAAAAAGCATGCAAGTCTTTTAAAAATGAAACATTTTGTTTTGTCTTTTGCACTAAAAGTATATCTATTTATCTCGTCCAAGATTTCGGAAAACTTTCTAACGACCATGACACTGCAAGTTAAAAACATGGCAATCATGTAACACCGCCTATCTTGGCCAAGGTTTTCTGAGCAGCCTCAGACCAAAAATAGCCCCCACCCTCCCTTATATCTCTAGATTGGTAAACGCATGCCTATCAAATCAATGATTGGTTAACGCCTGCCTATCAAATCAATGATTGGTTAACGCCTGCCTATCAAATCAATGATTGGTTAACGCCTGCCTATCAAATCAATGATTGGTTAACGCCTGCCTATCAAATCAATGATTGGTTAACGCCTGCCTATCAAATCAATGATTGGTTAACGCCTGCCTATCAAATCAATGATTGGTTAACGCCTGCCTATCACCGTTGTTATGTTATTTGTCAGATATTTAGCAAAGAAGAAAGACACAGAAGCGCAGTTTTGTGAGGGTATTGCAATAAATGACCCCAAAGTGTACAGCTGAATTCAAACTATGACGCCATTAAGCAAGAGTTATACAGCTGAATTATCATGCTATAAAAAGTGGAAATGACCACGATTCATCTTAGAAAGGATACTTTCTTGCTCAAAATAGTCCCACACGGCCAAATATTAGCCACCAGTCCTATGTTAATCTGAATCCCACCCAAAAATGCCAAATGAAAGATTTCACAAATGTTTAAATCACAGAAGACACGGAAACGAGGCATTAAAAACGGTGGATGAATAAAAAACAAACATTTTGAGAAATGAGCTGGTATTGTGAAAACAAAGATGCCTGAAAAGATGGTATTTGCAATTTGAGAATTTCTCAGTTCAGGTAAACAATGTTTTCAAAAGATTAATCCACAGTAAAGATTGTAAAATTTTTTTGAGGACATTTTAAAGAGAAAGTCGACAAATGATTAAAAGGGTAAATATATCGTTATCCAGTTATATGTCTTTTTTACCATTATAGAAAGACTATTTGCAAATACATTAGATACAATAAAAGAATGGCATATAAAACGAATCAAAGGATAAAGTTCCAGTTAAGTATGTCAGTGGGAAATAAATAGGTTAATACACAACACACATAATTGTTCACAAAAAGTATACAAGGTCTCGCCTTAAACTGGCATCTTAGTAGTTACAACTTCTTGGTTTAGGAAGAAGATTCCTGCTAACTGGAGAACAAGTTCCATCGCTACTCGTAAAGCTATTGTATAAAATCAAGTAAAATTTTAAATTAAATTTTCATTTTCATTCGTGTCTCAAGAGTAGCTTCTTAGAGAGCAGATTGACTGCTTGGCCACTGATGCAGCTCTACATTCAGAGACGACTTTATTTTTGAAATAAAACTTAACAGGGAAACCTGAAAAGGTTTTAAGCTGGGCTGCAATCCAGACACAAAATTTTTGAAATAGAAAACAAAATATCAACTTGAAATTAACAAATTTATGGAGAAAAGGTAATCCCATGTACAAGATGATCGCCAGTAAAAAGTCTTCTTTAACTGAACAAAAATTTTTTGGAGTGGAAACTCAGTGGTATGTATTAATGCTAAACCTGATACCAAATACCCCGAAAGTATATAGTAAATATGTTTTCCTCTAACCCAGATAAAAACAGTTGATCTTATTTGCGAAAGGCTACATGAAATATTTGTGTGATTTAGTGGTATAAAGAAAGATTAACAGATGATACGCAAATACACAAGTGCAACGAGCTGACGTCACCGACAGTTGTATTAACTGTTATGTTCTCGGATATTCTCTATAGATAACGAGGTGAGTTACAAATGCCGATCTTGCTTTGCTCCTTTCCCTTTGGCTCTGTCTTGGTGATACCATGTTTGCCGAAACATTTGCCTGGAAGCATTTTGCAAGACTTTTCAAAAATATAATATCTTGATAAACTGCTTTTTGAAAATCTGTCTTGTGAATTGTGAAGAGAATCGGGTTTGTTATAGAAATGAGAAACCTCCCAAGATGAAAAACAACGTAGTGTAGTCTCTCCTGGCCACCTACAAAGGCGTAAACGGTTGGAACAAGCCATACTAGTATGGTCAAAAACATTATGCATAACACACGAAACGCTTTCAGCTCTCTCTTGCGTCTTGTAGAACTCATAAAAGCTCTGCTGTTAGAAGTGAGGATTCTAGGTCTTTTATAAATGGCTACGAATATAAGGCACAGAGATATCGAAGAAAAGATCGTAGACAGTACTAAAGAACAGTAAAAAACCTCCCTGTATTTGTACTTTTCAAGTGTTATAGACACCTCTAAGATAATCGTTGACAGCTTGATGATATCTACGAAGGTTGATAGCTTCCAGGAGCGAAACATCGGGAGGTAGATCGGTATTGCAAAGGTCGTAAACAAGACAGGAAAGAGCCAGGCAACAAATAGGGAAATATGAATCTTTCTCCAAGTCTTGAATTGTCGGTAACGAAATGGAAACCATAGATTTAAACATCTGTCTGTGATAATCATGAACAAGGTTATAATTGCAAGAATATTCACGGCGCGTAGTATGATTAGCGTAATCTGATAAACGCACATTGCTTGCACAAAGGTAGAGTATCTTGCTCTTTCGATTAACTTTTCAGATGCCACGAATAACGGGACACAGATAACTCCATTGATAGCGTCAAAAGTGGCGAGATGGAGAAGAAAGTAGTTAGACTTAGAACGTAACAAGGGCTTTCTTTTGAACAACACAAGTATGTAAATGTTCAAGACACTGATACAAATACCAATTGTTACCATAACTGGATAAATGTACGCGAATCCCCATGCTGGGAATAAATTCCAGTCTCCTAGGCCGATAGTGATATTCATGGCTTTTAACAGTATGCCAGTCATTCTTGGTATTGTCAAATTGAGTGTTAGCTTGGTCAAGTTTGTGAAATTCCCAGTGAAATTCACAGAAAGAAACGATAAATCCATTCTTCAAAATAGCGATGTACGCACAAAAAATTTCAACTTTTGTTGGCCACTGGTCCTTGTATAAGCTGCACCGCAGTTAAACTTCTGTTATAATCCATTTAACAGCACAATTATCACGAACAAAAAATTGAGTTCCTGGGACAGCCGGGCAATCTGTAATGTACTCAAAGTGACGTAAAACTGTCGGGTCGAAAATAATTTTCATAGAGTTCCAAGATTATACTTGCAACATTAGATGATAAACGATTTAAATTCACATTAAAAAACAATCTAGGAGACACTCTCAAAGTAATGTGTTTGTAAGTTGACAACATGGATGTGTTCTAACAAGATTGTAATGCCTAAACTCCTCACCTCACTATAGCAATGCTCAGTTTGATTAAGTCACCTGCCACTGAGCAAATTTGGTATTTACCTTGCCAGTGTGGTTATCTGTGGTTATATTCTGTTTGTTGAGTTTCGATGCAACTTTTATTGAATAAACCAAGTCCGATCTTCGATTTCAGGGGAAGAGAAAATATTATGACCTAGTGTTTGTTTATTCTGCTGTTTGCTTGCCTGGTACGAAATTCTGTTTGTATCAAAACCGAACAATTGGTACAAAGCAAACAAGTAGGTAGTACATTCTCAATTGAAAAAATCCCGCGATTAATACTCAGTGTAAGCTTACAAGGACAAAACTTCTAAAGGAAATCAAGATCTGACTGCAAAGACGCAGATTCCAACGTCATGATTATGAGGGTGTTCGAGAAACCAAATAAACGAAATCAGAGTAGAAATCTTGCTAACAACTCCTTCCACCGGACACGCTTCTCAAACTCTTTTTAAAATTTTATATCTCTGTTGTTGAGATGTCAGATTTACTTGAAACACTTCTTTTGTTGTTTTTGTTTGCGCGCGTCGTGGATGTAACGGAGGTATGGATACAGCGCCTGCAGAAAGATCGCAGTATAAAGTTGTTCAAGGCGCGAAAGTCTTTTGCAGCGGCTGTCCGGATGTCCTGCTTTAGGAGCGTATATAATATTGGGTTGACGATAGACAGGCAGAATCTACCCAAGTATAGATACATTGACAATTCTCTATTTAGCAATTTCCTTCCTCTTATTATCGGAATAAGCCAGATGATAATCGCCATAAACATCAACGAAAGCATCACTGTAGCCTTGATCTCTTCGCTTCTTCTCGTGACATTTTGCGTAGCTGAACGACGAATGTTCGACGCTCTGCGTCTTCTGCATAACACAACTTGAGTTGCAACAAGTCCGGAACCAGCAGTTAGAGAACCCGCCAAGCATATCCAAATAAAGCTATCTTCGTAACCCTTGTACTTCCGCTCCGATTTAACTACTGACAAAACAAGCAAGATAGCATCTAACGCTGAATCAACATGACTTGTAGTATAAAACTTTTCGTACACAAAAAATGAAAACGCGGCAAACAGTATCGATAGGATCCATATTGCCAGAACTGTAACCGTTGCTTTCGAACGCGTGAAGTTCTGGCGATGTTTGAATGGAAGGCAAATTGCAACCAAGCGCTCAACGACAATCGCAGCTACGCTATAGATATTAACAAGGCTACTGAACATGAGTGTCACGCTGCTGATGTGATAAACACGCGAAGACTCAAGAAATCTATCAAACAAGGTGTCCTCAAGCATATATTGTCCAATGACAAACAACGGAATTACAACGAACCCGACAAATGCATCGGACAGTGTCAAGTTTATTGGGAAGATATTGTGTTTATGACGTAATTTCTTGGTGCGGACAACCAAAGAAAGGATGTAGCAGTTGAGGAAAACAGCAACAAACGCAACTGTTATCATTAAATGGTACAAGTATTTGAAATCCCATCTCTCGAACAGTATCACCTTTCCTGTCACTATATTTGGCAATAAATCAAAAGCACTTCCATTTTTGATATTAGTAAAGTTATGCCTCAAAGACGTAAAATTTGAGAGTGTGTTTCTAAATAAACCAAATCGGTTTCTCAAAGCCATTCCAAGCAGCAAGGAGAGCTTGGTCGCTTGCTCACTCTAATTAAGACGATCAAAATTCTCTCACGCACTAAAAATAGCTGCAGGGAAATGTTTGGCAATGATGAAGTTTAAGCCACAAAATAACACGTCCTTCTTTTTCCTTGAATGCTAAGTAAATTTTAATCCAATACTTAACTGAACCAGTATCGAGAAGGAAATCAATTTAAGATTTTCCAGAATTTTAGTTACTGTCATGGTGACAAAACATTTGCAACAGGCAAACACTAGCAGCAGCAAATTCACGTCACAGTACATAATACATATAATGTCGATTTTTCAATGAAGACATGAATATGATACCTGAAATAAATACAGTACATTTGAGTGGAAACCAATATCCCCAAATGAAGTTGTCTGTTGAAAGTGGGTTTTTGAATATCCGTGGTACCAAGCCGATATGACAAACCGATATTCAAAGAAATCTAGCAAAGCGAGCACATTTGATCATAAGCACCACCTGCTTGCCAGGCATGAAGAATTAAATGTTGAATACTACTGATTGTGATTATTCTTGCTGAATTCTTTAATCCTCTTCCGCGCCTTTGTATTGTCGTTATAATTTGCCGCTAAGCCTTCGCTCACAAGAGGTTCGATTCAAACAAATCCTTAAAACAGCGCAACACTTCTATTCAAAGACACTGAAAGTGCTACAAAGTACTTCTTTGATGCATTTTGAATATATTATGTACTCTCCCAAGAAAAATCTTTTCACGACATTACAAAAAACATCCTTCAAATGTGACAATCTGGATAGAAAAGCCTTAAAAGTTTTAAAGCTCAAGAGGATCAAATTCAATGAGCAATGGTCCATGGATCGCTGCCCGGCAAATTCAATTATCCCAAGGTTGAGTTGAACCTGAACAAAACCTAAGTTTCATGTTTGTCGTTTGAAATACCTTGATTTGGCCTGGATTGGGAAAATCCAGCTCGAGATTAAAGTTGAACCTGGGTTGAACCAAGTTTTAGCGTCGTGAAAATCCAACTTCACGCTGGGGTTGAGCCCGGCTTTAATACTCCTTCAGTGCACGCACTCTAATTAGTAAATAGCTACATGAGCCATTTGGATTTCCTTATCCTAAAAATGTTTTAACAAAGCAAATAGGGTTGCGATCCCGGTTGCAATAGCAGCACTAACGTTTCATACTTCTCATGCAAAGGCCAGAAGCATAACGTTCAAAAGCATACAACTTATTTTATCCACCAAGGCTTTGCACGACTCCACCAAACACATAATACTTCAGTCCCGTGGGTTCTACATCGGAATCAAAAGACCCACCTTCACACGACACAACAAAAACCTTCAGAAAAATGGGAGAATCTGGGAACAATATCCCTTTAAATCATACAGCTCGAGAGACTATTCGATCAGATTTGATGAAGAATAGCCTACGTGCCGGTTACAACACGCAAATTGAGACAGTAAATCTTTGCGAGTTACAAGAAATTTAGTATAGAACTGTTGCAAATAATTTCCAACTTGCACCTTATCGTTTACAAAAATGGTAGATTTGAATCGATGTATGGATAAAATGACATCCATGCAAGTACCGCGAAGCAACTTCAAGGAACCTTAATCGCTATGTCTGCAAGATCGATATAGTAACTGAACAGAAAAGGAAATTTTAATAAACTGCATCTTAGGGTGATCGCTAGGGAGATTGATATTGGAGTAATAATATTCATATTTGCATCTAAAAAGTTTTGGCAAACAATATTTAGCTCCTCAGGGATCGTTTTCGGGCTCCCTTTCTACATCGAGATTGACATGACGATTCTCGGATACTTACAGGGCAAAGAAATATCAACATATTGCTTGCAGAAAACCATCAAGTTAAGAGCATTTTTGCTTAATTACGTGTTTGTATCAGAGACTACCGACTCTTAGTTGCTTCAAAAAGCAAGTGCTTGATGAGCTAAAGGTATATTGTGATAACGAAAAAAGTGCCCTCCTTCTCCTTGGGAACCCTGCAACATTGAATTACACATTTGGTAGGCGTTGTAACGTGCAAAATAATAATATATCATACAATCGAAATATCGTTGCTTGTTTGCACCCAATGTTGCCAGTCTCTTTTGATATCACTGCAAATTTTCACTTACCATGGCTTTGTGATGTCCATTACCATTATAACACCGTGTGTTCCTTTGTAAACATCAATAAATTCAGCATCAAGAGCTGGGCCATCTCCTTCATCCTATAAAATTCAAACATTTCATATAGATCACTTAACAAATAAATTCAAATACTGATTTAAAACAAAATTTAGATTTTCGTAACTGAAACTTTTATAACAGCAACATTCTATAGCCAGCTTTATTTTTATAGTATAATTGTTACTATTTACAAAGAAATTATCCCAGACAAATAAGGGTGCTTATTGCTAACTGATACTAAGAGAACTGTTATCACTAAATAAATAAGTTACCTTGTCTTGTATTATATATGTTATATAGTGATTTCAAAGAAAATTTTGATGCTTGAAACTGTGCACTCTATTCTTTCAAGTACGAAAAATCAGCAATTTGTTCGAAAAACCAATCAATTTGCATCCTTATATCGCTAATATGCAGGCCCATTCCATTTTCTCGCCATGCAAAGTATAAAAAATCTTATACAAAACACAGACAATGACTCATTGCGAGAAATCGAAATTTTCTATTCGCTTCGCCTTGATGTCTTCTTTTACCAATTAAATAAAATATTAACTTCAAAACGGGAAAAATACAAAAGATGATTGATTAGGCTTGAGATGAAAATGCCTTTTAACTCTTAATGTACTTTGCATCTTACCAAATGTGTAAGACAAGGGAAAACAAGCAGAAAGCGAGGTTAAGAAATCCTCCTAAACTAGCGAGCTAGCTCATCTGTGGAACTATCTGCAGAAAGACATTACTAGCCTGACTCGCTACAATGTTCTCTTTCATAGCGACATTGAGAAAAAACATGATCAACAGCTACAATTAGATAACTCGGGATTTTTTGCCTGATTAATAATTGTTTCATTCTATTAATAAAAGCTTGCATAGCCAAAATAATTTCAACATTGTTGTGAATTATTATTATACTGTCTTTTATTAACCTGCCCCAGTCAACTCATTTAGGAAGACAACTGTATGATTAGAATTGGGTGTAATATCAGCTTAATTTAGCCTATACCCTTGGATGTGTTAAATGACAATCCATCTTGACTCCATACCAATCTTCTTAATCAATGGGTATATATTGGGTATAAACCTCGACCATTATAACCTATTCCAATGGCGTCCAATGTGAAACGGGCTTAAGTATTTACCGTATATGTATTTGTTGTATTTTACTGTGTATATATTATTATAATCTAGTATACGTATATGTAGTTTAACAATTTTATTATTAGTTATATATAGATACATATCATATTCCAGAGGGCAGTCATGATATATTGCTCCTCCTGGGTTCCGTCCTTGTAGTTTAGTAGTTAGTAGGTACTGTTTTAGGTAATTTTTTATTGTAAGTTTTTATACCAAAAGAAAAAAAAGTGTCTTTGTGAGCTTGTTGGTTATTCAAAATGTTATATTTTCAATTTTAGAGGACGGGGAAGGTCAGCTTTGGTTTTCTGTATCCTTGCATTATATGAAATAGATTGAATGAATTACTTGCATTTTCAAACAAAAATGGTGTGCAAATAACAAGCATTTCTAACAAAAAACCTCTACCAATAAAAAATCAAGTCCAGTTGGTTAAAGTGGTCCCTAAGGCACCTATTAAGAAAAGGCACAAATACAATTGAAATTAGAAAACACATTTATGTTTCAACTAAATTGAGAGAACTGATTCACTTTAGACCACACCTGTGACGATTCATTGGTGAGCTTCAATGTGTTTTGATTGGTTTTCTTTTTTTGCCCTATAAAAGGAAAAAGAAATCATTGGTAAGCAGGCCTTGCCCGGAAAGGCGCTCGATCGAGCGCGCGCGCCTAGAGCGCACCCAAAAAAAGCCTTGGAGAGCGATTTATAGAGCCCCTCAAAACGTAAAAACAATATTAACACGGAGCAAAATAAATTTTTGGAATTTGTTGAATCAACTTGATCAAGCATAAACAATCTTCCCAACAGACCGCAATATTATGATTTGCGTAAGATTACCCCTTGAGAAAAAATTCAGCAAATTCAACGTTGAGTTTTCGATATCATTTTCAATCTAATAACCCTCTAATAACCATCAAGGACACAGGCCATCAAGCGTATTCTCCGGCAGATTTATTTGACTTTCGAGCAAGCGTTAATCTTCTATTGAAGTATATATTATTTTCTGTTTTTCTTAATAACTTAAAATCGCCTGTGCAAATAAGCGATCACGTTTCCGTCGATCTAGCGTTTCTTATATAATGGATAACATGAAAAAAGGAAACAAAGTTAAATGTTCGATTTAAAGCCATGCGTTTTGATGAAGCAATATGTGAAGCTAAACATAACAGTAGTGATACTGACACTGATAAAAGCTCATCGAATGATGGCAACTTATATATCTAGAAAAATCTGAACAACTTTGCGACTTTGTTCTATTATATTTCTATATTTATATTAACATAGTGTTTGTTGAATGTTTTATTATTTCATATTATGGTGCTTTCTGGTATCACCGTTGAATTTCATATTTAACATTCTTCCGAAGCTTTTGATATGAAGCTCTCGATCTCCTAAAGCTCTCGAAGGATGCTCTCAAGGAAATCTACTTAGAGGTGCGAAATAGAGCGCCTAGAGTTTCTAAGGGGCTCTTTTTATGGAGCACCTTCATTTTACTTAGAGCAAGGCCTGGGTAAGGAAAACATCTAGGCACAAAGGAATATCTAGCATAGAGGTGAAAGTAAAACCAAATCCTGTACAGTGCTAAGCTTCTTTGGTTTTGATAAGTCAATTAAAATATGCAGAAAACCTCGCTAAAAGTCTGAAATTTGTTATGCTTGAGTAAAATTCAGAAACATTACCTAATTTTCCCTTTTTGTTTCATTTAAACTTCTCCTCATTGTACAAAAGCAAATATTAACTGAATATAAGATATTACTTCCATTCCCTTTCAAAAAATTTGGCGGTATTGGAAGAAAATGGAAAAAAGGATAACAATAAATTCAGATAACAAATCTTACAATTACTGAAGGTTCGAGTTAAAACTATAAAAAGGTGCAGGAGAAGGTTCAGGGAGGATCCAAATTTTTTTTGAGTTGATGAAAATTCAAAATATAGGGTACTCTTTGTTTTAGTATTAAGTCTTGTATCTTTATCATATGAAATAGAAAGCACATAGGCATTTAATAGGTATCAAAGAAAAACATAGCTAACACTGCTGAACATTCAACATATATAATAAAATTTGCATAAAGTAGACCATAAACCAAAATTGGTGAACTGGAAAGCACAAAGCATAATTGGGGCTTTTCACTTTAAAAACATCAGACATCAGTAGTGTATGGTCTGTAAATGTAAAATCTTATGGGTAAATCTTACCTTTATCTACAATGTCCCATACTTCTACTTTTACAATATCATCACCACCTGGTAAAAGAGTAACACGGAGATTGTAGAGAGAAGATTAAACTTGGAATTGAAAACACATGTACATATATCTACGTAATTATGAAACCTATAAATAAAAGTTCAATCTATACCAATATCAAAAAAAACACTTTTATTCAAACAGTAAGTCTTTTTTACAAGGTTATGTTCCCAGACACCAAAAAGCATATGGCTAATGAGCAATTTTCACATGTACATCCCTTAAACACTTTAATGTGAGTTCATTACGAGCTCAAGTACAACAGGTGCAAAGACGGTTCAGTGGTTGGGGCCGCCGACTACAGATCCAAGGGTCTGTGGTTCAAGACCCTTAAAAATTTTACACTCAACGTGAGTAGAGTTGCCAAGTCTCTGTAAATCCAGGGGAAGGAGGTGTGGTCATATAGAGAGGAAGGACAAGGACACTGCTTGATAAGCATAGCTTTCAATTCCTAAAACAGGGGCAGACACAGTGGTGGTCAAATATTGAGGGCAAGCCTATTGTTCTGATAGGATGACGAGCAACTGCCCCCTACTCACTCTCCAAGTGTTCGTCACTGTCACAAAACTACCTCTGTATTTAGTTAGGCAGCAAAATACAAATACAACTGCATAATTTTTGAAGTGACACAAATACAAAACTGAGCTATCAAAAGAAAATCTAGCAACACCTCTATAATTCCAGTTGATGCTTGCAACCTAAAAAACAAAAAAAATTAAGTGAAAAGATTGAATTCCAAGGATGAATAATGTAAATTCTTAAACTCAGAAGAACTCTGTGTCTACAGTTTCATTATGAAACAATCAAATTTTCATGAAATTCAACATCAATTGTAATGGCAAGCAGCTGACAAACAGAACATCATATCTTTTATTAAGCAACTTTGCAACTTTAAACAAAAATTGTGCAGAACATTATGCATTTGCAAAACTTGAAAAATCTTTTTGATAAAATAAATGGCTTAACAAGAGGACTATAAACATTAGAAATTTAAACAAAACATAAATTTAATTTAAGAAACATAATAAAACATTATCTGTGTTGATGAGTTCAGCTAGCAAGTATAAATGCCTGCAAGCAAAAGCTGTACCATTTTCAATCTTCTTAGCCAAGCAATAATTAAGATGTATGTAGTATTTGCGATAAAATAGAACTGTACATAAAGCAGAGAACTACTGTCAGCTCTCCTGAGAATCACCTGAATTTCTTGTGTCGGAATGTAGGCCTCGTTGAATGGCTTTCCCTGTAACCTTGCTAATAAGCAACTTTTCCCAGTGTTTCTTTCGCCTCTTATTATGATCTTCACTGAAAATCAAACAATAAACTGTTCAACTTAAGATTAACTCACAATTCAAAACAAAACTCTGAAGCAAATAACCACTTATGTTGCTTCTACCTCAAACAGATAATACTTTTCAATTAACTAACTTATAAAGCTTATAAAGCTTATAATGCAAAGCTTAACGATATCAAATGTATATGTACATATAAGGTGATTTGATTCAAGGATAAAATTCATTCACAAAAAAGCTTTAAATTTGTTCAAATAATAAATACCCTCCATTTTAGTACTATTTTGAATGGTTAATTCAGTAAAAAACCCTCAGAGCATCGTTTTCTCAAATCACTGCCAAATAATCTAATCTAAGTGGGATTTTACATTCTAAAACTGAAAATTAAATGGATTAAATTTTCTTACCAGAAGTAAGAAACCAATTAACAATAAATTACTTTTATGGCTAGTACAGCAGTAAGAGAAATTGGTCAATTTATAGATTGATATAACAGTCAACCAAACTTACTGTTATATTGCACTCCTTTGGCAAACTTGGTTTGCATTGCTTGCCCAATTGCACCAACACCACTTGGAAATGGAGATAACTTTGAATCATCCTGCCTTGTCAGTCTTTTCTTTAAAGCTGAAAACATGTTTCTTTTCTATTCAAAGCTGCAGCTATTCTTTCGTTTCAATGCCGACAGCCTAGAAAAAAGTGATTAGCAATTCTTTATCTTTGTAAATATGAGAAAGCAGTAAAATCCCCCACAACTACTGACACACTCTATCCTGAATTAGGTTGTTCTGTAGTTTGTTTAAGACATAATGATGATATTCAAAATACTTTCACAAGTTCAGAAAATTTGGATGGCCATAGATATGCTATGAAGGCATTCAATATGTTAATGATTCATGCTAAAACAGCCTATTCCAATTTCACAACAACAGCTTGTTCCTCCTCTACTCTATGCAATAGACAGTATAGGTGTCTCAGGTAATAATATTAAATCTAAGGTCACCTAAAATTCTCAATTGACACCAGTTCAATAATGCATGCACCAAAACTCAAATAATACATTTTTTTGGATTGTTTAAATCCGAGATAAGGTTTGAACTGTATCATGACATTTAAAATGCTGATCAAATGCAGGCCTAGGCCTCCCAATTTGAGGTGCATGATTGCACATCCGTGCCTTGGCACATGCCTAGAGTAGACAAGGTGTGCATTTCTTAATGTACCTGCTTCTAAAAAGGGTCAAATTATGAAAATGTTGGTGTCAAATGTATCAGAAAAGATGGTAAAATATAACTCCTGAAAAAGACAGGAAGTAAAATTTCACTGCATAGACACTTTAAGGAATCGCATGACATGAAATACATGTTAAAAAATGGAAAACTCTCTGTGCCAATTGAGTGTGATGAAAAAACAACTCTAAATCTGTGTTACCACTGTTACCATTACAGGAAGTAATTTTTAGATTATTGGTCTACTACCCTTGTTCAGTAACTCATTTGTTCAGTAAAAATTGCACAGAAAAGCGGAAAAGCTGTAACATCAATAGTACTGACATTACTACTTTCCACGTGATTTAAACCAGAAGGTATGAATTGCACACCCTGTGAAAAATTTTGATCTGAGATGTGTGATCAGCCACGCACCTACTCAAATCTTTACAGAGAGGCCTGCAAATGAAAATTATCAGAGTTAATTTCACGAGGGATGTTGTAGAATTTGATTTCATTAGGGATCCTTATTTCAGCTGCTTTATATTATTCTCATTTGGGTGCCAATTATCATGCTTTCATTCTTATATTTGAGTCTTTATGTGCCACTTTGATGTCAATGGGAATAAAAGAGAAGAAGGAGTCCTGTAGTTTGGCTTTCTACACAAAAGTGAATCATCTCTGCCAGACTGGATATCCCGCCTTGCCGAGACAGGATGAAAACATCCCATCAAGACAGAACAGGATGGAACTCCCATGTAAATGCAAAGTGACAATTGTGTATGTTTCTATAGGCAGCTGGGGTATCTCAGAAAGGACTGAAATCCCGACTAGGTAGGATATCCTGGCAAAGTGGGATCATGTAAACAGGCCCTTATACAGACCTTTCAGAAAAAACCTCAATATCTGTAAGAGTTTGCAATACCCCAATAAAAAGTGGCAGAACAGTATTTTATCATCAGTGGAGATGTGTCGGAATAACAGTGCAAGTTTTACTAATCATTTACAGCGCAATTCTAAGCATATTTATCAACTTTACTAACCAAAACATACAATAATTTCGTCGTTATCTTTTTTAATTATACAACAGTTAAAATATTTTTTCTCGAATACTTCATTGACAATAAAAAACATTTACAAATTTAGAAAGGATTGGGAACTCATTAATATCAGACAAAAATAATTCAAAGCAAGTAGTTGTCATATTGTCAAAGAAACTCTACAATACGCAACAGATTAGTATCTTAATCTGCAAATAAATCTTTACTCAGTAACTTTGCTGCTAAACATACGCAAATAAAAAGAAACGTTGTAAATGCTCTTCATCACTTGCCTTCAAATTCTGCAAAAATTCGCTTTACGGTTCCAAGGTTAGCCAACAGGATCTTAATATTTTCCCACCTTACGCAACTATAGCAAATGAAGGTCCTCTATGGCAATACAAAATAATAGAGTCAAGCTCTATATATCAATTCACTGCTCCTTACCGGGAACATTACGATAAATCACTTATCTTCACTGAAGGCCTAGTGAGACGCCATAGTTTTCTTTTGTCCAGCAAATGAGTGGTCTGCGAACGAGTTTCTTAGCCTCTTTTAGGTCCAAAGAGCACCTTGTCTGTCAATGATATAGAAGTGTCATATTGTCATCGAGTGAGGCAAAATCACTCATGCGGTATAAGCCGAAGGCGGTTCTATACCATTGGGCATAAGGCAAAAAGACGATTCCGCATAAGGGCTCAGTACGGGAAATTCCGAAGCTGGCGAACTAAACCTAAAATTTTAGAAAATCTACTTAATTTAGGAAGGTAACTTATATTTTGCCAACTATACCGGATTGCTATCGAAGCGGAGTAACTTTTACTCCGGAGTGGTATTTAGGGTAGCAGTTACACTACGACGCTCCACTCGCTCAAAAGCCTGCATTCCTTTTCATTTCTGGTACACAAAATCCAACAGATTAAATCAGTTGACAGTTAGAGGTCAAGAAAAGATCACAATGAAAGAAACAAAGGAAAGAAGTCGACAATAAAAAATACCGCAATAAGCTAAGAGCTACAAATACATCTTTGCTTACAAAGCTTTGCACGTAGCCTGTTAATCTAACAGACACGTAAATTCGTAAATTTATTACATGACCAGAAAGTAACTTTTGCAATGAATTCTAGACTTGATCCTTGGTCTCGGTCATTGGCATTTGGATTTGACCATTCATCGTAGACATTAACCTTTGGCTAATGTATAAATGCAGTAGTTTAAGTCACTTTGGCACTGTCTCTGACATCCATTTCAAATATTGTTCATTTCCTTGATCAATCTAAAATGGTAGAAATTTGCGTTTAAGTCAAGAAAATTCAGAATTGGAGCCATGTTGTATACATATATATGTATATGTAAGGCCATTTGCAGTTAAGATATGAACCGACTGAATCTTCATGTTGTTTTCACTTGATCATATGCGTCATAAACTCTTAAAATTGCGTTTCTCACGATCCTTACGACCCTTATGACTCTAGTGAAAACCAGGCTTAAGAGTGTGGGGAATCTCGTAAGGTCGTAGTTAAGGCCCTGTTACCTGAATCAAATTCCCAGTGACACTAAAGAAAACTCACTTTCGTTGGTTATGATGATTATTATGCTCACAGAATGACATTCTTACGTGAGGCAACCTCAAACCCTCTCTAACTTTTACTGATAGTTGCGCTCAATTTATACAATTTTCTAAATAGCCCTGGTCATGGAAACCAGGTCAAAACAAAACCAAACATTACGTAATTTTCTAAAGCTAAAATAGATCTAAGTACAAATCAAAACAAAGCAATCGATATTGCGTCAGACAAGCAATTTGTAGCGTTGGTTGCAAAACAAAGAAACCACGGTTGACGACAGCGTGCGTTAAGTCTAATACTGTCCCTGACGAAATATATCGTTTTAAGCGATTACCTAACTTTTAAGATTTACCACAAGAGATTAATACCCTGATCTGAATTCAAATCACCTTCCAATTTCTGTCATCCTAAAGAATTAGATGAACTTCAATCCAACTAGATATCTTTCGATTTAACGGCAAAGATAATGAGAAAAAGTCAGTCTCAAAATATCGGGACGTCCTAGAATCCATAGCCTAGGGCCTTTAACGTGCTAACTAGGGGAGGGGGCAATTGCCCCTCCGGCCCCAGTTACTTTCCATTGTTTTAAATGATAAACTATTGTCCTCCTCTTTACAAAACAAAGGCTTACCCCCGCAGCTCATTCACTATAAAATGGCTATGGCACTGCCTCTCTTTCAAGTGTATAAAAACTTCACTGCTAGAGCGTATTAGGAGACAGTACAGTTCGAGAAAGTAAAACGTGTCAAAGTCAATATAGAAAATGTACAAAATTAAGTTGTACATTGGTGAATTTTCTCGTCACTATTACATGAAGGTAGCAAAAATATCCTGATTTTGATAGTCAGACGAAAATTATGCGCTTGCTTGGAAAAATAAAGTAGTACCCTTCTTCCAGGGAAGGAGTGAAACACATACAATATCTACACAAAGCACAAAACACATATACAATCTATAGGAACTATAGATAAAGAACTTTAGATACTATTTACCCTTATACTTATCACTTCAGGCACATCATAAGGGTGGTTTTCTCTGAAACAAAGACAAGTGATGGAATTAGTAATTCGCACGCATATCAAAGTTGGTATCTTGAGGGAGAAACTTGAACGTAATCGAAACCTGACTGTACATGCTCAGAGTACAGGTCAGGCATTAAACTGATGAGATACAGTATGAAAATACTTTTTCTATAACATCTCTTTTTGATCTGCCTACAACATGCCACTGAGCACTGCACTGAGAGTTGGCAGAAAATTATCATTACAAGCAATTAAAAACATTGTAAGAAGCAATTATCATAAGGGAGAGTAATAAATACCTAACAAAGGCTGCTAACTGTGGTACAATACTTGTTCTTGTTTTTATTTTCTAAAATGAGCAATTCATTTTATCAATCGCAATTTTGAAAACATCAAAATCGGAACCAGATATGGGCCTATTGCCTCAAAATTAGACAAATTTGACAAGATATCAGGATTATTACCTGATTTTTTAACGGTAATGTAAACAGGTGGGATGAAAAACAGTTTATAACCATTTCTAAACTTCTCATTCATACTCCACATTCTTTATCGACACCTGGATATAAATTTCTACTAACTTTTGGTTATTACCCTGCTTTTATATTTTGAGGGGTGTTTGACAAAAAGTGCATCAGCATTCTTTACTTCCACATTTCTGTGTTTTTATTCAGCAGCAGTCATAGGGACTGCGGGACCCGGGATCGACGCTATCTGCGGGGCCTTCGTCCTCTACAATTTTCATTTTTCTCTAAAGTGTGAGGCCCCTTCTGGTTTATTTGCTGTAAATTATATTTACTTAGAGCAAATTGCTATTTAGTGATGTGACAGGTCTTTCACAGTATTAATTCCTTGAAATAAGAACCCTGTGATCTAGAATACAATTCTAAAAAAGGCTCTTGCTGAGTTGAGATCAAGAACATGTCACTCAAAATCCTACCTGGATTGGAAGTATGAACTTAAACATTAAACTACTCAAGCTCTGAAGGATTCTATCTTTATCATAAAGCATAAGTTTTGTTTGCAATAGCAATTGCAGCAACAACAAAAACATTCAATGAAAATTTCTTCACCAGAAGGCAGTATCCAGCTGGTGATTAATCTTCAGCCAGCAACAAGGGAACATCGACCTTGTCTGTCCATTTCTCAAGTTCCTGCCGCTTTGAATTATAATAGTAGCGATGTTAATTTAAAAATAGTCATAGAAAAGATCTGTAAACATATTATCTTTCAACTGAAGGCTGTTGTAACGGATAAAATGTCTTTGTTATCTAATCTTTACAAAGATCTTACAAAGTCACACGAAAAACTAAACAGAACTTTTATAAATTACAGGAAAGCAATCAACTGCTTTCAACATAAGAATTTCTTTGAATAAAAAAAATAGTTAAAAGAGCTTACAAGAAGAATCTCCGAATCCTCTTCCACACTGCCCTGCCAAACATATCTAGAGACAACATGTGGTATCAAGATCATTATGATTGACAACGTCAAGTTTTTAAATTTCAATGTTTTATCTTGTATATAAGCTATAGCACCAACATCAAAAACAAAGAGAATAAGATATTTTGAGGAACTTCTTCATGATAATTTACGAAAAGGCAAAATGATTTCAAACCGTTTAAAAAGGCAGGCCAAAATCATTCACTTTGCTTTGTTTTGCTTAACGTTTGCATGGATAGAAAAGTTTTATGCTTTATGACAAATGCAATTTGACAATTGCGTTGAAATTGACTGAACAAGATATATCCAAATTTGATGACAAACTAACGAAGTGAAATGAAAAAAATTTTAGAGAACCCTTTTTAGAACCAAAGACGTTTTTAAAAGGAAATACAGTGTATAAATCTGTTGCATCGTTGCATTAGCTAAAACTAAAAAGTACAAAAATTCTAAAGGTGATTTCTACAAAAATTGCAATTGAATTACATACAAAATTCACTTACATTGATGTAACCCTCGGAATCACGTTAACACAGGCTGCAAGCTTCTTCTCAACGAGCCCTCTATAAACAAGCATAGAAGCAGTGAATTGTACCCAAATAATGTTCTATTAAAGAGTATTAGAAGAATGACATTTTTAATCTTTTTTATGTTCGGCTGTATGGTCAACGTTCACTTGTCCTTGAAATGTTCAATTTTTGGGCTGAAAACATGGCATCCTTAGAATAAAGCCGTGATTTTTTTCTTTTTTGACAAATCATTTGTTTTCTTTTAACAATTCACAATGCATAAGCCAAGTTCAATATGAGAAGGTCTGAGTTTATTTTGTTGAAAGGAAATCCCAGTAGCTATAAAGCTAGAATTTTTACTGTTGAATACAAGAAAACATGTTCTTTCTTTCTACACTTTTCTCTTGTGCTTTATTGATGCTTTATTGATGAACTAATGAAAAGTGTGCGGCTGTGACACAACTTTTTCCCCAAGTCAGAGGCTGGAAAGTGGCTATTTATCTCAACGACTTACTTCAAATCTTCGAATAAGCTCCCCTCAATAAGCTCACACCCTTGAATTATAATTTCTAGCAAGCCCCCATTCAACTAAGTTCCAGCCTACCATGTCAATTTGTGTATTCCAATAAGCTACTGTGAGATAAAATGGAAAGATTCACCAATAAGCGAGACATTGCCAAACAGACCGCCAAAGAAAATGAAAATGTCAATATTTTTACTAAAATATCTGTTTGCTACCTGAACTGCTGGGGGAATTTTGGATGAAATGATCGATCATTAAAACTGGACATTATAAAGTTTCAGTAGGCGAGAACTCAAGAAAGCGTGTAGTTTAGAAATTCTCTAAATTTTTGTAAATCTCGAGGTTAGATTTGTAAACCTAAAGCAAAACCTCAAAAGTACTACCTTTGGAAGACTTACAAAGAATATTTACAAGACCAAAATTATGTGTCTCGGGAAAAACAAATGAAAATGTCAATCAAATAAAAAATGGTTCTTCAAGAATGTGAATCGCACACATGGTTTAGAGTTACAATTACAGTCTTTCAGTGAACATTTTGAAATTATTAAACAAAAGCTTTCGAGGTTAAACAATTATGAACCACACCGTTTTGCCTGCAAGTCCTTTTGCTTTAATAATGAAGCTGCAAATCTAAATTTCTCTGACCGACTGGTTTCCGAAGCTACGAGAGCTGCAAACAAGCTATTCTACCATATGGTTAAATCTATGCTATCAAATCAAGAGTTCGATTTTACTTTAAAACTGTATCTTTTTCAACTTAAAAGGTTACCTAGCCTAGCACTGTAATTAACGAATTCCAAAGAAAGCAATGTCTTTAAAGGTTGAGAATGGGTGTGTACAATCTTGAAACAGAAGCTGGACGATCTGGGAAAAATAGAATAAAAAGACATAAAGGTACTCAAAATAATGCTTGTCCACACAAGCTTTTGGAGATGGGGTGCACTTCGCATTTACATGTCCTCAGTTCCAAAAGGAAAGACAAAATCTTCCAAATCTATATCTGAACAATTTTTTTGCGGTACAGAATTTGAAAATGGCTTTGAAAAAAGCAAACATTTTACAATATACTTAAAGCTTTTTCGTCTGACACTCCTCAGAGCATAAAACGTCAGAATAGGTTCCGAAAAAACACGATGGAAAAATGGAAATGAAAAATGAAAAAACACGATGGAAATCTAAACTGCACGCTGAACTGGAAAAACTCAAAACGATCTTCTTGGACAACGGCTATCCTGAAGACGTCATTTTATCTTATACTAAGGAGAAGATCGCAAGTTTTTCGGCTGTTTAAAAGTTTGGTCCGCAAAAGTGCCCAGTTTATTTGAAACTACCATGGATTGGTAACACTTCCTTGCGATTCGAGAGTCAGATTAGGCAAGCCATAACCAATTGTTTCTTTGCTGTCAATCCTCGGATTGTTTACAGCACTAGGAGAGCCCTTCCATCCATTCAAAAGGATTGCGTCCCTACCAAACAAAAAAGTTCCGTCATTTATGAATTTACGTGCCAGTGTGATTCTGGCTACGTAGGGCGCACAACCCAAAGATTGGGGGATAGGATAAAACAGCATGTTCCTTCCAACATACGAAACAAAACTGCCCCTCAAAGAGAACAGCCTCCTCGATCTTGTAGGTCTAGAAACACTGTAAAAACAAGTGATTCTGCCATTGGTCAACATCTTTTAGACAACCCAGATTGTGCAAAACTCTATAATGACGACATGTTTCGGATAATTGGCAGAGCCCGGTCGTCCTTCCATCTAGCAGTTTTGGAGTCAATCTACATAAAAACGAAAAAGCCGCCATTGTGTAGACAAAAGGAGTTCGTTTTCTCTCTTGGACTCCATTGGTAATTTTTCTTTAGGCTCGCGGCACTGATTGGTCAACTATACTGGTCTTGTGCTTGCGTTTTTCTGATTGGCCTATTTCGATCCACAACTGGGTATATATTTTTCCATCGTGTTTTTTCGGAACCTATTCTGACGTTTTATGCTCTGAGGAGTGTCAGACGAAAAAGCTTTAAGTATATTGTAAAATGTTTGCTTTTTTCATAGCCATTTTCAAATCTATATCTCCATAAAACATTTAGGCCCTTTCGAATAAGTTCATCTGGCTTTTAAGTTCTTGTTGAAATGTTTCAGACAGAAATCAGAGGAAATATTTGTTCATTGCCTTGTTTGCAGTCTCACATAGAAGTTGAATTTTATTTCGAACTGTTGCCAAGTCGAATAATCATTTGCGGTTCAATTTTTCATTAGTTTAGAAGCTTTCTTGGCCTATAAACCTTTTTCCAAAAGAACAAAGTTCCAATCGATTTTGCAGGGACGGACTTAGCGGGGGGTGTAGGGGGTGCGCCCCCCCCCCAATATTTCTGTCTCCTTCGGTAAATTTGGTTCCTTTCGGTAAAAACCAATTTTTTTGTAGTCAGCAGTAACAAATTAACGCCAATATTTTACTCTATTTATCTCTTTAATATTAGTATTTATCTTCTTATCAGTAGCGTAGCGGGGGGAGGCAAGGGGAGCTGCCGCTCAGAAAGTCGGTGTCTGAGAAAAGTACAAATCTGCAATAGAATTAGTACCTTAAAGAGGGACTTTATATTTCAGACAATATTAAAGCGTTTTTAAAGACTGCAAACGACTGTAAGAAATATTCTGAAATGTATTTCAAGCTAATCTGAAGGGCGTCGTCGCAAAACTTTTCTGCTCGCTTCGCTTGCACAGGGACCCTCCTTTATAACTCTACAGAATGTTCAACAATTTCTCCTACGTTATAGGATATGGCACCCTACGTTATAGGAGAAGACTCAATGCCTTTAAGGGTGTGGTCAGCAAAAATTTTCTCCGTTTTGCCCCTCCAATCTTCCAAACCTGGCTACGCCACTGCTTCTTATCGCCACTGCTTCTAAAACGGAATCTTAAAAATGGGCGTTTCCATAATTTACCAGTGACCTGAAGGGTGTGGCACCAAAATAAGTGTCTAACCCCCCCCCCCTCCCCCATTCATTGTTGCTTAGATCCGCCCCTGCGATTTTGAGTGATTTTGTAAACGCTATCGCCGGATACCAGTACGCCAGTTTTAAAGGCATTGAGTCATGATAAATAGACTGGGTATACCCTAAGTGCCAAAATCCGCTGAGTCACGATTTCCATGACTGCAATGCTATTGGTTGACCTTGAACTGGTCACATGAACTCACCTTGTACTGATTAACATAACAGTTTCCATCAATAGCAAGTTGTCAACAACGGATGCCAATATCACATGAAAGAGCAGCGATCACGCCGAAACCAAATGACCCCCTATAGAGAAAGCCTATTTACCATGACTCAATGCCTTCAAGTTCTATAATTTTGAAATTCAATAAAATATCAGGAAACCTAAATAAGCCTCTTACGCAGTACTTTTTGATCATTTAGAAAGATTCTGGAAATAGTTTCAAACAGTTTATGTACAGGTACATTTTTAAATTCTACTACCTTTAGGCCTTAACAATTAAAAATGCAGACAACAAGGATATAGGAAACGTCGCAGAAAAATTAAATATTTACAAAGGACTTACAACTGTTTTGCGAAAGTTTTTTGGAACTGTTAAGACAGACCTTACTTTTACAAGATATTTGTTATAAGGGCTCGAGAAAGGGTAGTGTTTAGAAAAGTGGGAGGTTTGAAAAGTGTGCGGTAGGTAAAACCGAATAACAAGACTTTAGCAGTGGTTCGATCCTTAATATTTTGCACTTTTTGCAAAAAATTGGGAGCTAAAGCCTGAAGCTTTTGGACTCCTTGAAAAAATGAAAAGGTTAAAATTCCTCCAAACATGAGGCCTAACAAAGTGATCAACAATACTGCAGCCGATTTTGAAGAGTTTTTGCAAAGTAATTGAGATACAAGGATTTCAATATACCGGCTTTTATTCGAGGGTTTTCCTTGGAGTTATGATTGTTCCTGGTAAGGTTTGCTGTTTACCGGCTGTAACCCAGAGTAGGTTTTCCTCACATTTATGTTCATATAGTTGGTAACAATCTGGTGTCTTGGTATAGGTCTCTTTAAATGATGTTGAGCTACCAAGAAAAATAATATAGTTATATCATTTCATTTTGGTGCTATTGCATGACGATGTTTGGTAGCCTTTAAAATCTTAGGCCGTGTCGAATAAATGTTTGAATCGAAAAATAAGTTCGCGGAAAATACAGGCAGGTTTCTGACCTTGAAATGTTTGCCTTGTAGTTGCGCCAGTTTTGTTATTCAAGGCAAGCGAAAAGTGTTGCATGTTGCATTTAATTGAAGTAAAATCGAAAGTGCACGGGTTAGGGACATGTCCATGGAGAAGTTATGGAATGGGTCTGGCAGCAATACTCAAGCTTCTAGAACCTTACAATATAATTTATCCAAAAAAATTAGGCCAATGTCCAATATGAAAAACATTGCAACATATGCAGCACCGAAGGAAAAAAACATACCTGGCGATCTTCTTTGCTACGTCCTCATTCGGGCACGTTACAAACGCAACAGAATGATCGTTTGCTGAGCTGTTGGTTGCCATAGATCTTAAGTTAAACCTCCTTACTGAGCAAATACTGTCAACAACAACAAGTCCTATCCTTTCTAGAAACTTCATTAATTCATGAAAGACAAAAGTGTAGCATATACAATGTTTACATCAGAGTTAAAACAGTACACCTCGTTGTAGCACGTGGATACTAGGCCACAAGACCCAGAACACAAGAGTGATTAGGATTAGCTAGAGGACTATAGTCTAGAAAGGATAATTTGCCGCAAGACAAAAACCCGGCGTCATGACTTTATATATTATAGAACACCAAGGAAAATAAACCCATTTTGATACGTTTTCGTTAGTTTGACTAAATAAACCCAAACCCACAACTTCGAAAGTTTGGTTGCTTCTGATACCCTCTATTGTGGTCTAAAGAGATCTTAGTGAAAAGAGAATTGAGCATTGTTGTGTGCGATTCGTTCACTTATAAAACCATCCATCGACTATCGTGTCATTTCCAAACCCAGCGAGTCTTATTTTACGTGCAGACAACACGGAGCAAGAGAGAGAGACAGTGTGTTGCTTGATTGTAACTGAACTCTGAACTATGAACTGACTTACAAATTCAACATATCTAAAATTAACACGAATGATGTGAGGAAAACAAAGGATAGGAAGGGCGAGTGAAGGTGATTAGTAAACAATAAGGATTAGCGAATGCGTGATATGAGTGCTGTAGACAATGGCGGCGCCAGCCACTACGCTCTGGGGGGGACAAAACAAAATATTTTGGACCACGCCTCTTTTAGCACCAGAAAACCCCCTTTTACTAGCAAGGAACGCAATTTTTACCTGAAGGGAACGCCCATTACTCACTTTTGGCTATGTAAAGGCAGTTTGAAAATCATAGGATTGCATCACAAAAAGTACGTTGCCAAAATATTAAATGTGATGGAATGAATGAGAAGGAAAAATTGATGTAAACAGGCCTAAGTAGAGTCACTACAGATCCACAAAACCACCCTTCCCCACTACCTTTGGGCAAGAATTTCCAGCAGGACAACACAGGAGATTCTTACGCAGTATAGAAATCTACATTCTGTCCCCGTGAAGGCTAGAAAATATCATCTTTAATTATAGGCATCCAGTTGATTCATATCTAGGTTTTCATTATTTTTGAGAGCCCACAACAATGAACGGTTTTTAGTCAATTTGACCTGTGATGCTCTTTTCTCTTGCGATTCTTAAACTCAAGGGATGTGGTTTAATCTGAGTCATTATAAAGAGGAATGATCTGAAAACTTTTTGTTGATCCGTTGGTGATCTCTTCGTTCAAGTTTTCCGAGATACCGTGACCTAACCGAACGCACCGCCAAATCTCTATATCGCCACACAGCATAAATTCTAGAGCTCGTATTAGGCCTTTCTGTAACGGTTTGAGTAACCGATAACTAGAATAAATACCAAACCTAGCGCAAGCTATTCATTCAATGTTTGCTTTTTTCAAAGCCATTTTCAATTTCTGTACCGCCAAAATACTGCTATTCATTCAAAGGTAGAAATCATTTTTGTCCTTAGTTAGTCCTTAGTCCTAAGTCCTTGGTCCAAAAGTTTTTTGAAAGCGAGGCAATTTTTTGGCGGGAATATTGGAATGCTGGCGAATCAGTTTCTAAGACAACGCTGAAAATGGCTGACAGTGAGCTCGTCTGTAATTTCAGAAAATGTAGGAAAAGACTCACGGAGTACGCCTGGGTAAAGTATATTTTGTTCACATGTTTTCTGACTGAAATAGATTGAAACAAGTGTGCCATTCTTAATTGAGTGAACATCTTGGGATCAGGGCTGCCAAGAAGCTTCTTAACAAACAATCTTTTGGTGGTACAAAACTTAACCGTTCTTGTGAATAACATGTGTTGTAGACTTGCTGCAACCAAATTTTCTTGTAGTTTCAGCAAAGCAAACAAATGACTCGCTAGACCCAAATATTGCCTCTCGTTCTCTATCTGGTCGCTTTTGTGTTTTCGGTATTGAAACTAAAACATTGATATTTTCCATTTCTCCCTGACATTTTGTGACCTTTTTTCATAGAAAGGTAGGAAATGAATTAAATTTGTTAGGAATCGCCTTTTTGCTGACGCCATTTTTAGACTCCCGCCAATACAGCAAGATTTGTTCAATCAATGTTAGAATGTTAGTTTTGGAGCCGCCATTTTGTTATTCATCGTCCTAATACTTTTGTCACGTAAGTGTTCATGCTCAATCAGGCGATACCACCTGAATGGCGCCAGAGAGAAAACATTAAAACGTTCGCTTTAATGAATGCAGCAACTAAAAATTCTTGCCCTGTTATTAGCTGTAACTTTATAAAAATTAATAGAACTGCTTTATGGAATAATTATTTCACTTTTGAACACTAATCTAAGAAGAAGCAAATATAGTTGTCTAAGTGAGAGCTACACTACCAGGACAAAAGTATTGCAACACCTGCGAAGGCGATTAATGGCGGATCATGCAATAACTTTTGTTGTTGTGTGATTAAGCTATTGTTTAATCAGCCAATGGCACGCAAATAAAATTGCAAATTCAATGATGCGTTAATTCGAATATTCCATTTTAATTTTTCAAAATTGTAAATCAGCAATTCAAGTAACTTTCAATTAAACAGACATTCTGTTGAGGTGCTTCTGTGAGGTCTGATAAGTACGAAAAATTGCTTTGGAATTGATGCACAAAATTTGTTGATGAAATGCACTGGGATTCTGTTTCATTCTCAATGAAGTCTCTATGTCAGTTTTTGTTTGAACCTTAGAGAACCTTGTGGATTTCAAATCAGATCATTCTTGTTGGCAACAAGAAATATTCGCTTATTTTAAGGTTAGGTCTTTGTGATGGCCGAGGAAGGACATAGAGTTTGCAGATTTGCAGGTAAATTTGAGTAAAAATGGCCTTGTAAGGGGGATGTATTGCTTTTTATGACAAAAACTGCCTTCCTCATTTCCCTAGCATTAATTTGATTCCACCAAAGAAACTGTTTTGCATTATTTTGACATGTTTCACAGCATTAACTCGCACGTCGCTAGTTTATGATTTACTAATTTATATGGGCCTAACTGTACCCAAAAAAATTACCCATGGTGAAATGGAAAAATTCGGGGCTAAAGAAGTCGGGAATATTGACTTGATTCGTTGTTGCTGGATCTCTTACTATTTTGCTTTCATTTGCTGTAAAAAGTTTCGAAATCTTTAGAAGTAAAAGATCAGTTATACGAAGTTTTATCACAACTACTAACTCCTTATCCTCTCGATATTTTGATTTTACCACTGCACTTTTTCTTATAACTGTAAGACTTCTTAGGTAAATATTTTAATTCTGAGTATTTCCAAATCCTCGTTAAATTTCAAAGAATTTGACTACTAGTTTAGCCTGATTATTCTCACTTTTAAGGGGAATATTTCAGCGTAAAGATATTAGTTTACAAAACTTCAATCTTTTTGGATGCCATTTTCGTTTGGGTGTTGCAATACTTTTGTCCTGGTAGTGTAGTTCCGCAGACCACAACATTTTGATCTCCTTGAGAAAATTTCTGAGACGAAATGTGCTTAGAATAGACATTTTTTACTCTTATTTTTCTTTTCTGCATGTCACATTCGAGCTGCAGAACTCGATTGTTAAAATTTGGATCCATCACTTTTCCAATGATTATAAATTGCGAGATTAAATAAAAAGAAAAAAGGTTTAGAAATTTTTCTGGGGTTTATGAAAAATCAATAGCATATTTTCAAAAATGATTCATTTCAAAAGAGTACGAGATTGCTCAAGAACAAATTGCTTTGATGCTTCAATGTGTCCTGTTTGTTTAGTTGATGCATTTGTCACTAGAAACGCTTGGACATTCTTAAAAACCTGGCTTGTATCGAAGTCGATCCTTGGGTCATAAAGCACATGGGCTCGCAAACGATTGTTAACTATGGCTCATACACAGCATCGTCACATTAATAATGACGCTTTACTTCTCGCAGGTTACGTCTTGCTCTCGTATCCTTTCTTTTTATTATTAAATTGTATTGTACGTTCTTCTACAGTCTTTAACTCTTTACAGAATTATATAAGAAGCATTTTTAGGTTAAGAATTTGTTTGCCTTAGTTAGTGATTTCCTAGATTTATCATCCTATTTCTTCCTTAAGTAAGGAAGTTTAGGCCCTTCTTCACTTTTTGTAGAATTGCTAATTAATATAATTTCACTGTAATTAATATACACATACCCTTTAAACATGTAACCCTCCGCCTACCTCAACAAACACAGAAAAATACATGAAAATTAATCGTTCGTTTTTGTTTAAAATGTGATGTTTGACAGATGTCCCTCATTCCAAAGAGACAATTACGCTTTTGAAACTGCATGCAGTCGTCAAAGTTTATTCAGGGTTTTTCATTTTCTAGCAAATCAAATTGTGTTTAATTTCTATGAATTATATAGGTTGTTGGGAATTTTTATACCTTAGTATGCAATCCGGTTTTATGAAATAGATTCATGGTCTAAATGAAAAAGATGGAATTTTGGAAGGCTAAATTGATATTTCCAATAGAGAAAAATAGATGAAAGGGAGCAAGCTGTTGCGAGTCTTTAAAAGCTTTAAAATGCTCATTTGAAGAGAATTGAAATTCGAAATCGTAAGATCGAGCTATTGAAATGATTGAATGTACTTATTATTTTCACATAAACGCAAATGTGAAGAATAGACCAAGAACATTTATTAAGTAATTAACGACCATTCTCTTATGAGATCATAGATAAAAAATGCTTAAGAACTTTGTTGGTTTCTACGACATCTTTGTTGAAAAAACGACATGTGGAATATTGTTCTATACCTAATCGAACTTACATTACTATCCTTTGAAGACGTTTAAACTGCTTGACTTATAACGAAGTCACATAGTACTAATCCTTAGGTTCGTATTCTAGATGAGGCGCGTTATGAAATTCTTATTCGGAATATTTTCTTCAAAAAAGGGCTCCCTCAACTACACAAATGCCAAAGTCTTGGCTTTCAACACAACCTTTTCTATCACATTGTAACTCAATTTCGTTAAAACTCGCATTAGTATTTGTTCAATTTCTTTGTTTTCATGTAGCCGTCTTATTGTTTATACAGTCGCCGCCTGATTATATTTTGCACATGAAATGATATTATAGGGACAAATACTAAAAGATAGACTCTGGTGGACTTAGTACCCTCATTATAGGAGACTTTAGGCCTCGAATTATCTTTTTCCAAAAAATTAATGTTTTTTGGTATTTACCAAATCAAAAGTTAGGATAACAACACCACCTTGTCGTCGAAACTTGCAAATTTCTCAGCCTTTTAACGTCATCCTTTTCTCAGCCGCACCCAAAAGACCGATAATTGAGATCAGGTAAAAATATTTATCATTCATTTCATTTCATTTTCAACTATCCAAGCATAGTAGCCCATTCAACTATTTTGGTTTATAAGGGACCATGCATCAAAACTAAAAAAAAAAACTAACATAAAAAAGAATAAGATAATCTTTGATGCAACTAGTCTTCTCACTGTACATGCTTACCTTAAAAATGTTGTCAGATATTTTTTGTGACGAAGATGGAACGAAACAGTTTAACAAATCATACAAATGTCCGGCTTGTGAGTGAAGATAGTTTTTATATGAAGTAAAATATTTTGTTCTCGCCATATTGTATCGTACATTAGCGTAGAAAGCTTGTGCAAGAAATTGAGCTAACCCTGCACACTTATTGTATGTAATCACCATTTGCTTAACTGCTATGACTCCCAGCAATCTTTGATATCTCAAGTGGGGACAATGTCAAACATGCAGATTTTTGTTTGGCTGGGTGACAACAGTAACACTCGCGCTGTAAATGCTCCTTCATTCTCATTAGTCTTTGTCACAAGTACTCAAGTAATACATCTTCTGTTTAGAGTATTTTACAGTTTTTTTGTTGATGAAAGATCTTAATTGAGACAAAATGGAAAGACATTATTCAAGACTGTTTATTATATTATCGGCACATTTGGGTATTATATGTTTCATCTAGATTATAGAGCTGTACACTTGCAAATGAAATGATAAACAGTTTCACAATCGGAAATACTTTTTAGGTGAAGCAAATCTACCTGGAAAATTTGATATCATTAGGGTTGATCTCCAGCCTGCTGAAGAATACAAGTCCGTAAGTAGCCAAAGAAAAATTGAGCGTGCAACCTAAAAGAAAGTTAAGCATATTTACTCACACGTGTTTATTGACCTTTGCATGTAAAATCGATCTTTACTTTGTGAGTAAATTATTAAATGAAAAAGTACTAAACAAAAAACTGTGAACATAACATAAAAAAATGTTCTAAGAATATTTTAAGCAACAAATATTCTACAAAATAAACCGGAATTCAATGTAAAAAACATATACTACGAAATGTGACTATATAAACAATCTTGTCTTTTAATTTGTTTTACGTTACTTTCTTAGATGGTCCTTGCTGGTCTTAAGCCAGAAATTATAATGGAAATTTGTTCTAGAGCCATTGCTTTTTGGTCATACCAGGTTTGCTTAAAATTTTTCATAATTTTGATGAAAATACTAAAACTGCATTGATTTTGATTCGTCTTGTTCTTTATTCTTATTCTGTGTCACTTAAGCCCTTAATTTTTTTTAAATTTTTTGTAGAACTGTTGTCACAGATAATGAAAATGCAGGCATCCTCGGAGCTGTTTAAATTTTATATGTCAATTCGAGAATCTCTGGTACTGCTAGAGTATTGTCGTGTAACTTTTCTTTCTTCAAAAAGATAGGCAGCAAAAGAGATCTTCCCAATTCTAAGACCTTGTTCTTTGTATTTTTGCTCAGAATAATGATTTCCATTATAATTGAATGATTTACGAGTCGCTTAACTGAGAAATTATTAAATATAATTATAAAAAATGTTCAAAAAAACTTTGTTGAATTAAAAACGTGAATTACGAACTAGCTTATAGCTGTCTTGGTGAATATGATGAAATGCAAGATAATGAAAAACTTGAACAAACTCGAAGTCTTCAAACAAACTTACAGACTGTTTAGGTTGTGCCAGCCTCTCTAGGATGCAAAATGTCAGAGAATATGTGACCCTTACATGAGCAATGTAGACATGCACTGAGCCTTGGAGGGGGGGGGGAGATAGGGGTATATGATCACAGTCTTCAGATTAATTGTTTAAAGACAACCCTGTCTAGACGCTCATTGAATGCTCTCTTTCACAATGCCATCACAATGTGCGGTGGCTGTGCCCATAGCCATTATTGTCATGTTTTGTTTAGCGGTGCGAAAAAACTTCAAGCTGTCTTTTAGGCATACAGTGAAAGAGTATACCATGAGTATGTATCGACAAGAGCAAAAGAGTCAAAGAACCAGCTCGAGAAGTACTACGAGCAGCTTCTTGCACAAATTCAAAATGAACTGAGTAGTATCCTTTTCAAAAAGTACAGCTAAAATGTCCATATCTCAGATATGCTTAGAACATCCAAAATGGCGATTTTCTATAAACATGCAAAATGGCGATTTAAATTGCAATAATTTTTGCTATGAAATAATTTGAAATATAGTATTGTACAAATTTTTGTGCAAATACAGATTATTTTAGCCAAACAGGCTTTTGGTACAAATAAAATCCGCCCTTTTTTGACTCAGACTAAAAAGGTTCTTATGAACAAAGTATAAATGATAACGTTTTTATGTTAGTAGTTCTTATGTTTATTAAAGTTCTTAAAACCTGGTTTAAGCCAAAATTTGTAAAATTTCTAGCACATTAAAAAACGTTTCTTATATTCATTTCGATTTTATTGTAAAGAAAAGGACCGTTCTAAGTTGGCACTCCGAGTTTCACGCTTAATGCAATCATCACGAAACGTACATCTCTGCCTCAAAGGCATCGCGCACTTTATGAAAGACAAGTAAACAGCACTTTTCATTTTTCTAGCGTTCATCGTATGTGGCTGGTTTTAAATCTTACTTTAAAAGCAACAATTATTATTACTGTTTTGAAAAAGTTACCTTATTTAAATCGATCTGCATGCTGATGATGGCAGGTGGGGCTAATGATCTTTGACCTGCTTTGTTAACCTTATCCATGGTACCATGCCGAATACATAATTTCAATGGGGCTTGTGTAACGGTTAGAACTTCATAAGTTGCACGTGCAAAGAGTTTGTTAAAAGAAATGTAGTAACTCATATTTAATGTCCAGATTGGAAGTTGTGAGATAATTTTGAAGAAGTAGATTCACCATGAAGTGCTAGATTTTTGTTTTGATAATACAAAAGTGTTCATAAGGATGGCTGCAAGCATGCACAATTCGACACTGGCAAAACAGAGCCAAGAGATCGGAAAGCAGACTAAGAGGTTTCTTATGGGGACAAAGCTAACAATGGATCATGATTCTTCTGCTCAAACATTGGCAACTTTAGATGAGAGCAGATTATCACATGCAGAAAATTTTCGTTTCAATCAACAACAACATCAGCAGAATCAGGTTCTTGAGCAGGCCTTTTCATCGTCAGTTGAGCGTGAAGAGGAGATTGTTCGGTTGCAAAAGAAAATGTGGAAATTGCAGTATAAGATTAGCAAACTACAGAAGCGAGTTTCACAGCTCCAAAATCTATAAAAAGAGATGCGATGAATTTCTTCATCGACAGATCCGTCTAGAGTCTAGAGAATGATGAAATTTATCTGCCTGCTTTGTATTTTTCTCAAGCATAGACTCGGGCAAAACCCCCAGCTCAGGAAGTTGAAGTTTGCAAAGTCAGGCAGGGGTGATCTAGAGAGGGAAACTGATTCCTAGAAAAATGGGGTCCCCTCTACAAGTTCTTATAAGGGAAAAACGAGTTTAATGGTTATTTTTAGCCTTCTAGTTAGCAAAAAGCTAGCATCTATGTTCTGTAAAATTTGCTTCTCAAATTTACTGCAATAGACCGCGACCTAGCTAAAGAGCAAACTATATTATTCAAGAAGTTATCGTTTAACAACAAGCTGTAAGATGCTTGAAAAAATTCATCTGTGATTGGAATATGTTAGCAATGGATTACCAATGTTGTATCTTAACATTATGCAAGATGTCAAGTCAGAAATGAACAGTAAGTAGCTAACAAATATTTCTGTCAATGTAATTTTCATTAATGTCTCCCAAGTTCACAATTATCTCTTTAAAACTAAGACTATTCTATTTATTTATTCAAAGACCAAAAATATTTTCCTTCTTTCTAGTTAAAACAAAGGAGCTCACTGATACAAAGCAAAGGCTCTCTGAAGTAACAGAAAAACTCTCTGATAAGGGAAGACAGTTACAGAGGCTTCAAGTGAGTTCCCAAAACTGATAAATACAACACTTCTTTCTAGATTTAAGTTTTGAAGTTTTCAATTGTGACGTAGAATTTTCATCTGCATTTCTTAACATTTTTCAGAATGAAGTGTAGACAAAATTGATTAGGAAGAATAGCAAGCTGATTTTCTAATGTTTCCCTTTACTTATCCTCAAATGCACGAGCATCAATAAATTATGTGGTGTTTGCCGAAGGGGTGCTATCCTGACGATTTGTCAAGTCGACGGGGATGCAGCGTTTATAGTGCCAAAAAAACTTGTATTTTCAATGAATTCTTCAGCGTATTGCCCAAAAATATTTTCTTGACATTGTCTAGATCGTTCTATCATTGACGAGAGGGTAACCATGTTAAGATATAATTGGTTTGACAACAGCAAAATCTAAACCAGTTTGCAGAAAACCTTATTTCCTAAATTTCTATTTTCTCTCAAATCAGACGATGTACGACTCTTTACGAAGAAAAACTGTCAACCCGGCTATTTTGACAGAGCATTATGGAAACACTGAGGTTTTGAATGCAATGAAAACCTCTTTCACCCTTCCAATTGGAACAACATCAGGTAAGACCTTTTTGAAAATTTTGGTTAAATGCAGTATGCTCTGCTGAATAATAAAAATATTTAATTTATATAGCACCCCTATGCTAGAGTACTAAGTAGCGCCCTCATACTAAAGAACTCAGTTTGTGTAGATGAAAAGAGATCCATTTTCCATTCAAATCTTTTAACTGGGTGAGGGTTAGCGTTCGTTCGTTTGACAAACCAAGCGTGCCACTCACAATAAGTTTAGAAAAGAAATTCTGAAAGAATTGTAAACATTCAATTGTGGTGGTTTTTATTTGTAGCTCATACCACACATTGCGCCTAAAAGTCTTTTACGGAATAGACATTGAATGACTGATATAAAGAAAATCTTTGTCATAATGTCATAATTGGAGTTTCTATAACAGATTCATAGACAATAGACTATTGGCTTGACCATACTGACAAAGCAGTTTATTTGATTCAATTATCAGTTTCAATTTTAGAAAGCAGTTTCAATAATATTTCTAAATAAAATGCTTCCAATTGTCTTCAAAAAAGTTATCATGTCTCAATAGATAATAGAAAGTAGAAAAGCCAGGCAAACATTTTTCAAGTAATTGGAACGAACCTCAAAAGTTGCACCCTGGAATGTGTGCAAAATAACTAAAAACTGACCTATCTGGCTTTAGACTACGCCTGAACAAAAATATGCTTATCCCTGGATAGCAGTCTGAACTGTGATGGCCCTTATTTAATTGTCTAATGATCTGTTCCTGGAAATGGACGACCAAAAAGAATAATTTTCAGTCTTAGACCTATCTGGGGTAAGCAAATGCACATAGAATGTTTGGCTTTTACATTGAAGCTAGATTACAAAAAGTGAAGACAGAAAGCAGAATGAACTACCCTGACTGAAGTTCTGTGAAAGGTTGGGTTTATCGGTTAGTTATAAACAAGCATTTTAGTGGATTGGCAAAAATCGGTTAATCATGAGTGAAGGAAAATTAGGAGTTTATGGCTTTACGAGCTGTCATGCATATATTAGCTGCTTTGTCTGCAGAATCAATCAATTTTTAAAGATATTCTAATCAACGACAACCTGAAAAGTAACTTTTTACTTAGAAAAAAACCAGCAAATGATTTCCAGGCCACTGTTTGGATATGTATCTCACAAATAATGTTCTATTTACTGAGTATTTTCTTGATAAAAGTTTTGAGTTGCCAGCATCTAAGAAAGGTCTCATAAAATACTTTTGCTTACCTTTTTATGCAACAAGGTATTCCAAAGGCATTACCAAATGAGATTGATATGCCACAAAGGCCAGTCCCGGATGCCACTCCTAACAGTAAGTTGCTTCATTTTATAAAGCTTACGGTAAGCGTTCTTTTTACTCGTGGATGTAATGTTGGACTTTTGAAGCATTGGGTTTTGCAAGCGCAGATTTGCTCCAAGACCAAACATCGATCTTGGTCTTTCTATCTTAAATTCATGGTTTGCTGGTGACTGACACTCTTCAGAATTTGTTAAATTGTGAAAAAATATATCTTTATACTTATCATCAAAGTACCTCAGCTAACAACTTTTCGAACCTCTCCTTGCAAATTTGCAGCTATTATGGCAAAGTTAAT